TAGTTGAGCTTTTCCAGGTCGGATATGTTTCTTTTGTCGATAGTCTCTTCAAATATTGTGTAGAAATTCGTCCATTCTGACAGATTTCCAGCAAATTTCGGGATTGGAATAGGTGGCAGTTTGCTTTCTTCTCGTCGTTGTGTAACGTTCGATTCCGATGGCTCTATGCTGGGTTGTTCCAATCTGATTATTGTCTCGATTGTCTTTTCGTCGTCTTCCAGTTGGAACTCCTGTTCCTTTGCTCTTTGGATTACGTCAGTGGCTTTATCGATGAATTCGTCGAGGGTTTTCTGGCCTTGTTCATCACAAGCTACTTGGCGGGTTGCTGTCATCAGCTCTTTAGTTCGCTCTTCGAGGTCGCTCCTATTTTGGATGATGTGTCTCAATCGATTTGAGACTTTTCTGGCTTCTATTTCCGTGATAGGTTGATGACTTTCTTCTTGTTTCTTCAGGACTGATCGCATTTTTTCTGCGTCGATAAGTTGTTGTGCCAGGGAGTTCATTGAGCGTGTGGCTGCCGTCAGGTAATAGCGAAGTTCACTCATTTTTAATGAATGACTGTGTAGTTTTTTGGAAGGACTAACAAATGGATGGATGGCTTGATGGTTTAGGACTCGATTTCGATCAAATCGATGTTCTTTGTGTTGTTAGTATCGTGCAAAGCGTTGAAGTATGAGTTGTGCCACGCGGGTCTTGCAATGTTGAGAAAACGGACCTTCGATTTGTTGTAATTCGAAGATGAAGCTGGATGGCCGTAGTTGTGGTTGAGTCGTTTTCTTTCAGGATGGCTTTTGGTTGTTGACTTGAACTTGTTGGCTTGATCTTTCGGCGGCTTGAATTCGTAAGTCGTCGATGCACCAAATTTATTAACCAGTAGGAGATGGACAACCTCAAACTTGGGTAATTAAACTTTATTGTAAAAGAAATAAATTAAAAATAAGTTAAACATGAATTGGACATAAATTGAATATAAGTTGAACAGCAACCAACGAAGGGAAAGAAAGTGAAAAAATGAGCGTTGAGGCTCCCTTTTATAGGGGCACACGAATGCAATATAAAGGTTACACTGTGTGCGTAGGTGGCTTTGGTGGCGTGTGGCTTTGGCGGTACAATTTAATAATAGTTTATCAATTTTAAACTTTCAATAATGTGCTTCAGATATTAAATTGTGATGGCGAGGAATGATTTGTGATGGCCTTTAGACTACTTTCCGGTAGTCATTAATGACATAGACGTCACAATAAACCCAATAAATCTCATTATTTTCAATGCTTCTATTTGGAATGCGATCAGAAACATGGCTTCTGTCTCAACGAGAACCGATTATTTGACGTCTGTGGGGACAATCAACATTATTTTGCCACGACGATCTAGAAGTACATAAAAGGCCATGTTGTGGAAGATTCTAGAAATTTCCAATATTCTTGTTTATGGGACGATGGAAATAAGAACCATAAGAACATCCAATGACACAAATAAACTATTGCTACCGTAAACTCTTGATTCACTAATTTCATGCGTGAGATGTCAATTGCACATATGCATACAATCGATGTAAAGAAATGTTCAGCTTTTGAGTTTTATTAAAATGATACCCGAAAGTAGATTGCTTGTCGCTCTGATTGTACTAATTATTGTGATTTGCTCCATTTTGCTAATTGCCATATTTTTAATTACCATTTTCAAGGATTGGTTCAAATTTCGTTGCGAGGTACTCTACAATATAAGGGAAAAATTGGGTTTAACTCGAAAAACTGTAATAATCTGCGAGATTTCTTAGCGAAGAAATAAATTGAAGTAGAAATAAAAAAAGAAGCTTACACAGGTTTTTTTTGGTAGTCAGCATATATCTCTTTTATTTTGTCCACATTTGGCCAAATTTGATGCCTAATAAATATCGCAAAATAAACGACATATTTTCTAATTTTTTTCAGCCTTATATTCCTTTCGTGTTTAGCATGATTACTTCTTTAATTTGTACTAATTTCGCTACAATAACCGTAGCAATTCCATGCATATCTATGAATTTCCAATATTTAGAGTAATATTCGATTTTTTAAATTTCAAGTCTCAACTATTTTTTAAAGAAAAATTTGGGTGGAAAACGCAATGTGTGCAATCAATACTGCTGGGTTTTACTCATATCTACTTGCTAATTTTTCGTTTTCAATTTTTCGATTTCTCGCTGTATACGGAAGGAAAATCGATGATTACATCAATGTAAGTCTAGAAAACGCAAAGAAATTTGCTGAAGCTTGCAGATATTTATATTCGTTCCGTGGCTACTTACTGGCCTCGTGATTGTTTTTGTGAATGTGGTTGGCTGCAATGCCACCTATAACAGAAATACTCTGCATTTTCAACACAATTGGAATGAATGCTACATTTCTTGTAGAGCAAATCAGTGAATAATTAGATTCAACAAATACAAATTACAGCCAGCCTGAATATTTTGGAACTCGATTTCATATTGGGCATATGTGTGTGTATTTCGATGCTTGTAATGTACTCAGCTATTATTTTGAAAGTGTTTTATCAGAAGAAAATGGTCGATACGAGGAAAAAGGCATTTTTTAACTCGCAGTTTCAGTTGGTTTATTATAAATTGTTTGGTTTTTTTTCAAAACTGTAAGACTTTTCAGGCTTTGCAATTCCTAACGCTATGCTTGTTCCAATTTTTATCTGCTCTCATATTTCATTTTCTTCCGAATTTAAAAAGCCAGAACGTGGCAGCACTAGTGGCCAATAACGTCATTTGTATCGAGATTTTGATTTTTTGAAAAAAAATTGTTCTTTTCAGCCGTAATTAATGAATCAATGAACCCGTTGATCTTGCTAATCTCCTGCAGGAACATCCGCATGTCTGCCCAGAAGCTATTTGGCTGTAAATTGGCGGCTGTTAACCAGAAATCCTTCACCACAATCGTTGCTAGTCGATAATTATTGAAAAATGTTATCGGATTTGGAATAAGTACAGCACAATAAGTACACACATTGCATGCGAAATGTTCGATGTTTCATTTTCATTTGAATTACATGCCAAAGAAGTATGGATTTGAAAATTCACAATTGTATTTATCAAGATTCTGACAATTTAATACATGATAACAAAATTGATAAAGGGGGATTCAATTTTCGATTGAAACAGTGGGAATTCGGGGTTTTACACTGCGGAAAACGGCAAATCAACCTCATTATAAATCGACGCTGGGTGTTTGTTTTTTATAATAAAATTACGAAACCCGTTTAATTTCGGGAAATCAGTTTAGATTTTTTTTACGAATTCGTAAATTTCCAAATAGTAAAAACACGAATGCTAAATGCAGAGTTGGTTTCTTTGTGTCAGGCATATACAGCAGCAGCAGCAGGTAGCCTTTTTTTGTTATATTCGTTCAGCCGTTTGACGCCAACAATACAGTGTAATTTTTACAATTAAAACTTTTTTCTTTATTTGTAACGTTCAATTTTAGCAAGCTGCAATTATCTCAATATTGACTCAAGTAGGGACAAGCATTTCTTATTGGAATGAATTTTCAACAATTTTCATTATCGTAAAACCGTGGAAAGTAGATGAAAGTAGATGAAGTGGCAATAAACAGAGAATGGATGTTGGTTTGTCAAAAATTTCCCAAATTAATTGGGAATAATACGCGGTACGACTTACGCCTACGCATTTACTCTTGCGCGGAAGAAAATTTGGACATACGCGCAACACTTTTGCGTAGGCATTCCAGTTCCTCATCCTTTCTATATCCCATCTTCCATGCTTTTCTATTAAGTTCCAAAAATGGAAAAAGAGAATATCGCATCAATAGTGACGATTAATGTGATAGGTTGGTTTGTACACATATTGAGGCAAGCAGAAACTAGTAGGGGAGATGCGTCTCATTAAAAATAATTTGCTCGTACTTCCCTTCTTTTCGTCTTTTTTTTCAGCTGTCATGAACGAATCCACGAAACCCGCTAATTTTGCTACTCTCATGTGTCGGAATTCATCAAGCGACTCATCGAGTCCTCACGAGTCGCAACATTCTACTCTACGAAAAAAACGACAATTGGTCACTTGTGCTAAATGTTGATTTTATTTAATAAATTGCTATTTTTTCATTTTATATATCCGTATTAGTTATTAATTCATTTTGGATGAGAGAATGCACTTTCATCAAAGCGCCTTGCTACGCTTTCTCACATCGTCTGCGCGTCAGCCATCACGTCGACTCTCGATTTTCAGCACTTGCTCTGGAAATCGTGAACCCCACCCCCTCTCCTTTTTTACCCCATTCCACACACTTTTCTACTTTCACATAAACGCATTTGTGTTTTGTTGAAAATTTTCTAATTATACGCTTGCCGTGAGTCCTTTTCAAATGACGGAATCAAATGTCTTGCTATTTTGGCTGCTTAGCCTACGATCTACCTAAAAGTCATCTGATAAGCATTCACTATGCTGCTTATGCAGGAATTTTCAAAACTTCATATTATTATGATGAACAAATTTTAAGAAGTGAAATTTCCGCTCAAAGGTGGTAATCTTGAGTTTCAAATCTGCCCCGTGATATACATATGTATATATATATATATATATATATATATATATATATATATATATATATATATATATATATATATATATATATATATATATATATATAAGTTCTTAGCACAGAATTATATATCTATATCACTAAGAAATTGACGCTGCAATGTCAACAGCTGCAATAGCATGCTCAGGACATAATCGCATTTCCTTTCAAATATCCGACGTAGTAGAAGTGTGAATAAATTAATAGGAAGGTGTATGCACGAGAGCCAGAGAAGCAGAGGATGAAGATGTTGAGCCGCGGTGGGACAAAAATGAAAAAAATGAAGTGATTTGTGAAATAGCAGGCGTTTAGACACTCCGACTCCGTCCTCGCGTCTTACATATTTTTGCCCCTTATTTGTTATTTTAATTCATTTGTTATTTTCAGAACTACAACAATGACAGCTAAGGCAAAATAATGTCGATATCACCAATATTCATAATTTTCTTTCTCTTTCGGGTCGAGACCAAATTCAACTCGCGCGATTATTACCGTAATCGTGTTTGGGTTTCAAAAAATGGAACCGAGCTTTTCATCATGTCTGAAACGGTAGTATTACTTCTTGAAAATTAATTGTTTCCTTTTATTTTTAGGAGGGCGAAGCCCGTCAAAAGTATGCATTCATTTCACCAGCATGTCCAAATTCGACAGTAGCTAACGTATTGCTAGCGAGTCCTGATTACTGCAGCTCGCGAAACTGCAGAAACTTCAAGGCACTTCCTTCATTCTACAGTATCTCAACTGACACGTGTCATTGCAAAATCAAAAACTGCAGTGCTCACAATAGCGATGATTATACAATACTATATCCGGGATGCAAATGTGATAATTTTGGTAGATCAAAACAAATTACACTTTCATAAGTCATATGCGATTTACAGCTAGCTGCTGGTTCAACGACACATGTGATCAATGGACGATTGTAATGAATGAGACGCCATTTACAGTATTTCATACTGGGAAATCCACAATTCGTAGGAATTTCAAATTGGCTAAATTTGAATACGCGACTAATTGCAGCATACTTCCTACAAGCCGGCTCAAATCAAGCTTATTTGAATCACACTTCGGCCATCGTCAAAAGCAAGTTTTTTCGCCAAAGCGGTATTGAGGTGAATCAAAATCGATTATGTAATTTCAAATTAGTTCTATTGCATTATAGTGTGAAATCCAATTCCTCTACCATCTTGTCCCACAAAGCAAAGAATCGCACGTCAGAGTTCGAGCTATTCTCGAATCTGGTGATTCCATCGAATTATGGAAGTCTTCTAGTGGCGAGAAGTCAAATCATTGGGAGAGAGCCACAGTAGACATTGGATCATTTGGACAGCCATTTCAACTGTCAATCGAATGCAATTCCGGAGCTCCGCCCACTTCTACCGTAGCTCACAACCTTAACGATCAACAATTCTTTATTTGCAGTCTCGGAGAATTTAAATTTGTTTCTTGTGATGGTGGGAATCGTGGTTAGACACTCAATTAGAACAATACAATTTTTTAGATATTGGAAATCCTGAAATGGAGTGTTCGAGACCCGACGTAAAAATTTGCAATGGAAAAAACGTGAAATGTCTAAAAGATGTGGAATGTGATATGAAAAAAGATTGTTATGACGGATCCGATGAGCAAAATTGCTCCAACTTACCGAAGGGCAGTCAATGCAATTACAATGTGAATTCTACAAACCAGTTATGCGACGGATGGTCTCTGGAAACACGTAGCAAATACGGAACAGGAAATTTGTTCAAAATCGGAATTCCTGATGGAATTAACATTCCGGTGCTTAGGGAAGACTCAAAGTCTATGTTGATATATGATGGCTCCGAAGTAAAACAATTAAAATCCATGAAAACTGTGGCACTCGTTTCACCAGTATTTCCACCGACTAATATCGATGCATATAGAAAACGAACGAACAAAACATGCAAGGTTCCTATCTTAGTTCAATTTTTGCTGAAATTGCATAAACTTTCAGATTCGAGTAATGGTTTGTAGTCACACGTACTATGATTCATGGACAATTGCGGTTATTGGCAAAGAAGGCGATGTTTTCGAAAATGGAAAACGAAAATTAATCACTTTTGGGCATATTAGAGCAAAGACGAGAATTGGGTAAGCTTTGAACTGCGCAATTTATGTAGTTTGTAGCCTAAGCACCACATTCGCAAAAACAGTTAGCGCATTTTATGTAGTTTGTAGCCTAAGCACCGCATTCGCAAAAACAGTCAGCGCATTTTATGTAGTTTGTAGTCTAAGCACCGCATTCGTAAAAATAGTCAGCGCATTTTATGTAGTTTGTAGCCTAAGCACCGCATTCGCAAAAACAGTCAGCGCATTTTATGTAGTTTGTAGTCTAAGCACCGCATTCGTAAAAATAGTCAGCGCATTTTATGTAGTTTGTAGCCTAAGCACCGCATTCGCAAAAACAGTCAGCGCATTTTATGTAGTTTGTAGCCTAAGCACCACATTCGCAAAAACAGTCAGCGCATTTTATGTAGTTTGTAGCCTAAGCACCGCATTCGCAAAAACAGTCAGCGCATTTTATGTAGTTTGTAGCCTAAGCACCACATTCGCAAAAACAGTTAGCGCATTTTATGTAGTTTGTAGCCTAAGCACCGCATTCGCAAAAACAGTCAGCGCATTTTATGTAGTTTGTAGCCTAAGCACCGCATTCGCAAAAACAGTCAGCGCATTTTATGTAGTTTGTAGCCTCAGCACCGCATTCGCAAAAACAGTTAGCGCATTTTATGTAGTTTGTAGCCTAAGCACCGCATTCGCAAAAACAGTCAGCGCATTTTATGTAGTTTGTAGCCTCAGCACCGCATTCGTAAAAACAGTCAGCGCATTTTATGTAGTTTGTAGCCTAAGCACCGCATTCGCAAAAACAGTCAGCGCATTTTATGTAGTTTGTGGCCTAAGCACCGCATTCGTAAAAATAGTCAGCGCATTTTATGTAGTTTGTAGCCTAAGCACCGCATTCGTAAAAACAGTCAGCGCATTTTATGTAGTTTGTAGCCTAAGAACCGCATTCGTAAAAACAGTCAGCGCATTTTATGTAGTTTGTAGCCTCAGCACCGCATTCGTAAAAATAGTCAGCGCATTTTATGTAGTTTATAGCCTAAGCACCGCATTCGCAAAAACAGTCAGCGCATTTTATGTAGTTTGTAGCCTAAGCACCACATTCGCAAAAACAGTTAGCGCATTTTATGTAGTTTGTAGCCTAAGCACCGCATTCGCAAAAACAGTCAGCGCATTTTATGTAGTTTGTAGCCTCAGCACCGCATTCGTAAAAATAGTCAGCGCATTTTATGTAGTTTGTAGCCTAAGCACCGCATTCGCAAAAACAGTCAGCGCATTTTATGTAGTTTGTAGCCTAAGCACCGCATTCGCAAAAACAGTCAGCGCATTTTATGTAGTTTGTAGTCTAAGCACCGCATTCGCAAAAACAGTCAGCGCATTTTATGTAGTTTGTAGTCTAAGCACCGCATTCGCAAAAACAGTCAGCGCATTTTATGTAGTTTGTAGCCTAAGCACCGCATTCGTAAAAATAGTCAGCGCATTTTATGTAGTTTGTAGCCTAAGCACCGCATTCGCAAAAACAGTCAGCGCATTTTATGTAGTTTGTAGCCTAAGCACCGCATTCGTAAAAATAGTCAGCGCATTTTATGTAGTTTGTAGCCTAAGCACCGCATTCGTAAAAACAGTCAGCGCATTTTATGTAGTTTGTAGCCTAAGCACCGCATTCGCAAAAACAGTCAGCGCATTTTATGTAGTTTGTAGCCTAAGCACCGCATTCGTAAAAATAGTCAGCGCATTTTATGTAGTTTGTAGCCTAAGCACCGCATTCGTAAAAATAGTCAGCGCATTTTATGTAGTTTGTAGCCTAAGCACCGCATTCGTAAAAACAGTCAGCGCATTTTATGTAGTTTGTAGCCTAAGTACCGCATTCGTAAAAACAGTCAGCGCATTTTATGTAGTTTGTAGCCTCAGCACCGCATTCGTAAAAATAGTCAGCGCATTTTATGTAGTTTGTAGCCTAAGCACCGCATTCGCAAAAACAGTCAGCGCATTTTATGTAGTTTGTAGCCTAAGCACCGCATTCGCAAAAACAGTCAGCGCATTTTATGTAGTTTGTAGTCTAAGCACCGCATTCGCAAAAACAGTCAGCGCATTTTATGTAGTTTGTAGTCTAAGCACCGCATTGTTGAAAATGAGTAGCGACGCCTGATACAAGAGTGTGGTTCCGAATTATTTTACAGAGTTTTATTTAGTTTTCAAGAATAGGCGCATTAGATAAGAAACCATACTGCAACTGACTATTATGGAAATTTTCAGGTATGCCTGTGAGTGGCAACGCTTGGTGGTTCCTATCCCCCGCCAGAACAGTGAATATCGACTCGCATTTTTTCAGACACACAAACCCGCGGACCCAAAAGCGATTCTCGCTTTTGACGATTTCAGCATCAGTCCAACCTGCTTCGATAAAAGTTAGCTTTGAAACCAACTTACTGATAGTTGGAATCCGCCGACTTCTGTTAGCGGATAGAATTGATTTACAAGTGTGCCTTTCGAAATGGCCTCGTCAAGTGTGAATGCTTATTTTGTTGTTTTCGCGTGAGCTGTTAATTTTTTCTTGAAGAATTCAGTATTTTCTTGAATTTCAAGCGTCATTCAAATTAAAAAAAAATGATCGAACCGAACCTTAAAATGAAAAATAGCCGTGTGAGACCATAGAGAGTGAGGCGCACAATCTCATTGTACAGCAGTCGCCGGATGCCGACTATGCAATATTATTATTTAGTTTGATTCCCAAAAATAAGTGACTACCGTAATTATTCTATGCCAGACGCGTTGCGGTTGGTGTGCACTCCTGTTTATTGTTATCTAATTTTCACGAATTTCTCAATGTGAACGTGAACCGCAACGCATCTGAACTACAAAGTTTTGCAGAGAAAAATTCTGGTAGCCGCTTTTTTGCAAAAGGTGCTATATATTTTGTTGAAGATTATGATCCAAAACGATATACTACTCAACGAATTGACATTGGGTCATGCAGCTCCAGTGGACGATTCCCGCCGTCAAATTGTGATCGCGATCGAGATATTGACGGTGAAACTGGCATTTTTATGGAAGATGGCGGGACAGGAGCACAATTGTGGAATATTGCAGAAAAAGGATTCTACAGGTGGATGAAAAAATAGCGAAGTTTTAGTTGATTAAAAAATTTCGAAAATGTTAAGACTAGAACTTTGCGGCGCTGGTGGAGGTTCATCACAGATAATTCGCGGAGAGCCAGGAAAGTGCGCATTATTCCAAATGCACTTGCAAAAACGACACGTTATGAGGATTGTGATAGGACAAATGGGAGAGAGCCCGTGTGTCAGAAAGGTAAAACAACAATGGTTCCAGCAACATTTGGTTTCTTAGGGTCAAAACAACTTGAATGCTTCGTGCTCGACGAGAGAATTGTCAAATAAAAATGTGTTCTCCAGAAGAGTAGGAGGAGCTGGAGGAGGTGGTTCATCAATGATAACATTTGAACGTGGAAAATGGGACATCATTGTTGGCGGGGGAGCTGGAGCACCTGGCGGGAACTGGACAATCTTGAGCGAATTTGATGCTGGTATAGGCTTCAGTGTTGCTCGAGGGATTAAGAAATCTACCCAATCACAATGCAAAATTCTTTGTCGATCTTCATCAGCAAAAACATTCCAAGCCGATGGTACATGGAATAATTGCATGAACAAGGCTGTCAGAGTCTATGGCGGATTCGGAGGTGGCGGCAGCTCATGTGGCGTTCTTGGAGGTGGTGGAGCTGGTGCACCTGGTGGAGCTCCTGGAGAGAATGGCGAGAGCTATGTGAATCCACTGCTTGCCAGTGAAGCATTATTCTATCCAGCGAACACAGTTCAAGATGGATCGCTCAAAATTTTAAAGTGTAGCAAAATTTGTCCAGAATCATCAGTTTGCCGTTTTCGAGGGGACAGGCTTCAGGAAGAATATTGTGCCTGTCCGGGAGACATTGAGTTCAAAGATGGATCAAGTTGCGGTGAGAGAAAATTCAAAGAATCCCTCATTTGATCATGCCCCTTGTAGAATGCCCATTGAATTGTCCCTGGCCGTCTACTTGCGTCCTAACCAACTTCACCTATCAGCCGGTTTGCCAATGCCCAACATATAAGACGCTTGCCAATCCACTCATTGATCGTTGCCAAGAACTGACGCATTCGCGATTCATCGTCTTTGTACTTTTATTTTTTGCAATGTTGGTTGTAACCGTCGCGTATATTTGTGAGCACTAACTGACTTATACGAAATGAGACAGCAAATTTTGCAGCTATTCGGTATTGCAAACGGAAAACTGTGGTTTTATCGAAAGAATTGATCGAGATCTCCAAACTGAAAACGGTTAGCCGAAATTGTCATTTATTCGTTATAGATTTGTCACAGTAAAATAATTTGATCAATCAATTTGAATAACCTTCGACAATGGGATCTTGTCAATAAAGAAGCGCAATATGTTCCCAGTAAATTTATTTTTATTTCAGAACGAATACCTTTACGATGACATCTATTTTGGGAACCAAACCCGCAAATCTGCAATTGATAATCTACCAACAATCGATAGGAACTCACTAAAGTACGGGCTTATGCCAATTAAAACTAACAATTTCATTGCAGGACCGGAGTTACTCTGGGAAAAGGAAATTTCGGCGAAGTGCTCTATGGCCACTATAACGCAAGTGATGGGCATTCTTACGAAGTTGCTGTGAAGACAATCTCGAAGCCATTCAGTGCCAGCATTTCAGCTCAAGCAGACTTCTGCAATGAAGCGCTTTGCATGAGGTCGGCGTCATCCAGCTTTCGCATTTTCCTTATTCATTTCAGTACCTTCGCTCATTCCAACATCGTTCATCTGATCGGAGTTAGCTTTGACGACGTTCCCTACCTTATAGTCACCGAATTCATGGAAGGAGGAGACCTTCTGACATTTGTCCGCGAAGCGCGCCCTAGCCAATACTCACTAAATCCATACCAATTGACCATGTCAGACCTAATTCATCTTGTGAGGGATGTCGCGGCAGGTTGCTCTTGTCTAGAACAATTCGGATACGTTCATCGCGATATTGCGGCCAGGAACATTCTACTGACGAGGAAGAAAGCTGGAAGAGTGGCAAAGATTGCTGATTTCGGAATGGCCAAAGAGATCAACATGGGTTCCGTGTATTACCGACTGCATGGTCGAGCTATGCTGCCAATTAAATGGACCCCGCCGGAAGCATTCATTGATGGCATGTTCACAACAAAATCAGACGTATGGAGTTTCGGAATTCTTGGATGGGAAGTGTTCTCTCTCGGTGTAATTCCTTATCCAAATCGTAGAAATGAGGAAGTGATGATAATGATAACGGAGGGAGAAAGACTCGAATACCCATTCGGAATACCTCCGAGAATTTATAAGCTAATGAGAAATTGCTGGAAGACGAATCCGAACCACCGACCAACATTTGATGAGCTCCTAGAGCAGCTGGATGATATTCTTCTTGACAATTCTGTCACGGGAATGCCATTCCCAACTCATCCAGCCGTCAGGGCTTCCTTTGCTCGCGCTCAATCTACTCCCCAGTCCTGCGAGACCCCACAGACCTCGATGACAGAGATCTCAGCAGCTAGTATATTTGCTGAAGCTATGCAGAGTTTGGATATGGCTGATATGATCAAATGTTAGTGTTGTATTGTATCTTGGCAACCTTATATATTGCAGTGCACGAAATAATGATGGTGCAAGAGGAACCGTATGTCTCGGAAATCTCGGCTTCCGTGATGACAACCCTTCGCCAGGATTTGGCTCGGCAGCAGATGGAAAACGGCGCTCCATTCCGGCCATCTTTAGTTCACCCAAAGCAACATTTTCCTCAAAAAGCGGAAGGTTGATTGAATTTTTTCGGTTTTATCCAAGTTTCCTGAATATAGTTGCAGAAAAGCCCGTTGATCTTGAAGGACTCGTCGTGTAGGATACAGTAAGTGATTTAGGATTCATCGAAAAGACATTTGAATTATTTAAGGGACCCGCCCTCCATCGACCGTCAAGCCTAAATTTTGAGTCATCGACACCATTGCTAGCTGAGTAGATCATAATTTAATTATCAAAATCTTTTTATTTTTCACATATTTTTCCATTTGTATGGGTCACTTATTTTTTTCAACATATCTCTAAAATAAACGAATGCGAATTAGGATTTGATTTGACAGAAAATACCAATGCAGTTACTGACATTTTTAACAGGTTTCTTTAAGCAATGAAGAACTCGAATATACGCTTATAACGGGTTTTTTTTATCTGTTTCGTAGAATTTTTAAAGTTCGAATTTTTCCACAAATCCGATTTTTGAAGTTACTCAAACTTTTTAATTAAAATTTGATTTCTTGTTTTTTATTTCATTCGGTCGCCCTCTTCATCGTTATCCACACACCCATTTCCACCTCCTTCTTTTCGCCTATTTCTCAAATGAATTTATTCGACTTTTTTACGCTGTCCTCTTCCTTCTTTCTTATTCTTCTTCTACTTTCTTCCATCCTCCCATCAACTTCAATTTTCTCCCCTTTTTTGATTTTGTCCTTTTAAAAAATAATCTCCGTAAAACGACCACCAACAGGAATTATTCGTTTCGTGGGCAAACAACTAGGGCTAAATTTTTTTTTAATTTCAGCTAACCACTTGGTGGTCATTTCGCATTCGTATCCAAATTAGATGGGTATTTTTCGGAGATTGTAAGAGCCATTTAATAGCAAAATAACTAAATAACTAACAGCCACATAAATAACCACTGCTCATTTTTATAGCTTACAGATTTATGTAGTTTGTGGTTAAATGTTAATTATGAGAACGAACAAAGAAATCTTTAGTTTTATCGTGAATCTCATGTTTCTCAATATGGAAACTCCGGTTTTGTATATGCAATACACATTTTCCGGGAATTCGGCCTCTAAAAATTCTGCGTGAATATTTAATCAATACGCTTCATTAAGGCCACGGTACCAAAGGTGAAAGATTTCATTCGAAGATAAATAAATTTTAATTGGATGGTGTATAGTGTTCTCGGATTCTTCCCACTTAATTTATTATCTTTTAATTTTAAATAAGTTTACGACTTCTTTATTTTAATTCAATAAAAAATCCAGTAAAAATCGTGGTAATTTATGACGGAAATGTATTATTTTCACGTCCAACATCGTTTTTGAAGGAAATTGCCACCGCTAAAATAATGATGAAGTTCACGAAACGGCACGATTTCATTTCCCGTATTCGACGGTGAGATCTATGAAAGAGCAACTTTTTTTTGCCAATTTTTGCGGAAACCAGGTGATTTTCTGTTTATTTGGTGCTTTTTCCCGTTTTCGGTGAACGTGAAATAACCCAACTTCTATGTGTTTGTGTTTTGTCGAATTCCAAACTACTCAGACACACTGATTTCATTGGTCGCTCATTGCACAAAATTTGCTTCTTTTGCATTTTCTAAAGATGAATAATTACCCAAATCGACGGCAGCGTTACGTCGATTTCGTGAATCGAAGAGTTTGTACGCTTTTTGCGTTTTCACACATTTGCCTGTTTTGATCTACCGCAGCGAAAATCTTCATTCATGAAATATTTACGAAAAATGTAGAAAATTTCATTAAATGTGCATTTTTAGATTCTTACATTGGAAACATGTGTAATTTTTATATTCATTATTGCCTTGGCTACTTATGAGTCTATTCAGGGTTTGCAAAATTCTCAGATTTAGTTCGTCGCAAATCAGCGTATTTGCTCGGCACGATAATTGAAATTCTAACATTAAAAAAGTGGGAATTAATGCTTTATTAGGGACCAAAAAACCTGACGAACAAACCGAAGGTAATTTACCCGAGATTTCTAGTTTTATGCGACGGTTTTTCGAAAAATGTGCTGCTTATTCGTAGAAAATTGGGAATGATCAAATACTTAATTACCCGTCGTAGGCCGAAAGCCAATTTCCTGGTAATTAAAAAAAGAGGAAAAATATAGAATTTGTTTGATTTTATCAACAACAAAAACCAGTTAGTGACGATTTCAGCCCTTTCAAAAAATGTTTAACGTTTTTTTAACCCAAGAAACAAAGAAATATTTAGTATTGTTTATCATACATGCTTTGGTGTTGGGCCGGCTCGCATAATTAATTTATAATTGTTCTTTTAGAAGAAGTAAAATCTATATAGCTGTATAAATATTTTTCTGGTGTTGCTCTCCTGATCCAATTAATATCTCCTCCCACTATTTCTTTCCTCTCTTCTCAGGCGCTTTTTTCTGTCCGAATAAATCCGGTTGCTTGGATTGTTCATTGTCGCCTAATCTTCGCTGAGCCAACAATTCACATTTTAATATTCGTTGAGATAGAAACCAACCAAAAAGAAACTCATGTCGAATTCTTCCAAACATGCGTAACCCACCAATAACTGAATTTCAAGAATTTTCTAGTTTTTTTTACAGAATGGTCCTCGATACCTCCTGGAACGAGACCATCAGCCAATACGGGCACAAGGTATCTCAAAAAGGGTGTTGGAATATTACGTAGTTTAACTTTTACAGGGGGTTACAGCTGTTCATTATGCCGCTTTGACTACAGGCACCATTAATTGCATTTTGAATTTGCTTATATGGATCACATTTCATAGAAGTCCTCAATTACTGCAGAAACATCATCTTTACCTTTTTTATATTTTTGCGATCACCAATTTTTTCTCAGGTTTTTTAAATCTTCAAAAGCCACATTGAGTTTTTATTTAATTTTTAGGTTTTTTCACCATTCCCACTTATTTCAACTTGATATATCGCAACAACTTGAACTGCCCGCGATGGTCGATGATGGTAGGCGGAAAATCCGTGCAGAGCACGGATTTTCCGCCTACCATCATCATTTATTATGATTATTATACTTATTATGATTATTACTTATTATGATTACATTTATTATGATTATTATACTATCATCATTTATTATGATTATTATTAATAATATTAATCCATTTTGTTGGGATTAAGCTGTGGACTATGATTATCTCACTTGGAATAATACCGAGAGATTTACGCGGTAACTGCGACCAAAAAAATGAGATTTCATCAAAGTATTGAGATATTTGAAGTTTTATGAATGTTTGCACAGGATTTCGCGCAAAATATGAATTTGTTTCAATTACAGTAACTGAGAAAACAGATTTATCGCTGAAGTTTTATTGACGAAGTAAATAATTTCGATCAAACCCAACTTTGATTATTGACCCAAAATGAGACAGTTTTTCATCTACCTTTAATTTTAATTATAATATTTATTATTCATTATTCAGAAAATGTGCATATTATGGGAAAGTATAACCTTAGCGAAATTACGCCAAATTTTCTGTAAAAATGATATTTTTTGCAGGTTTCGAAATGGCATGCGACAGAATTCGCCACATAATAACACTTTCGATAGCGTGCGAACGAAACTATGCACTTTTTCGACCCGGAGATTATTTTTTCCTAGATCATAAAATGGTAACTACTTAAATAACAAATTAAGTGGATTAGCGTGACAATATTATTCTAGAATAATGACATCATAATTCAGGTATCTATCAAAGTATGCGTCGTTTCATTGCTCTGGGGTCTCTTTGATATGGCATTTTTAATTGTGGAGGATGATTTGAGCGCGGTAATATTTTGAATTTTATTTGCATTTCATTTTCAGCAAAATTAGATGATTCATATTTGGAAATAGAAGAATATTTCTTTAAATGTATAATATAAAATTAATTACATCAGATTCGTGTCCACTGTGTTACGACATCATCGTCAGGTCCAATATTTCATTTATACTTTCTAATATCGACAATTGCGTTCGGGATCTTGCTCTGCTGCTCATATTTCACATTCATATGCAAGCTTTTTGTTCTTCGTGGCACTCGTCTGATCAATCTTCGCTCACGGAGTCGCGAGAATTATCAACAAGTTCAGATTTTAATTTTTCTACTTATAATCAAAATTTTTAGGTCAACTCTCTTACTGTCGCTGTAATTCTCATGGTTATTCTATTTAACGTCCTTCCTAGCACATTATATTTATACGATATGATAATGGGAGAGGTCCATTTCATGAAATGGGGTCCTATTATAACAATTGGCTATCAGTGCTATGGTGCTTTATCATTTTTCTTTTATAACTGGAAACACCGTGAAATTCGAGCAGCCTTACAGTAAGATTAGGCTAAGGTTGCCATATGATTTTGAGTGTTCAGTGATCTACCATTAATAAGAAGATTTTTTAATAGAAACTTGACAGCAAAAACGAAAGACGTTTCGACAAGCTGCATTTTTAAGAGTTTTTCGGGTTTGGTGAGTTTGAGGATGGTCGAAGACACTTCACTTCTTAGTTTAAGCTGCAAGTCGTCAGCCGCTTCCAGAAGAATCCATTCCCATCAACGACAAGTTCACATATTTCCAACGAAGATGAAGTATTCCTTTAACTTACGGATTAGTTTGTTTTTCAAATAAATATTCCTTTCATCTTCTTTGTTTATTTGCCCCTGGACAGGTTTTTAGTAAATCGTTATCATTCAGTCAAGAGTGTAAAAAATGAAAAATTCTCGTCTCTCTTGCGCACGTCGCTTTATTTTCAGCGAAATGCTAATATTTTTTATTTTACTTTTAATTTCACCAACTTCGATGGAGCGGAAGAAGAATATTACGTCTATAAGTGCTAAATTGGATCAAGTCATTGCAGAAGCATTTCGGGTAAACTTAAGTAACCCCGAAAACTTTCCGTTGGATCAGTTTGCAGCAACGCGATACTGATTCAAATCAAATCGTTTCATCCGATGAGATTCGCGATTACTATAAACAGCATCCGGAGAAGATGTCCAAGAAAGGCCTTCATTTTCTGGATAGAACAATTATCACCGGCAGGAATTACACATTAATTGGTGATAAATCACAAATACATTCAATATCACGTTACCGTTTTTTAGAATACAATAAAATGATCAAGGATTGGTTGGCGGAGAATGGAACCGAAACGAGGCTTCTTGCCGACGTGTTCGGCACAAATCATCGAAATTCGACTAATTTGGAAATAAAGGAATAATAATGTCACATAATTATGGGTTATACCAGTCCAAAAATAGTAAGGTGAATGTTAGGACAATAATGCAAAAAAGGAGAATGACCCGACGTAAAGCTGAATTCGTGATTGCTTTACGGATCCATTCATTCCCGTCAATTAAATTTTCCGTAGTGTGAAGAGCAAGATCATTGATTACATCGATGTCCCGCTCCTGATCCATAATCTGGAAAGAACAATTGTCTATAAGCTGTAAAACAACCCTACCTTTTCCGAGAAAATAGAAGAAAGTGATTGAATCTCGCTGATCTGATGCTCAAGCTTGTCAATTTCATCATCGCGATCTGCCAAAACGAATTCTTCTCTTATTATTTCCGTTTGCTGTTGCATTTTCCGCGAAAAATCGTCACCTCGATCATTTTTCCATTCTACACATAAAATATTATCCTTTAAAAAATAATATTAATTTTACGCTCATATGTCTCATCATTTTCGATAATTTTTCTATTTCTGATAGTTTGCTCCACATTTTCATTGAAAAATGGTGAAAATTCGATATTTTTGTTGACAACTTCTCGCGTGATTTTACTCGCTGCTGAGCTTAATGCTACAATAAATGGCTTCTGGTCGAGAATCTGCAAAATCCGATTTTTCAGTTTCATTTTATTTAATAAAAAATTGCCTCAATGTTCTCCCAACCCTCTTCTTCATCTTTTTTTTCATTATCGTTTTCACATCCGTAATTTTGAAAATTAAATTTCAGTTGTGGATTCTTTTCAGCAAGAGCTTCTAACTTTCGGGAGAGTTTACCTTAAAAAATGTATGTATTAAAAATATTAATTATCATTTTCGGATTCAGTTACTCTCAAATTTTTTCATATTCAAATATAAGTTTTTTTTAACTGTGGGCGACTTTTGTATCGACTGATTGAATTTTTCCTGTTTTTTTCCCAAAATGTTGGCCACACAACGTGGAAAAATTGGCAACGTCTTGTTGCGACCGATTCTGGTAACTATTTTAATCCGACAATATATAAATTTACCGCTAATATTTAAATCCTCGGATAGTGCCATTTCCTGTAAACCCAAGTGATACACAAATTTGTGTCCGTCTTTCTCGGCAGAATTTACCCGATCGAATAGAGTCTCATTTTTGTCTTTAACTCGTTTTAAATGTTCTCTTCTGCAAAAAATATCATAAAATCGCTCAGACGCATTTTTCTTCTCCAAAAGTTCGCCAATGCGTAAAACAACGCACACTAACCTTAAAATTGTCACAAAATCCGTCGTTTCTTTCAAAAATTTCTGAATTCCTTCTTGAATTCGTTGTAAATGATTCCGCTCAACAGCGTTCTTCAATCCGTCAGCATTTGCTATTCTCACACATAGTTGATTTAAAAAATTTCCGAATTGGGGCAGAAACTAAAAAAAAAAGTGAAAATGACAACTTTCTGATTCAACAATTTTCGTACTATTTTAACTGTGTCGTCAAGCTCTTCTCGTTCTTCATCGCACATTTTTGAATAAGAGCGTGTTGAGAAAATATAATCTTGGGTTTTATCTTCGAGCATCTGTAAAAATCTAGTAATTTCTAAGCCATATTTAAGAGAGGTGTGTTATTATTCTTTTACTTTATAGAAAATTTTTAAAAGTGATATCATCTGCGTCGCGAGATTGCTGTAAATTGGAAAGATTAAAAAAAAAGAACATTAAAGGTCTTAGTGCGCCATTAACCTTTTTTCTTCTTTTTACAGAATTGCCTCTTATGGGCGTAACAAGAAAAAAGTAGCGGAATTTGCTCAATTCTTAACGAGACTCAAATTTCTCAGTTCTAAAACAATCTTTTAATTGGATTTTTTTCAAATCCTAATGACATCACCGTTCAAAAAATGTATATTACGTGAATAAATATGTGAATAATCTTCTTTTTAGAAAAAAAACCAATAAGGTGACGTCATACGACCTTTCGAAATTCGTAGAGTTCCCTGGCTAACGGTAGTATTGCCATCGACAGATTTACGAATGCCGCCGATGGTCGATTTTCAACTCTTCTAGATCTACCAGGCTTCTCATTATGCCGCCGAACAAACTTTTGTTCAATTTCAGCGGCGAGCTTCCGAAAGTTAGTTGTCTGATCGGCGCCAGTCATCTGCAAACTGTTGTCGATTTTTGGTTTTGAAGCCAAAAATTCAAACAGAAACAAGTATATTGGTCGCATCTCAAGACGAAATAAATTATGCTTACTAGTCACCGCTCCTTTTCTGTGTCTTCAACATTCTTTATTTATTCGCAACTAATTGAATATATGAGTGAAGAAAATAAATTAATACACAAAGGTGATTCGGTGCAATATAATAATAATAATAATAATACAAATATATCTATATAATGTGTAGAAGGAATTTTGTTTGAATGAAGAAAAGTGAGTGCATAGTATAATATTCACAAAATTGTCGTCGATACGCCATCATTTTACTTTCCGCCGGCCCACAACACAATAATAATGATGAGAATGACGACAATTGCGCACATGATAATCATCATTTTGATGTTTTTCCACCAATACTTGCGCTTCAAAGTCGCCGCCGATTTCTCAAATTGAGAAGCTCCTTCCTAAAATTCCTATGAATTTTTGCATTTCGAAATTTTTTACCTGCAGAGCGTCAGCACGATCATCAAGCTGCGAGAGCTTCTGATCTCTCTCCAGAACTTTCTCAACATTTACTTTCATGATTCCAACCACCTCATCGACCTGAGCCTGAGTTTGCTGAAGCCGCTTATTTGAGGCGCGTGGTCCTTGGCTTCCGCCTTGTGCTCCGGCATCACCTTGTGCTGCAAAAATTTCAATGAAACATAATGAAACATTAGGGTTAACTTACGCTCCATTATGACGTTGGTAGAGTGGCGAGTGTGGATCACTACAATAATTTAGATTCGTTCGTTGAACAAAGAACAACAGATACAAAAGCGGAAAACAATGGAAAAGAAGCGAAATATCGATCAGCTGACGCTGCTGACGCATTGTAGGAGAAAAATAAAAAACATGTGTGAACACTGCACGCACAACATTGCGGATGAGACGCAATAGTTGACGACACCATTCGATTTAATTTAATCGAGAAAGAATTATAATGTTAATATAGTTCGAATAATCAACGAACGCAAAACTATAAGGAAAAACGATGAGCGTTTTTTTTTGCCCGGCCCGGACCTCTGAAGGCAAAAGATCGATGAATTTCTTCTCGTCCCGCTCGTTTCTCTTTTTTGGTTGTGTATGCGCGAAAAGCGAGGAAGACGAGTAGTGGGCCGACCGCAGCGTGCTCGAATTCGCGTGTGGAAAATGCAAAAGGAAAACGGAAAAAAGAAGAGAAGACGACGAGCTCTCCGGAGGAGGCGAATCTGGCGCCAGCCCGGCCCCTTTTTCCTCACTATGGATTATGGAGCTGGCGCAATAGACAAGAAAAATAGCGAATATCGGGATTTATGGAAGAGATGATGAAATATGAGCAAAAAGCGGAATTACATATTAATCAAAAACTATTGCGAAACTTGAATACGTATTAAAAGATACATTAACCTTTTTTGAAAGCTACAGTATCTACCAAAAGAATGCATGGAAAGAAAAAATATTCAATTACTTCAAATTTTACGCTAAAAGGTAACGTTTTCTGGAAGAAAGCGGCGCAAAGAGGCTCGGTTCAATTGCCCAAAATGAAAAAAAAGAGAAATGGCGGCGGCAACGCGGCCAAAAAAATCGATAGCCCAGCGGCGCAGCAGCGAAGAGGAAAAAACAACTGCATGGAAAGGACGACGAGATATTTATTATTAGTATAGTCTATAGAATTTGCATAATATTTGAAAAGAAAAAAAAAAACGAGAAATTTGGAAAACAAAAAAAAATTCTAATGGTAAAACGCGTTTCCCAAAAAACGTGGCAATCAGAATTTTTGCTGCGAGATCTTGCCGTTCAGGCACGTTGCGGTCCAGCAATAACATTGAATAATAAATTAAAAATAAACAGAACCGCTCGCAAACCGCAACGCGTATGACGACATAGAATAATTACGGTAGCCGCTTTTTGGGAAGCAGGCTGGCTATGTAGATTTCGCAAAAGAAACTCAAAAAATCCAATGGCGCAAAAACTACATAGTTTTAGCCAGTTTTTAGAAGTTTTTTTTAAATCCACATAGTACATACTATATATAACAATATATAGTAAATTCAATTATATTCTATGAAACAGGAAGGAGGTTGATGTGATGCGCAATTCATAATCGTGATGGGACCTGAGGGAATTTCGATGCCCCACAGAGATATATGTGATTTTATGCTGAAAAAAAATGTTTTGAACAATAATGAACGGCTCTTGTCGCGCAAAAACCTTTCTGAGAATCTCATACATGACATTCTCCATATTTTCATCAACATTACTAGTGGCTTCATCCAAAAATGCTACATGCGGTTTGGCGAGAAGCATGCGAATAAATACAAGCCGTTGTTGTTCGCCAGGCGACAGCGTTTCTTGCCTGGTCAAATTGTTTCATTAAGCGTTTCGATTGTTCCACTTCAAGGATTCTGAGGCACTTACCATTCGAAGTCGACCTGTTCATGAATGGAGCCGACGATTTGGAGCAAATGCGATAATTTCATTTCATGCAAGTATCTAACGAGCTCGTCATGATCGATTTTTTCCACATCTCGCGGGAAACTTAATTGCTGGGCCAATGACAATCGACCGACTGGGAAATACGGGCGTTGCGTAAGGAAATATGAGTCACGAGTTTCATAATTTTTATGAATTATCCCTGAAACAAGATATATTGTATAAAATGGTTCCATAATACCCCATTATTCGAATAAAATATATTTGATTTTGGTTTTTATTTCATATTTCCTATGAGAAATTTTTATTCGCAGAATGGTCTCATCTTTAAGGTTACCTCTTGCTGGCCACATTCCTTCGAAAACTCGAAGAAGCGATGTTTTGCCGATTCCGCTTTCTCCGGTTATCAACAGATTTGAGCCGCGGGGTAATTGGAACGATAAATCTAAACAAAAATAAAATAGTTTCGAAACTTTGAACCAGAAGTTACTTTCAACAATACACACACTTGGATTTGTGGGAGGTCCGAATGATAAATGCTCGACCTCGAGAATATTTTTTTTATCGACTTTCTCGTTTTCCGATATCGAACCACTATATCCATTATTCTCAATTCCTTCTTCGTACATTTTTCCAGAATCCACGAATTCGGAAATTCTAAAAATAAAAAAACATAGCGTTCAATTCAAAGTCATACCTCATAACATAACCACCAAGTTCAGCCAAGTTCATTGCCAAATCAGTAAGTCGCGTGAAGCAATTAATAAGATACATGAAAAAGAAAGAGTTCTTAAATTTGATTTTAATTAAAACAGATTTCTTCTGACTTACATTACTAATTTTCTCCGAAAATTGTGCTGGAGTAAGATCATCATACATATGGAAAATAAAAATAGGGAAAAGCTGCAGAATATATGACATGCAGGCCCCATAATAATCAAAAAACGATTGGAAAACTGAAAAAAATAATGATTAATTTGAAAATTGAATACACAGATTTTTGGCATCAAAAACTTTCCATAGGCCAAAGGCAGAACGAGTACTCACATTGGGATGGGAATTTCCAACACATAAATATGAACAATCTTTGGGACAGAACACTGAATGTAAAATCAGAAAATATGTGCTCAAATTGAGACGCACGCCCAAAACGGGATTCTTCGGAATTAACACGAACAGATACATGCTTATAACTGAAACTTTTAAAATACACAAAATCGTATTTTCAATTAAAACTGTACCGAAAATCTCCTTCGGCTCTTTCAACTCTTGCAGCATTTGGCGTAAGAGGAGAAATTAAAATCCTATTGATTACGACGCCAATAAGGAAGTATGCAAAGTTCAATCCAACTCCCCATCCTCCAGCTCTGAATTTTATTCAGCCATTTAGAGAGTAAAGATCAGAGTTCTCACGTGTTCCACACTTTTATTGAGTAATACGTTACGATGAATGGCGATAGCAAAACTGTGGGAATAATACTTGTCGCTAGGATCTTTGTAAGTTTGTCGGCGTCTTGGGTAATTCTCTGGTCTCTGAAAAACCAGTCTATGTAATTAGTCAATTGCACTACAGAATTTTAAATCATCAGAAAAGCTTACGGATTATCGATTCCTTCATTATCGATACCATTAATTTGATAATAGAAATTATTTTTGTAATATATTGAATGTAATCTGTTGACTAGATTTTTCCGTTGTTGCACGTACAAACACCACGAGAAGAAATTCATAATTGCAATCAGCTTCAAATAGAAAATTAGTTCCTTGATGTATAAAACAATGTATTACCAGACATAGACCAACGTAGCAACCAGAAGCAATCCAGAAAATATGCCAAAATTTAGATTCATTCTTTTGTAGAAGATACAAGTAAAATTTTCCGGGGATAAACCCGGTTTTATAATTGACAATTTCATCTGAAGGTTGACAAATTATAAAGAATAGAAACATGTTTATTAATTCAACAAACTTCCCACAGCTGCAGCAATTGTCAACGCTGTTAATCCAATAGTCAACAAGAAATTGGAATAAAGTAGTGGGAAAAGGCGAAAAAGATTGATAATGACCCGAATGCCAAATTGAAATTTTTTTTCAATTGCCTGCAGTTTACCCATTCCTGCAAAATAGGAAATTAATGAACCGTAAATACCAAAAAAAGAGATAAATCAAAAAATCGGTGGCCAATTTATCGAATTTAGTTATCAGTCTCCTTCAGGCAGCCACCGATAACACATTTCAATGAACATAATTTGATCATAGATTTGTGGAAAATAATATTCGAAAAATGATCAATTTTCATCTATAGCTTGATCTACTGATAATTTTGTTCTGAGTGTTGTATATATCATAAATTTGGGTAAAATGTAATTAAAATTTACAATTGTTTCGTTTGTGTGGAAAAAAAAGTTCAACATTTTAATTTTAAAGATTGTCAAAAATTTAGTAGATAATTTCAAGATGTCACGCTAGTTGCCCTAGTTTCAAGCATTTCTCGTTAACGCCTCCTTGTAAGTAGTTTTTAGAAAAACTCAGGAAATTCAAATTTTTCAGAATGTTTGAATTTATTTCATCAAAAATTGTTACGTTTTCCTGTATTTGCATTTTTTCACAAATTTCCGGCTTCGGAATTGCTGACAGAAAGGTATTAATTTAGCTTCGGTTTTTGTAGGGTATTTTTGAATTTTAAACTTTGATTTTTATAGGGTATTTTTGAAAATTTCAATAGCTCAGAAAATTATACAAAAATCAATGAGAAATGCCAAAATTCGATGAGAATCTGGAAGAAAACCTTCAAAGATTACTGGAGAGAAATTAAAGATTGTCGCATAAATGAGTGTGAATACGGAAGAATTGAGAATTTGACCTTTGCAGTGCGACGTAAATGAATTGAATTACCGTTGTTTTCATAGAAACTGATTTCAGAAGTGGAGTCTTCTGCAAATTTCCCAACAATCCGGATAAATAGACAAAAAGTGATATTTGACGGCGATTATCATCAATGTGAAATGTCATCAAATGCATATTACTCCACAAATTATTGCTACTTGGTGCTAGAGCGCGGTAAGAATGGATCTTGTGCGATTCCGCCTCTGGAACAAATCAAATCCGCCATCGGGTATTCTAGAGTCTGCGAGGAAGGGGTTCGTTTTTTTTATTTTACGAAAAGAATGTATTAAATTTCGAGAAGGATGGCTGCGGATCGTCTTATGTAACGCTTATGAAATATGCCACGTGTATTCCTAGTACCTGCAACCAAGAAGTATGCCATTTTCTACAATCTATCGATAAATATTTCACAAATGTTGTAGGATCTCGTTAATTTATTCAATCAAGTGTCTGACCTCCCATACACTGCCTGCCGGAGCTTCTGTGCAAATTTTGATGTTGAGAAAGGAGCGTCATTCTGGATTTTCACGTCTGTGTTCCATTGATAACTAAATTTACTGCTTTTTTAGCATATTTCTTACCGCCTATGTTATTTTCGCCGTTTTTGCGACTGTTTTCGATTTTTTCCGCAGTGTCTATTATGAGCAAGAAGCTTCGGACGAGACCAATTCAAGTGATTTCACTATCAACATTTCATATTCTTTCAATATTCAGAAATTCGTGCGATTCTGGCATTCTCATTCTGGACAAACGCCGAGACCATATTGTCGGTGAAAGAACACAAACCTACCGTTATTCGCTGCATGGACTGTCTAAGGTTTTTGACTATGTGCTGGGTCATTATCGGCCATTCACTTATAATGTTCACTATGGGAGATTCCATTGAACATATTCAAGAAGTTCCGAAAATAATTTGGAGTCAGTTGTTGCTTAGCGCAGCCGTAGCGGTTGATACATTCTTCGTTATTTCTGGCACCCTATTGTCTTATGCGTTCTTTCGGAATATTCCCGACTTGGCACGCTTACGAACATGGATAATTTACTATGTTCACCGTTATCTTCGGATTACTCCAGCATTGATGATTTTTCTTGGTTTTTTTGCTGTTTATACTCCATATATTCAAGGACCAGTGATGGCTTCACAATTTAGTACGTATAATTTAATCTCATCATTATCATTTTCGTAGACAAACAAATTTGACTATTAAAATCATCAACGTGTGAACATTTTTTATATTTCTTTTTGATATCCGATAATATTATAGAACATTTATGAGTTTCAGATGGTCATGTAATGCAGGCCAAAGGCTGCGAAACCTCATGGTGGCGTAATATGCTGTATATCAACAATTTTGATGCCGACCTGGTGAGTCTTTAAGTGTTCCATACCGTAATAACTAATGTTCAGTGCTACTATTCGACCACATGGTATCTTGCTGTCGACATGCAGTTATATATAACGGCCCCAATATTTCTCATACTACTTTATTTCTCATTTTACGTCGGAGCATTTTTTATGATAACTTGCACTATGGCTAGTTGCACTGCAGTTTACATATTGTATGCGAAATATGATTTACCGGCGGATTTAGTGGGAAATGGGTATATATTTCAATCTATCGCTATTTTTGAATTCTTTCTTTTTTCAAGAAATATTGTATACTTATTTTCGATGATGTACTCGAAACCTTGGATCCGTTGCCCGACGTATTTCATGGGACTTATCATTGGATACTTAATTGCGTTCTATGGAGGCCGCAAAATTGAACTTAGCTCTAAATTAACAACCTTCTTTTGGTTTTGCTGTTTTACAATTATATATTTGGTGATTTTTTCTAAAATTGAGTATGACCGGGGCGAATATTGGAGGTAGATAATTAATAAAGTGTAAAATTATGTAACAACAATTTAGCGTTGTCACACGAGCCACATATTTCAACTTCTCCAGAATCGGCTGGGGAGTTGCGATTTGCTGGATTATTATGGCAACTCATTTTGGATGGGGAGGTTTGTTGAAGATTTTCGTTTAACAAGCATATCATATTTTTAGGATTTATTACTAACATACTTTGTCACCCAATATGGCAGCCACTTGGAAAGTTATCTTACTCGACTTATATTATTCATTGGATGGTTATTTTGTATTTTATAAATACATTTAACCAGCCACTGCATTATGCAAACTTGAAAAATGTGGTAGGTTTTGTAGCATCAGGGGTGGCAAAATTGGGAGGCCCGAAGGGGATGTTTTTGGTGGTTCTGGTCGTTATCGAACTAGGCCGTCATAGAATTCTCAATAAAGCGTGTTGTGTTTTTTTTTTTCTTAAAACGTTCATCGACTGTAGTCGACCTATTCATACAATAAAAAATTGTAAAAACCTCACATTTTTTCCAATGCAGCAGTTCAAGGAATACAATGGGTATTGGGTACTGGTTTTGCCCCACCATCCCTACGACTGGCTCGGACACCCCCAACTTGAACAAATTTCTACTAGTTAAATTTGAGGAGTCCGAACTAAGTGGGGGTGTGAGGGCGGCTAATTTCAGAGCATTTCAGAGTTTCAGAGATTTCGGATCTTACGTAGATGAGCCCTCCCCCCTTTAATAAACGTTTTTAAACAACTTTTATGTGAGCAATTGCAGTACCTTGCTTATTCGGTGCCTTCAATTTGTTTATGCTTCTTTCTCGCTTTCTTCTGGAGTTGTTTGTTCGAGCTTCCCATCATAAAGTATTAGGATATTTGTTTCCCTCAAATTTATTTCATAAATTTTCAGCCTGGAAAAAATGCTTTTTGCGCCTAAAATTTCGAAAAGCATTTCTGAAGAAACGGATGCCCTTCCTCCTGAAGATATTGAGGTTAGTCTTGATGATGAGGAGTTAGAGGACCCGGATGAAAAATCACTGAGAACATTGACCAAGAGTATTTCATTTGAAAAAGCTGTCGTTATTAATAAATTATAAATTGTTTTCGATTGCTCATCAGGTCTCAATGACCACCAAAACATTGGAATGGCAAATGTTTGCCTTGTTTTTATAGAGGTCACCCGGAAAATGATAACACCTGTTCGCGAGGGCCCAAGTGCTCATTTCCTATCTTTTTGGTCCACGGAATGCCTCTCATCGGACTACTTTTTCTCATTTTTCTGCAGTTATCATCTATAGCAGCCGGTAAAAATGTCAATGTGCCTGTGGTGTTATGGCATGGAATGGGTAAATATCGTACACTTTTGGGCAAGCGTTTCAACAATTTAAGGTGATTTTTGCTGTAATCCGTTGTCGATGGGCTCCGTGAAGAAATTATTAGAACAAGAGATTCCCGGCGTCTATGTGCACAGTTTACAGCTTGGAAGCTCATACTCGAAAGTGTGATTTATCTGAAATTATGATTTTAAATTAGTAATTTTATAGGATATTGAGCATGGTTTCTTCGCCAATGTCAACGAACTTGTCTACATGGCTTGTGTAAAAATCCAGAACGATCGAAACCTAAAATATGGATATAACGCGATCGGATTTTCGCAAGGCGGCCAGTTTATGAGAGCTGTGGCACAGAGATGCCCGAATCCTCCAATGAAAAACTTAATTTCAAGTAAAACACTGCAATTTTTCGGACCACACCTAAATTTCTAGTTGGCGGACAGCAGCAAGGCGTCTTTGGCATGCCATATTGCATTGGAGACAACGTAATGTGCAATATAATGCGAAAAATGATCGATTTTGGAGCGTATACATCATTCGTACAGAAAAAGGTGGTGCAAGCGCAATACTGGCATGACCCGATTAATGAGGACCAATACAAAAATCGATCAACTTTCCTAGCAGATATCAATAATGAGAATAAGATCAAATCAGAATATAAAAAAAATCTGCTCCAGATAAAAAATCTGGTATTGGTGAAGTTTTCTGACGATCACATGGTGGTGCCAAGAGAGTCTTCGGTAGGCATTTTCTACTTATGCTAAATTTCATAGGTTAATTTCAGTGGTTTGGATTTTACAAAACTGGAGATATTGATACTATTTTGTCATTAAATGAAACAGATTTGTATAAGGAGGTTTCGATTCTTGAAAATTGTAATTTCAACTAAAAAACAATTTAGGATCGAATCGGTATTCGAAAATTGTATGAATCTGGAAGATTGCACTTCGTTGAAGCGGATGGCGACCATTTGCAGTTATCGCACGAAAAATTTGTCGAAATAATTAACAAATACTTAAAATAAAATATTTATTTATGTATATTATATATATATATATATATATATATATATATATATATATATATATATATATATACAAAAATTAATTGCAAATTGTCTAAACTTTTGGAATACCGGCAACAACAGCGTGCTCAATTCCACACTCGTTGGTTCCGCGGATAATACGGAAGTAACCATTCTCTCCCCAGTTGACGTTCCATGAGTTGGCAACGAGCCAGTATGGAGTTCCGTTTTCAGTTCCCCATCCAAGAATCTTGATCGCATGCCCTCCGAGTTCTTCTCCTCCGGTATGAACGTAGATTCCGCTCTTGTATTGGTAGAAGTCTTCGTAAACGGTGAATGCAGCTTCAACTGGTCCGTTTGTGAGGATTTCAGTCTGGATTTGTCCGACCTTCTTGCCAACAGCATAGGCGGATTGCCCGAAGTGTTTGTCGTCATTGAAACTAATTGGGTAGTTGTTCTTCGAAGTGCACTTCTTCACACACTTTGGAGTGCTGTATCCGTCTTCTGGGCAGTCAGGCCAGGTCACGTTTCCGACGGTTTCAGAGCATGGGGCCAACGAGTACGGCTTGCATCCGAATTGCGATTCGTACGATCCTCCGGTGACGAGTCCGGTCTTCGTCCAGTATTTCCAAGCTTGAATTGGATATCCTCCGTCACATCCATATCCACAGCTTGAGCAGCATGAGAGCAAGTCTTCAGCGGAGATCAAGGTGTTGACGGCCCCCTTCGAGGCAATGCAAGTACGATCGGAAATAGCCTCGGCGGCGGCAAAAGCCCAGCAGGATCCTGAAGTTTTTCGTGATACTCACAATTACTCTAGAATACAATGACAAAGAACTTACCACAGTCAGACTGATCTCTGATGTTATTGATGGAAACACAGTTTGGCCATTGCTTACGAGCATCAAAGGAATCCGGGAGGTCGGCTCTTACTGGAATCTCCTGGACAATGCTGTCATCATGAGCTTGGTAGTAGATTTTCGATTTCATGAGTTTCGATTTGACCTGTTCAATCGAAAATTCCGGAATTTCAGCTTTCCAGAGCTTTTGGTTGGCATTGATGAACTCGGTAAGAGCTTTTCCAGTCAGCGATTCTCTTGGAATAGTCATGGAAAGAGCAGAAACGCAAAAGGCCACAACGAGCGCAAACTTCTGTAATTTTCCTTCCAAATTAAGGATATAAAAGTTAACTCATTACCAGAGCCATGGTGAATTAGATGGAACTGAATGCTGATATCGGCAACTACCAGCAGCATATTTATACCCGATTCGTTTGGAGTCACTTGATTTCTCAAATGTGTGCGATAACAAAATGCGATCACGGAATTGGCACCCTAATCATAGGTTATCAATTTGATTTTTTGACGTACTATTCTGATAAGCATTTTGCTCAAATCAGCACTGTCCGCGTATGAAGAGGGAAAAAACCAGGGTTGGTATAACATTTAAAAGTATTGAAATATGATGGAAAATAGATAAGAAATCGAAAAAAATAAAAAATCCGGTCAGAATTCCAACAACAATTTGTAGTATTCGGCTCGGCCGACGACAAAGGCCTTAAAAAAAATTCTAAATTCTAAATAAAATGCACAAGCCTGGAACGCCGGTTTCAGTTTCATTTCGAAATTTTCTGTCGTCTTTGAGTGTCATTCAGTACCTAACAGAGCTGAATGCATATTTGAGACAAAAATCCGTATTGTTGAAAAATGACAAATGTATCCAGGTGTCGTAGGATCCTGTGTTTTGTACGCAATGCTAAGAGACAGTTACCGTAATCCTCGAAGCGAATTATGGGGGCTTTTTTTAAATTTCGCACATTCATTTTTTTTATTTTTCGATCAATTTTCGTATTTCCCTTCGAAATTTCGTTATTTAAATTTTGTAGAAACCGAGTTTAATAATTTATTTAGCAGAATAAGCACTTTTAAACGATATTTTTTGTAAAAACAGCAGAGATTTAAAAGAAAACATTTTTTGTCGTTAATAAAATTATTTATTCGTGTTTTGCTTTTTGTACGCGTTTCTATTATCTTGTTTTTGTATTCATTTTCAAAATAATTATTAGAGCGAAAAAATCTTCACAATAATTCCCAACTCAACTGGGCAAATGGAAAAGTGCATATTCTGAAAAATAAATAATTAAACTCGGTTTCTACAGGTTTTAAATAAAAGATTTCTAAAGAAAATAAGAAAATACAGCAAAAAATTGAAAGAAATTAAAAAATAAACTCCGTTAATCGCGAACTTGAAATCATTGCGGTCTATGCATTTTATTTGACGACAATACACACGTTTTATTCGCGATCGATTTTCTCTTTTTTTCGTTATTTTTTTTAAAGTTTTCTCCGGCAATCCATTAATGCCTAAAACTTCGATAAATATCTAAAATAATGATTTTCTTAATGTCTTTTAAGTACTTTGAATCGAGTTAAAAATATGATGAGCAAGACCATTTTGCAGAAAAAATCTATCTATTTGAAAATTTGGGAGATTCGAATGTATGCTCGCAATTCCGTCAGAGTTTGTATATCTTTTTGACAAATTTTTCGAAAATCAAAAGGTATGACTTCTTTTTTCGTTCATTTGCTTTTCAAATACATAATACGACATGTTTACTTATTTGTTCGTTTGCCTGCGTCTATGATTCATCAATTGAATTGCGAAATTGCTCGTTTAAAAAGAGAAAAATCGAATGGTTTTTGATGATTTTTTGGCACATTTAGTTCAGCATTCTCGATTTTACTGTGCAAATAGAATACAAACGATTAGAATTTCCACAGTTTTTTAATGAAGTTTTTTCCCGCATAAAAAAACGAGCACCTTCAACGCTGATTTTGAATAGCAGATTTTTCGTAGCGCGGTAGTTCCCACCTTTTAAATTCGAATTTGAATTTATTGTGGACTGTTTAATGCTTTCTAGGTTGTAATTTATATTCAAATGTAAATTTTTTTAAGATGCATTTTTTTCCGATGATGTATTTAATATATGCATAATTAATTTTCAAATAAAACTATTTCCCTTACCTTTTCTCGTTTAAAAAAACTTTTTTTCCAGCAAAATGGCATCAATTGAATGTGAAATGCGTGATCAGCCAATCACGAAACTTGTTATATTTAATGATCGAGCTGAAGTCCGACGACATATTACTGTTGAATTGAAAAAAGGATTCAACGAAGTAAATGTCAATGTACTTCTTCATAAAAATGTCTCCATTAAAATAATACATTTTAGAACCACGTCAGCAGTCTCGTACATGATTCATTGAGAGTTGAAGGCCGTGGAAAGGCTGTGATTCATGATGTTGTTGAGAAAATCAAGCCAGCATTAGCTGAAGAAACGGATTCTCCAAAACATTCCCTATTGAGGGCTGCTTTAAAATCGGTAGAAGCTGAGAAGAAACATATCGATGATCAAAAATCGATAGCTGTCAAAAAAATTGAAGCGTTAGACAATCTTATATCGAAGGTTTTTATTTTGTAAGTTTAGTTTTATTATGAAATATTTAGATTGGAGATGGTGTATTTTCACATGAAAATGCATCGTTCAAATTGGGAGATAGTTCATTGGAAGATGTCACAAAAGTATTCGAATTCTACGAAAAACAATCAGAGGTTTTTAAGAACGGTGAGTTAATGAACTTATGGACCTATTCATGCAATGAAAAAATCTATTTTTTCCATTTGAATTCCCTATGCACGCACGTCGAAAATTACAAAAAGTGGACGCGATATATCGTAATTCTCCGCTATTTATTTTCAAAGGCGCACGCGAAAAGTTGCGAAGTCGGTACTGTAATTTTTTATTTTTCATTTTGTGTGCTATTTTTCCGTATTTTTCATAAACTTTGAAGAGGAAAGGAGTAACGGATTGAAGAACGTGGAAAAAAACAATTATTGGTATAACTACTCCTAATTCGACAATATATGTATGTATGTCTATTTTTCGTCATTTAGATACCAATTATTATGTGAAATAGTAATATTTGTGTTGATTTGAAGCAGACTTCGCTCGATGACGCTTCTTATGGACATTTAGCGTTGATTAAACAAAATGCTTTCACAGATTTCCAAAAAACGTTTTAAACGCTCAAAAGTTTAAAAAATTAAAAAAAAAACAGCCATCAAAAAATTACAGTACCGACTTCGCGACGTGACCCGCACAACTTTTCGCGTGCGCCTTTGAAAATAAATAGCGGAGAATTACGATATATCGCGTCATTTTTTTTGTAATTTTCGACATGCGTGCATAGAGAATTCAAATGGAAAAAATTGATTTTTAAAATTTTTTTCATTGCATGAATAGGTCCATTAATCATGAACTAAATATTATTTTGTAGAACTTCGAATAATCGAACTCAAGCTGGAAGAAGTTACTGAAAGAGCGAATAAAGCTCGTGATGAATTCAGAAGAGCTCAGAATGAAGACGAATTTTCAAAGACTTCAAGATATGTGTCGATCACTGTCGAGGCTTTAGAAGACTCACGTGCTCAATTGGAAATCACTTATCAAGTATACAGTGCTGGATGGATACCATCGTATGATATACGTGTGAATACCGAGGAGTCTGTCATGAATATTTTCTATTATGGAAAAATTTATCAACGCACTGGCGAGGACTGGAATAATGTTACTCCTTACCTATCAACAGCACAACCTGCTCTTGGAGGACATATTCCTGAATTAGGAACTCTTGAGGCTATCTTTTGGAGACCTTCTCCACCTCGAGTACCCACAATGCGTCAAATGACAATGAAAAATTCGTTGGGCGGCTGTCGTGCTGCTCCACAAAGCGCGATGTGCATGGATGCAATGCCAGTAGCCGTCACATCGGATGTGGTTCGAAATGCGTTGTGTGCAGAATTCAAGATTGTACGTGAATCGAATATTCCAAATGGAACCCAGGACCATAAAGTGACGATAGGAATTGTGCAGCTGAATCCAAAATTGATTCACGAAAGTGTTCCATCAAAAAATGCTGCGGCTTTCTTGACTGCTTCTTCTATTAATACCTCGGAACTTGTTTTGCTTGCTGGAGAAGCTTCAGTTTACCTGGATTCGGCGTTTGTAGCGAAGGTAAACTGGTTTTCTATAAATTTTAGTCGGTAAATTTAATTCAGACCCATCTGAAAAATGTATCTCCTGGAGAGCGATTCAGTTGCAGCTTAGGTGTTGATTCCGCGATTAAAGTTGAATACAAACCAGCTAAGAGATACCATGAAGAAGGCGGATATATTAACAAACATTCATCGAATATTACGTCGCAGACAATTATGGTGAAGAATACAAAGATGGAGCAGCCAGTCTTGCTTACTATCAAACATCATGTGCCGCGAAGTACCGACGAGAAAATAAAGGTTCATTTGATTCAACCACATGCGCTTCCCTTCGATCCAACTGCCGAAGTATCATCCGAAATTGCGGAGCCAAGTGAAGGTGCCAAGCTAAATTCGAGTAATAATCTCGAATGGTCTGTCAAAATCAAACCGGGACAAACTCAAGTATATTGATTTTATTCAATTAAAACGCCAAAGATTTCAAATATTATAGGAACTTGTTATCAAATGGTCTGTGGAACACCCGAAAAACGAAAAAGTCGAATACAATGAAGTATTTTGATAACATTTCGATATATCATGTAAATATACAATATTTTGTGTTGATGTAAGCTAAATTATTAAAAAATGATATGAAGCATTAGTTATTTTCATATATCACTGCTCCCCTCCCCATTCTCTCTCTCTCCAAAGGGGGCAAAAAATGTTAAGGGGGGGGGAGGGCTAATCTGCATTTTAACCATATACACTGACACGGAATTGTCATTTAACATTAGCTTGATTTATATACCCGTACACTAAATAGTAAAATTAAAAATCAAGTAAAAAATTAGATGAATTTTCGAATTCTCGATAAAGAAATGAATTGTTCCTTGACAATTTTTGCTTGCATTTGCTGCAAATGTTCTCGTAATTCAAAATAAAACCAAGCACTTACATTATATAAAAAAATGATAAATGCGAAAGTAAAAGTGGCGAACAAAAATACATATAAATTGCTGATTCGTGACTTGTTCATAAACCACAAAAAAATTGCGATAGCGACAATAATGGTTCGGTGTGGATTTTGTGAGTGGTGATTCATATCTCATCTACCTGCTTTTAATCGAAAGAACCGGAATACGCTCTACCCATCTAGTTTTGCAATTTATTTTTATCTGATCTTCTACCTGCATAGAATCAGCAACGCAAAAATGGTTCAGCTCGCGCTGACTCGAATGAGTCTTGAACTTGGCTCATTCAAAGTAGCAATGAATGCGTACTCTATGTATAAGGAAAAATTCACTGAGTAATAAAAATTAAAAATCAAGTAAAAAATTAGATGAATTTTCGAATTCTCGATAAAGAAATGAATTGTTCCTTGACAATTTTTGCTTGCATTTGCTGCAAATGTTCTCGTAATTCAAATTCATCACCAATGAGTCGTTCGTCGTAAGACCACGTCATATTTTTCGAATTGCACAAATCAAGATCAATGCCGCCTGCTAATGGGTTTACCCATTCGTACATTGAAGATTTCTTTATTCTGAAATATATTTATGTAATCATGTTAAAATGTCTTAAATTGATCAAACATCACACCTGGGTCTACTTGTCAACTTTCGAATCTGCGAGTTTTTCCATGAATGAAACATGAAGTCGCCAATCTCTTTATTCCACACATTGTTTGTCAGCCAGCTATCTCTTGCCCATCCTTCAATTTTTCCTAATATTCGCACTCGACCCAGTTCGTGCCGGGACCATCCTAATATAGTTCTTAAACAAATATCTGCGTCACGAGAATTGCGCGTTTTTTCTAGTAGTCCTCGACAAGATTCTATAAGAATTTTCTCGTCCTTGAGCATATTCTCGGCAATAAACATCTCAAATTTGACAGAATTTGGGAAAGCAAAAAATTAAATTACAAAAAGAGAGACATCATCTCTATTTGCGTGATCAAGATCGGCAAAGTCATTCAAGAATTTTCTTGAAAATTCCGTATTTTTAACCAAATATGATTCCGATAGTATTCCGTAACCTGAAAATTCTTCCAGAAATATTAAATCGATGTCATCATCAAGGAAATCTTCAATTTTCCTGAAATTAAATTCTGTTAATTGAAAATTTCGAAAAAATGCTTGCCTTTTTGGATAAACTACCCCATAATCAGGTGCCACAAATAAAACCACATCGAAATTTAGCAGCAATTTTGCCACAATACAATGACGGCGAAATAAATACTAGAAACCCTATAATATTTATGAAAGATGAGAAAATATTACATTATTCTGACGGCAATTAAAATCTGATTCAAATGCCTGAATATAATGATATCCATGAATTTTCGAGAAGCATTTTATTGTTTCTATAAAAAAAATAATGAAAGATAAAATAAATCACAAACCAATAGCAATTTCATATTCATTTCAGGCTCATTCAAAGTAGCAATGAATGCGTACTATATGTATAAGGAAAAATTCACTGAGTAATAAAAATTAAAAATCAAGTAAAAAATTAGATGAATTTTCGAATTCTCGATAAAGAAATGAATTGTTCCTTGACAATTTTTGCTTGCATTTGCTGCAAATGTTCTCGTAATTCAAATTCATCACCAATGAGTCGTTCGTCGTAAGACCACGTCATATTTTTCGAATTGCAGAAATCAAGATCAATGCCGCCTGCTAATGGGTTTACCCATTCGTACATTGAAGATTTCTTTATTCTGAAATATATTTATGTAATCATGTTAAAATGTCTTAAATTGATCAAACATCACACCTAGGTCTACTTGTCAACTTTCGAATCTGCGAGTTTTTCCATGAATGAAACATGAAGTCGCCAATCTCTTTATTCCATACATTGTTTGTCAGCCAGCTATCTCTTGCCCATCCTTCAATTTTTCCTAATATTCGCACTCGACCCAGCTCGTGCCGGGACCCAAATATCGATCGCAAGCACGCCTCATATGTGAACACATCCTGCCAGTTTCGCGATTTCTCGTACACTCGTCGACATAAATCAATTGAGATTCGGTCTGCAGACAAAAATCGTTCGGCTAGGAAGAACTGAATAATTTATTTCTAGTGATTGGTGGTTATTGAAATTTTACATGCAAAGCGCCATTGTCTGTTCCATGGAAACTGTTTGGAAGAGTAGATTCGTAATCAGCAAAATCTGAAATCTTTCAATCATCAGAGACGCATTTCTCCACACACCATTTAAGAATTTTATTGCATACGGCGTATTCCGAACTAAGTATGTGCCTGCCATTATTTCCCAGTTATAAAACCGATCATAGAATGTCACATCAAAATTTTCGTCAAGAAATTCTTCAATTTTTCTAAATTTTTGTTACATATTTCACTATTTCAAGCTTTAAGTTTAACCTTTTTGGGTAAACTACACCCATATCTGCATCGAGAAAAAGCAGGGCGCTGAAATGCGGCAAAATCCGCGCCACAATGCAGTGACGGCGGAAAAATCTCTGTAAAAAACGGAAATTAGTTCGGAATTCAAACCAATGAGTTTCGAATCCGTCAAACAGATTTTTGTGAGCAACATGAGGGAAGATGCGAACAAATAGTTTTATGACAAGAGTATAATTGAGTAATTTTTGAAATTTCCCCGAAAATTGAGAATTGCGTTTTTTCCTATTCATTTTTTTCGCAATGGTGTCACCTTAAAACGCTTCAAAATTTGATTGTAACGCGATAACTCCTACTTATTTTGTATCGCACTCGCGACATACTACTTATATTGTGCAATTGAAGACATCGCTGAACTTTAAATCGAAATAAAACAAACTTACATCATTGTGGTGGCAATCAAAATGCTTTTCCTCTGCTAAAATATAATGGTAACCATGAATTTTGGAATAACATTTTACTGTTTCTAAACGAAAAAAATATATTTTACGGAGAGAAAGTTATTTGTACCCATGGCAATATCGTATTTCCTCATTTGATCAATACTTCGTACAATGCTGACAATAGCAATTGTTGACATTTCGTGATTTGTATATCGAATTTGATTATTGTCGATAATTTCATATCCAATAGGCTCTAATTTCTATAAAAATGATCGATTTATTGTTATTTAATTATAGGAAAACCGGTTCGGTTCGAAGAAAATGCGTCCGCAATCGTTTCGTTTCAATTTTTGTCTTTTCAATCTTTAAGAAATATTAAATTAAGTTTTGATTCGATTTATTCAAAATAAAACCAAACACTTACATTATATAAAAAAATAATAAATGCGAAAGTGAAAGTGGCGAACAAAAATACATATAAATTGCTGATTCGTGACTTGTTCATAAACCACAAAAAATTGCGATAGCGATAATAATGGTTCGGTGTGGATTTTGTGAGTGGTGATTCATATCTCATCTACCTGCTTTTAATCGAAAGAACCGGAATACGCTCTACCCATCTAGTTTTGCAATTTATTTTTATCTGATCTTCTACCTGCATAGAATCAGCAACGCAAAAATGGTTCAGCTCGCGCTGACTCGAATGAGTCTTGAACTTGGCTCATTCAAAGTAGCAATGAATGCGTACTCTATGTATAAGGAAAAATTCACTGAGTAATAAAAACTAAAAATCAAGTAACGAATTAGATGAATTTTCGAATTCTCGATAAAGAAATGAATTGTTCCTTGACAATTTTTGCTTGCATTTGCTGCAAATGTTCTCGTAATTCAAATTCATCACCAATGAGTCGTTCGTCGTAAGACCACGTCATATTTTTCGAATTGCACAAATCAAGATCAATGCCGCCTGCTAATGGGTTTACCCATTCGTACATTGAAGATTTCTTTATTCTGAAATATATTTATGTAATCATGTTAAAATGTCTTAAATTGATCAAACATCACACCTGGGTCTACTTGTCAACTTTCGAATCTGCGAGTTTTTCCATGAATGAAACATGAAGTCGCCAATCTCTTTATTCCACACATTGTTTGTCAGCCAGCTATCTCTTGCCCATCCTTCAATTTTTCCTAATATTCGCACTCGACCCAGTTCGTGCCGGGACCATCCTAATATAGTTCTTAAACAAATATCTGCGTCACGAGAATTGCGCGTTTTTTCTAGTAGTCCTCGACAAGATTCTATAAGAATTTTCTCGTCCTTGAGCATATTCTCGGCAATAAACATCTCAAATTTGACAGAATTTGGGAAAGCAAAAAATTAAATTACAAAAAGAGAGACATCATCTCTATTTGCGTGATCAAGATCGGCAAAGTCATTCAAGAATTTTCTTGAAAATTCCGTATTTTTAACCAAATATGATTCCGATAGTATTCCGTAACCTGAAAATTCTTCCAGAAATATTAAATCGATGTCATCATCAAGGAAATCTTCAATTTTCCTGAAATTAAATTCTGTTAATTGAAAATTTCGAAAAAATGCTTGCCTTTTTGGATAAACTACCCCATAATCAGGTGCCACAAATAAAACCACATCGAAATTTAGCAGCAATTTTGCCACAATACAATGACGGCGAAATAAATACTAGAAACCCTATAATATTTATGAAAGATGAGAAAATATTACATTATTCTGACGGCAATTAAAATCTGATTCAAATGCCTGAATATAATGATATCCATGAATTTTCGAGAAGCATTTTATTGTTTCTATAAAAAAAATAATGAAAGATAAAATAAATCACAAACCAATAGCAATTTCATATTCACGTTGTTTATTTTTGTCTTGTAAAACTGTTAAAATAGCAATTTTCTGTTTGCCCTTATAATTGTACTTTATGTGGTTTTTATCAACTATTTCATATTCTATTGTTTTTGATGGAATTACTGGTTTTTCTTCAATCCTCTTCTAAAATTTAAAGTTTTTTTTACAAAATAGAAAAATGACAAACTTTACACGGTTCGTGATGCACGTGAAAATATAAATAAATTGTAATAATAGCAATTGTAAGTCCAAATATGAAACTACTTTTCTTTAACATGTTATATATTTAGTGAAACAATACAAAATTGCTAATTTTCCCAATTATTTGCCCAGCTGGCGCGTTTATATTCGTTTTTTCAGCACGATTGTTCGAATTTTGTATGTAAATTTTGGAATTGAATACAAGAACTCGCCGGTCACCTCGATATTGCCGTCTTCTTCAGGGGAATAAGTGGCAATCCAATCAAATCCTGTAAGAATTATTTAACCGTTTAATCAAATTTTCTTTCTTTACCTGCTATTAACATGGCCAATCTTATTGAACCGTAAATTCGATACTCATTGAAGACAATACCATCAATTCCTATTGGAATTCCAAGATAAACCAGTGCCCCGGGTTTAATTGCGCATTTTATTATTGATAAGATTCGAAAATCCCAGAACGCGTCTACAGGTTCGCCATAAGAGCCTAGGCCGAGTTGGGCTATACTGTAATAGGAAGCGGCAAAATCGAATTCAGAAATGCTGAAAAATATACATGAAATTCTTAGAATTTTTAAGTGTCGATTTATTCCCACTTTGTTTCAGTAAAACTCTCGTAATCTGTAATTTCCGCGACTTTTTCGAATGCTTTCGGTATTTTATAAGCTTCTAGTGCCAAAAATTTGATATGACCAACTTCTGAAAAATTAAAAATTTGAAAAAAAATTTGATGATCAGATACCATGCTTTATCGCAACTTCTGCTGCATCAGGATTCACACTTCCGAAAAATATTCCCGATTTTCCTCTGATTTGATAATCTACAAATGCGTTGTGCAGGGACCCTTGAAAAATTACAATCATAAAAATTTTCATTTTTCGAAAACGTACAGATGTTATTGTCATTTTCCACAATTTTTCGCAGTGTCCGATTTCCAAATGTCGCCCATTCAAGTGAGGCCTTTGATATTAATGGTTTTTTGTTAGAATACACCTGCAATTCCAACATTAGATCGAAAACAATCACCAAACCGTATACATAGCTGATTCCAACAAACTTATTCAAAAGAAAATCACCAATTCCGCCATCCGGTAGGAATTGCAAAGGTTTTTTGATTGCAGGGCTGTGCAAAACATTAGCAAATTCCTCGATTTCCTAAAATCTTGTAAGACTAACCAAATACATATATGTAGAGCGCAGTTTACTTTATCGCAATCATATGCACCAGAATATTGCAAGACTGGAACTGGCCATGTTGCTTTGGTGATATTATAACCAAAATTTGAAAAAACCTTCAATACTTATTTCAAATAATTTTCTTATACAGAACAAACTATTTCTCTAATTTCGTCCAACGTAATGTTGCCAACAGCAGTTTTAAACGTTTGAAAAAGCAATAATCTCTCGTCAAATCTAATTTTTCGTTGATCATTTTCCCATGGAATAAGCGCATATCCAATATAACTGAAATATCAGAAGTTCTCTTCAGAATTTTTCGGACATTAATTACACTGAAACAAAGAACCCTAATATAATTAATGTAGCAAATACACGAAGAATAGGGACGCGTGGAATCATCGGAAAAATTATAGGTAAAATGTTTATTTTATTTCGGAATAATAAAAACTGCCTATAAAATTTTTCCAAAGCCAACAACTTCTTGTCACGTGGAAACATTTTATGAGAAATCTTGCTGAAATTAGCAGCTTTGAAATATGATTGATCTAGAAATTTATAATAAATGTATTAGAATATTTCTTTTTTCTCAGACTTCTTAAAGATATGACCCAAACTAGAAAATGTCCATGAAATGAGAAAGACGTTTGAATTGCCTCCAAGACAGTAGTGTTTGCGGGCTAGAAATATATTTCACGAAAATACATTTATATTTTTGGTTTTTGTCGCAGAAATAAATTGAATACATTACTAATACCATATAAACAGTTTCAACTGTACATTCATTATTTTAGGAGTGGGGAATCTTTAATTCCATTTGCAACTTCTATCATCCTTATTTGGAGGTAAGAATGAAAATGTTTCTATTTTTTGGAAACTACAGGGTGCGCCATAAATACGGAGCCGCAACTTTGCGTCAACTCTGTAGCCTACAGTACCCATGTATTAAACTATTTATTTCGGATGATCCGCGGAAGTCCTTTACATATAGAACATACAGTTTTTGTGTTATATTTTTGTATTTTATATTTTCCATGATTCTACTTACGCATGTATAATTATTGCCTTAATTTAAATTAATTTTTTTAATTTCAAAATTTAGAAGCACGTGTCTCACAGTCCTATTACCTAATTTGCGTTGTGGTTCCCATGCAGCCAAGTTTTTGCAGACGGACTGCAATGATATCAGAAGATGGTGTTATGGATGCCATTCCGGAGGAACCGAAATCAACTTATGTGAAATGAAGATAATTTATTTTGCATGTACGTTCTTGCGATAAAAATAATATGACCGTGAGCCTGCCGCGACGCGTTTGACGACATTGTCGGCCGCTTTTTCAGAAACCGATTATATCATCTATAGTATAGATATATTTATATTTTTCATTAACACACATTTCTACGTAAAAAAATTTAAAGGTATAGTCGAATTCAGAAAAACTACATTTTCGCCCATCAACATGTATGTGAAAACATTTTGGTATTACTAACCAAAAATTGCCGCAAACTATTGTTATCAGTCAATCAGATAAGAGTCATTGATTGACATTATTCACTTTTTCTCTCTATTCGTCATCGTTATTAATATTGCTAATGATTAATAATGATTCAGGAAAATGTCAAGCATTCTTGGCGACTACGATCCTCCAATTCAAAAAAAGCCTAAGAATGATGAACGAAATCCATCGACTTCTCCCCAATCACTTCTTTGCAACCAGATATTACCTCCAAATATCTTTAAGAGTTTCATGCTCACTAATTCCAATCATTTGAAAGCTCGGGTAAGCGTCGAGGCAGGATTTGCGGATACTGACAACAAAAATTATTTCGAAAAACCAAATAGAAGAATTTCGGATCCTGAAAGTGATGCACAAGAATCTGAAGAGAAGAGACGAAAAAACACAGAAGCAGCGCGAAGATGTCGGGAAAAAATTCGAGAAAGAACGATTCAGTTGGAAAAGGTTTGGTTGAAAATCCTAGTTTAATCGTGGTTTTTATTTACAGGAGTTACGGGAAACCCAAGAAAAAAACGAGATGTTAAATAATAAAAGGGTGGAAGTACTAACAGAAGTAAGAATAATAACTTCTCTGCTCAAAAAAACGAACTAAATTCAGGTTGAGCGTGTTATTATGAGTATGAAGCAACTCGCGAGAAAGCATAAGCACGGACAACAGCTTCTTGAAGATGCCAATGATGTAGTACAGGCTTATATTGATAACGTGAGCAGATTCGCTTTGATGATCTTCAAAAATTGGTTTAATTTTTTCAGGTGAAACAGCGAAGAAAAGGACTCGATGAAACAAATAGCTAATGGGTTTATTCAGCGTAATTTAAAATGAATAACATTTTTTTATTTCGAAATAGTAATTTTTAGCGTCAAATTTGATAATTTTCACGTATTGGCTAAAAGTGGCAAATTCGATAATTGCAAGCACTGAATAGATTCATAATATTTTAAAAGAAACCAACTTTTTATATATTATGGAAGTATGCAGATTTTGAAAAAAAAAAACTGGCTGAAACTGGGTTAAAAGTATTATTTTCTGCAATTTGCATATAGTTTTGTAGCGTTTTTTCAAATAGCTTTACTTAATTTAAAAAAAAAAAATTCATTTTTTGCAATTAAACCTGTAAAATTTGGTTCCAGATGCTTTATTAAGTTATGCAAAAACCCGTTTAGCTTTCTATAAAGGATTCAATTGTTTTAAAAACATAATAGGTAAATTGACCTTCCCTGATGATGATCTAAAGATCGAAACGTCGGATGAACATTTAAACATTGTGCAAGACATTTAAAATAAAGGGTCATATCAAGAAGATCTGAAGAGTTAACAATAATCCACACGATGCACTCAAAACAAGTCGCTCCACAACTCACAAAAAAACATAATAAGTTCATAAATTGCAGAAACAAAAAATCGTATTTATACGTTTGAGCGTCTTGAAACAAGACGAGTTTCAGCGAATGAGCAGTCTGTTTCGATTCGAGACATTCGACCACACCGCATTCCCGCCTGCGAGAAATATGATTTCCTCTTTGCTTGATCCTTTTGAGCTATTGCCTGATGTCAAATTCAATTAAGACCATTCAAAGCCAGAAATATTATATTGTGCTGAAATTTACCTTAATATACATTATAGTCATGTGTCGAAATTGTTGGTTATAAATAAGAAAAACAAAAAACGGAATTGTGGCATTGAAAAGTGACAAGAAATTGTTTCCATGATTCATCAAGCACATTAAATAGCTATAATCTTCCCCCTAAATTATATAGTAATTATTAAGTAATTAGTGTCTTGCCCGTACTTTTATTGCGCTTGCCGCGTGGGTTAAAGTGGCAGGTCCTTCAAGAAGCAAATGACTTATTGTGGTGGCTACTGTCATTCGAATAACACATCGTCTGCGCTGTGAGAATGCCTCTCCAAGATCCTAAACAGTTATGTGTCGTCGCACTCTAAGTGTGTGGATGTACCTTCAAGCTGTAATGCTTTGTGATCAAAATAGAGCAAACAAGCATGGCAACAGTTGGAATCACTATGGAAACAGCCATAGTGATAGTTGTGTAGAATCTGCGCCAAATTTCAAATTGCGGATTATTGCGAACACGAAACACCGACTGCAAGAACCAGCACGAAGTGTTCTCCAATTTGAAATTCTGCAAATTGTGGTCCCTAGTTTACACAATGGTGTATAGCTTTAAAAGAGAGGAATGGGAGGGGGGGGGGTTGTTGACAAGTGTGGTTCGCCCCTTCTTTTCGAATTTTTAATAAAAGTGGGAAAATTGGGATACTCACCGGCACATAGGTTTTTACTTTCACGTGCTCCTCGACGTCGGTCACCCAGAGAATTGTCGTATGCAATGCTGACGCAATTATCAACGAGGTTATCAAAAATATCCATGTTAGTCTGAATAGTAAATACGCTACTCCTGAGAGTTGCTAAACACTACCTTTTAGTGCAATACTTTCTGAAGACAAATGGCATCATAATGCACATTACAGTTTCAACAGTAACCATCAAGGTTAACCATGTCGACATTGTTCCACTGATATTGGAAATCATCATCATGTAAGGACGGGATTTCCAGAAAAGTGGTTCCAGCCAGGATAGAGGAGCGAGGCTGGAAGCATGAAGGACTTCCAATATTCTGGAGAACATGAAGATGATATTGAACACAGCCTTGGCTCTTAAAAAATGAACAGAGCTCGAGCCGTCAAAGTATGGTAGACCATAGATCAAAAGATTAAGCATGTTTCCAACAAAGCAAAGCAACATTAGTGGAGGGACGCCGTATTGAAGATAAGCTGCAATACCCCATTAATGACGATTAGTGTGCTTCATTTATTCTCACTAAGCTCTACAAAATCACATCCTGACGTAAAGTTCATGATATGTCGATAGCCAGGGAGCATGGACGATAACGAGCATTTCGAAACCCCGCTTGTTTCGAGGCCTTCAACCGCAGCCAAAACTCTGGAATTTCCATCATTCTTTAGCCGAAATCACATGATTTGATAATTGAATATGTCTGATTCAGAGGCGCTGACAATTAATTATAGATGTTTTTAATGTCAAAATATCACAAAAACGAAACTTGCAAGAGAATTAGAAGGTCGCTGATCAGTATAATAATAAACGAACAGCAATGTAGAAGCATAATGACCTGCTTGTTGTTATAAAACTTTCTCAACGTTCTTAGCTAGCTTATTCTCCGTAATTATGAATTATAATTGTTTATAACACTATTATCAAGGACTAGGATGTGATTGCTTTGTAATTTGAAACGTTTCCTCAGTTCTCGTTTAAATACTTTTTCATTCTTAAGTCAGGAGTCTGAAAAGTGAAAAGTAATTTTCATGAATCGGAAGTATTTTGATGGTAATAAAAATGCTGACTAGCACAAGAAATTTTTATTTTACGGATCATTATGCACTTCCCACCAAATTCAACATTTTAGGATTCATTAGTCCACGAGTATACAATATATATTTGAAATTCTAAAACATCAAACTAGTTGAAACCGCGTCGTTTAGATTCAAATTGTTTAATTCCCCCCCCCCTCATTAAAAAATAATTAGTTTCAATGATCGTCTTACCGAATACAATGATACGGATTCATGATCTTGTCAAAACGATCCTTACACTCGGCGATGATACTCGCTGGATCAACCTCGCGCAACTCCATTTTCTGAAAAAAAAAATCATCACCGCCATTTTTTTTGAGGTCGTCATTGAGAAGCGGTGGTAGAAATAAAATGAGATGTGTAAATGAGCAGTGAAAATGGGAAATGATGAAGGAGCATGACGCTGAGTAAAAAGTGGGCGGAGCCTGATGAATGGGTTCCTTGGTTTTGAGGAAAAAAGATAAAATTTATATATGACACTCCCGAACAGAGTCGATTCTATTGTGCGACTTGTGTCAACCAACGAAACAACTAATAATAAGTCATATATTGTTGGCATCATACTGCTGAATGAATTTTGAAGAAATATTGGCTACGTGCCAAGTGGGCAAAACGGCTAGTGCATGTCTGCGTACTCTGCATTTTAGCGTACGCGCAGTTATTATTTTGTCAGCGTATAATAACTTTATGATTTTGTAAATCTACACTGATTTTGCGATATTTAATTTCCCGCAACCAAGTCATTTGACGCCGACAATAATCACTAAGTGTTCTTTTTATTAGAATACAAAAAGGAAGGTGTTGAAGTAGTCGAAGCCGCACTTTCACGAGCAGCATGAGATGAAGCTTCGACATGAATTTTTAATTGCTCGATAAATGCCGAATATTGAATCAGAAAGAAGAAGAGCAAAAAAGGTTGGAAGGAAACACGTCATATATTGCTAATTGGCAACACAAGTACGAGACACCACAAAACAAGAAACCACGTGTTCACCATAAATGAAGGCTTGAGAATTTCTAAAATAAGTATTTAAAGCCGAAATGAGTCGTTCTGGGCACAATCAATGTGAAAACGCGCTGCTGAATCTTACTAGCCAATTTTTAGAAATTCCAATTACTTATAATTTGTTGCAAACTGAAACTAAGTGTTAATTGAATTTGTTGTGCCGCATCAAAACAGATTAAACTCAGAAATTAAAGCGCAAGAAAATTTATTGAAAGGTCACCTCAAAAAACCGAATTTCTCCGAGTGATCGACGATTAATAATAGAAACAGTATGATAGGATTTTTGTAGTTTAATATGATGAGATCTTCCGAAAATTCATATTAGGAATTTATAACTTATATGCATTAATTAGCCGGTCAAAATGACTCTAAGAATAACCAATGACATGAATGTTCGTGCTCGGCGACAATTTTCGAATCGTCGGAATGAAAATGAAAAAGTGATGAGTAGAGTGGCTTGGAATACAAACTAAACTGAATAAAATAAGTCAAAAAAAAAGGAAGCTAATAATTTTTTCGTGTGTGTCTTATTATGTAGTTTTAGCATTTACTTTGTTGTTCCACAAACAGTACTATTTGTTTTCTTGGCTCATCAGTCTTTCGAATCACCAAAAATGGCAGGATTTGGTGAAATATTCACAGGGTACACAAGAACTTAAAACAGCTAGCAAGCCTCATCGTAAATTATGATTCCCCATGGGAGGCCTTGAACAAAATTTTCTTAAAAAAAAAACGTTTTCAACCATTTTCTTGGTTCTTCTCATTGGTGAAAAACCAATTCAGATGCTTTTTGTCTTTGAAAACCTCGCCAATAGAAGGCCAAAATTAAAATTGTGTGCACACCAATACACACGTAAATTGTTATGATTCCTTTTTGAGTCTCCATTCCATATAATTAAAGTTTTTGTCCTTTTTATATCGTCTTCTCATCGATATATTATTCATACTTTTCCTTTTTTTATGCATATGCATTCCTTGTCTGCGTGAAAAGTTGCAACATACAAAAAAAAAGCGGAAATCCTTAATTAGGAGTAAAATTGTCATGCGACATGCGCTCACAGGATGTCATGGACTTCATCTGCAACGATAGATCAAAAACGGGAAAAAAGAACAATGACGGATTGATAGAGAAAGAAGATGGTTAGTGTGAGGAAGAGAAAGATTCTGAGAGAACAAGAGGAAAAACGTGACCGAGAAACATTAAAATACGCGGACCATATAAGACAGTATATTTTTTTTCCACAAATAGATATTTTCGGTTTCAAACGGCTTATCGAAGTTTTAAAAAAAATTGGCTATGTGCCATGGTGTCTCGAGGTAAATAGACGTTGCGTGCGTCTGCGTACTTTTCATTCTGCATTTTAGCCTACGCGCATTCAATATTTAGCTAATGAATGAATTTCCAATCAAAACTACACTGCTTTCGCGAATCTGAAGTTCCATCCACTGTTGTTTGAAACCTACAATAGGAGAGTGAAAGAAATAAGAAATTGTTTTAATATGGGAAATCATGGAAGACACTGAAGAATGTAGAGTCTTGAGATTTATAATTTCTCGCAAAAGAAACTGAATAATGGTTTGGTTCGTAATGTCTGAACGAACGTCATAAATATAGAATTGCCAGAAAAAAATTTTATGAAGCATAATTTGAATTTTTATGGTGAGATGGGAGCTACAATATTGTGTGGAAAACAAAGCCAAGAAAAGATAAGCAAGTAAATATGAAGCTCAAAAATCGGTCGAATAAATTAGATTAGAAAATGTGGAAAATAGAAGGAAAAAGCAGTATTGACAGGATCTCATTATTGGTGGTATGTGCAAAATGGGAATGGAAAAACGGAATTGTTTGCCAATGAAGAGAGAAAATGACGAACGAAAAACTCATTTCGAGGAGCCCTAAAGTGCACATTATGGAGGATATCTTCATAGGAGGAGAACTATAAATAAATATGGATTAGATCGAAAAATGGGGATATTGTCTGCATTTCTTCTTTGAGCTTGTCAAGTTCACATTAAAAATTTATATCGAGAAAATTTTTTTTAGAAAAGGTAAATCCAAATGCTCATAAGTTCAACCTTTAATCTATATGGCATACTCGAAAACAAAAATAACGGTTTTAGGTGAAACTGCTCAAATATTCATGCTTCATAGAGGCTAATGCCAAAATATTCTGGCTATAAAGGAAAATACCACTCTAATAATTCTGAACTTTAAGACAAATGCTGAAGACATTAAAGGTTGAAACCTACCGTACACACATACTTGTCTAGGACCCGTATAAACTGTTTCTTTAATTTATCGCCTATTTCCCTTTATAATAAAATCAAAACATTCGGAGAAACACAATCTGACTCCCATTTTGCGAAATCGATACATTTGACCTTTCATCTTCTTTCATTTTAGTCAGTCTCATATCAAAACAAAAAACAAAAAAATTAAAAATGACGGAATGGATTGGACCAAACAATAAACACACAAATGACTGCATAGCCTTTAAAACCAGCTCAAAAATCACGCTGTTAATTTGCTCGACGACATGCAGTTTCTCAATGATTCGATTTTTGTTGTTTTGCTGCTGATTCAAGTGGGTTACGTTAAAAACCCACAACGACTCCACCATTTTCAACATTACCATGTATTACGACATTGAAGGTCCCACCTGTTACCTCTACGTCTACTACCATAATGACAACTTTGACTACTAGAAAAAACCGAACATGAAAACTCCTGGAACTCCAGTTACTCCTGAATTTGCATTGGTGAATGCCCTGACTCAATTTCCAATCGGATCTGTTTTCGGTGATTCGGAATTTTCTTCAACTCCAGATATACAAACCCATGTCAGTAACCAGACAGTCTTCCCAATAATTAGTGCCGATAGGTCCCCTTATGTTGCTCCAATTATGGAAAATTCGGAATATTCTATGAGATCTAATTATATTGCAAGCATCCATGCTCTTAAGAAAAAACGATGAAGTGCTAATAGTTAAGGGCCGAGAAGCTGCATCATATGTTCCAGTTTCTCCAACTGATCAGTTTAGTGACGATGAGCTTCAGATAAACTTCAGCCAAAGCAAAAAATAAGAGAATACAACTGACATGGAAGTTAGATATTTCAAAATTCGATTCTTATTGCAGAAATGCGAGAACGAAAATAAATACAAAATTTAGCCATTTTTAAATTAGTCTTAATAAAATAAATTACGTCAATATGGTATCGCTTACGTTTATTTTTCATTTCTTTTGAAAAATGTTTGCAAGGAATCTTAACCGACATCTTATTCGTGCAGCTGCATCAATTGGGAGTGGCAATGTTCGAAATATGGTAATTCATCTCTACGGCCTAATTTAGTTATGATTAAGATGGTCCCTAGAGGATTGATACATATGAGTACTGTTAAACCTGTACATAACCTTCCCATTCCTTCTGAATTGCGTCATGCTGATTCCACAAACACTCCAACTGTCGATACCATGGTTACCTCAATTTACGATCATGTCAAGTCGGCTGAACACATTTTTATTCTCATATTATTCTCATTCAGAAGAACAAACCCTGAAGAATATTCCAATGAGGATAAGAACACGAAAACGCTGACACCGAGGACTATTGACGAGAGCTACAGAAAGGTACGATTATTAAATAACTTCAAAACATACAGTATCAAAAATAATTTAGTTTGTCATACCATTGAGTACGGATGCAGCAAAACGAAAAGATTATTTGAGTGCTCAAGGAAATGTACGAATCGGGAAAATTCTTGAGGATTTGGATCATATGGCAGTCCACGTGGCGTATGTTCATAACTCAGAATCGGGAAGTTTAGAAGGTCCGATGTCTCTTCCACGGACCATTGTAACAGCCTCAGTCCATAGAATTGATTTTCACAAGTAAAAGTTCAATATTTTTTTTCTCAAACATGTTTTTTTTACAGAGAAGATATCAAATCGAATACTGATATTATCATTGATGGACAAGTTTTTGAGAAAACGGTACTAAGATTTCAATATTTTCGTTTCAGGTCACGTTTGCTGGTACCAGCAGCATGCAGATCTCAATTCGTCTTTTCCAGAATGACGAGAAGAATAATTTGACGCTGATGTTGAAGGTATACAGCAGTTATGTTCGGAAAAGTTACAGCAAGAAATTTATTGAGAAAACCGATTTACTTTATTTTTACAGTTTTAAACAGTTTTTGTTCATTATTTGCGAAAAAATCTGACAAGAGACGCATTCGCTGCCTAAAGTCGTTTCCGAGACAAAAGAAGAATTAACGAAATTTTAGGTTGAAATTTGAAAACAACTTTCCCTGAAAATATTATTTTTTTAAGAAATATATTTCAGTTTTTAAAAGCGTATATTTTAGGCTCAATTCTTCATGGTATCTCGTGATCCATTAGACGGATCTAGGAAAGTAAGAATTCATCCACTGATTGTTACAACTCCGGATCAAGCTGAGATTTTTAACCTAACAAAAGCAAGGATAAGGTATCTTGGGAATACGGTTAAGCTTTGGTAATTTTTCTTTGAATGTAAACTTTTTATTTAGGAAGAAATGAAGCCTAAGAATGATGAACTTCGTTTGATTCACGATGTCTATAACAATCTTATAGCCCGAAATAAACTAACGGAAACTCCTGTTTTGAATGTAACCCTCAACATTCGAATGAGAAATTATTTTATCTTAGGATACGGAAATGTGGATTCATAAGACCGCCATTTCGTTGACTGAGATATGTTTTCCGGAATATCAGAATATGTACGGCAAAATATTTGGCGGATTTTTGATGCGCAAAGCACTTGAACTCGCCTACACATACTCTAAGTTGTTCTGCAAAGGTAGAGTAGTGCTGAGATCGATGGATCGAATCGAATTTGCGAAACCTGTGGAAATAGGGGATATTTTGCATCTGGATTCACTCATCACTTACACAAAGGATAACTACATACAAGTATTTGTGAAGTATTTTCATACCGTATTTTTTGTGATAACATTTCCAGGTCAAAGTGCTAGCAGCCGTGTCTGATCAAAAGAAGTTTCCAGAACTTGCTGCCGCTAACAATCCTAGTTTAGGAGAAGAAGCTCGCGTGCAAACAAACATGTTCAACTTTACAATGGAAAGTGTGGAAAATCGCAATGTAATAATCTTTGTTCTTTACATATGCATCGTAATTTATGTGTTTTCAGATTCACAAGGTGCTACCAAAGCATTATGTGCACGCTAATAGTTATTTGGAAGGCCGAAGACTTCTCAACAGCCATCTGACCAGACATATTGACTAGACCGTTTACTTTATCATAAAATGTTATTTTTTCCGTTCAAAAAAAGCAAAAAAAAACGAATTACAAATTTGTGTACAGATTGTAAAAATTGAGACGGGCTGATAATTGAACATGCTTAGAGATACAACGAGGTGTAAAAACTTTCACTAATTTTTTTCGCGTGCGCGCCCGTCAGGTATTTTTGTGTGGCAAAAGCCTGCCCAACAGCCGAATACTATCCTATCCATTGCATACGATACAACACAATTTGCTGTACATGCGTTTCATTTTTCTTTCATCTGATGCCGACAATTTGCTACATACATTGCTTATTAAAAGACTAATGATGTATCGTCATTACCTGTATTTTATTTTTCATTCGGAATTTCGAGTTGGTTACGAATTCAAACATAACATATATTTCATGAAAATCCATAAAGTTTCATCCTACACCAATCATTATCATATCCAGGCTTCTACTCTTTCACGTCGCTATTCAAAACTCGAGGAAAAGCTCGATAAAAAAATTTAAGAAAATCCACTTTCCACATTTGCGAAAAGTTTGAAAATTGACGGGCAATTCGAAAATTTAAATGCCACCTAGATAAACTTTTCTGCTTCTCTAGATGAAAAGTTTGAAATTCAAACTGACAAGACCTTTAATTGCCCGTTCGAAAAGACACATCCTCTTAAAACAAACATTTTTTTTTCTGAAAATCATGGATATTGCCTATGAATGTAATTAACGGATTCAATAAAGTGAAATTTGTTTGGTTTCCTTGTAGAGCTTCATCTTAACAAATCCAAGTAACTAGACTCGTGTCTCCCATCGCCATATGGTTACTTCAAATAATAGCTATGTCTCATTTCATTGTCTCTCGTTGTTCTGACTAATTAAATAGAAAACGTTCGAGAATATTTCCAAATTCGAGTAGGACGTAGATTCCAGTTTTTCAGCTTCTAAATTTCTCATTGAAAGGTTCAAAGTGGAAGCGACAGTAGGTCATATGATGTTTGTAGTTTCTAGTTTGCGTTGTTCGGCGACTTGGAACAATATACCGGCGATTTTCTACGAGAATATGAACGAGGAGAAAATTTTGTATTTGTGTGTGTTTGTTCGTGTAACATTTGTTCAATTGTGCCTCTCCGCCCTTCACTCTTTGAGACAGTTTGCCAGAGAAAATTCTGTTTTGTGCTCTGCTCAGATTTTGCAAACAATTCTCGAAAATTCCTCTCATCTGCCATTCTTGGCTGTTGGCACGGTAACGCGACGAAAGAGGCAAAAATATTCAAGGGCTTCCGAAAACGATATTCCGCATGCGTCTGATTCAATTGATCTCTTTACTGACCTTCCGAATTACTCATTTTACCTTTTTTATTGCGACACATTTTATGTCGACTTGAATTCTGATTTCGATTCATTTTCCAATCGAATATCATTTTTTATTTGATAAAGTCAATTTTCTCATTCATTTTATCAGGTAAAAGGCTGAAATATTAAATTATGAAAATCATTCTACATACAAAATCTAACATTAAGATAGTATGTGTTATTTTAATTCCGGGGTATGATCTGAGGTCACATGAAATATATAACAAGAGATTGATGTCATCGTTGTGATTATCTTTCCACGTGAGCCACTTTTCTCGTCATTTCTGAAACAATGCTGTTCACACGTACCAACTCTAACTTTTTGCAGATTTTGAATAAAATGTCACATTTTCAGGATGAACTACCACAAATGGTTTGATTATGAAACGGGACACGCGTGGTGTGAAAGCGCCTACAAATATCAAACATTGCCATTTGTGGCCGAATTCGCGAATACCGTAATCCCGTGTCATTAAACGAAAATCGCAATCTGAATTACAGGTGACGAATCTGCCCATCATCACCTTGCCATTAGTCAATATATTGTTAATGCGAAAATATTTGCAAAATGTCAATTGCGCTTTAATATTACCCCAGTTGCTATTAACATTTAACGGGTTGGCTTCTACATATTATCATGCAACACTGAATTTTTTTGGTGAGTAATCCTAATAAATTCATCCCATTTAATTTAATCCATTTTTTCGATTTTTAGGTCAGATTGTCGATGAATTGTCTCTAGTGTGGATAATCACCGTGTTCCTAGTTGTTTATATTCCAATAATGCAATGGTTTCCAAAAAAATTTTCCGAAAAATTGTTAGTTGTCTATATTTGATCCCAATGAAATCAATATAGATGTTCAGAACCTTAGTTCGATGGCTAGTTGTCATCCTTACAGCAGTTATTTCCGCTCTCTGCTTTTTAGAACCTAACATCAATGCCATTGCTTTGATGCTTTTTTCAATCCCTGCCGCGGTAGTGATTCATTACGAAGGAACCCAGTAGGATCGAATCAAGATACATCATCCAGAAATTTTCTTACTTCAGCTCGGGGATCCCAGACATCGAAAGCTTCCCCCACCGCATTCTCGCGTTGTGGGGAGCCGCGTTCTCGTTTTGGTTCACAGACCGACTTCTCTGCGATCTTTGGCTTCATCTAGGAACCCCGTACCTACACGCACTTTTCCACTTGCTGGCTGGTTTGGCAGGCTACACAATTTTTATTATGTTTTCGATGATTGACATTGAACGAAGGTCGGCATCGCACCGCTTCACGGCCGCAATTCGTTATTTTCCGCACAAATGCGGCTCGATTTTTGCTTTTCCTTATATAAGCATCAAGGAGAGATCACTGTAAGTTGAAATCGTGTATATTCTGTGTTGCAGTTGTGTCTTTGTGTATGTGTCTGTCTGTGCACTAATGTCCATGTCAAAAATAAATGTGTTATAACTTTCTTAGATGGTCCCCAATGTTTTTTCAGCAAAATACCTGCACCTGTATTCGATTCCCCGCCTGGATCACCGACCAGTAGCTTCCTATAGTTTTGAAAAGAAATCTAATGTGATTTGGATGAGAAGCACGTGCTTTACTTGCCGTTTTTATTATTTGTTTGCCTCATTTGATAAATATTTATAATCAAACTGAGGGTTGTAGTTTATGATTGAATTGATAAGAACAGGGTTAGTGACGTAGAGGAAGACACAGTATAAAACGGGTTGCCGAAACATGCATTAGTGTTCACTAAACATGGTCTGTAAGTGTGGTGAGACGCTTTTCTCATTCTTTTTAAATTTCTCAATTTTTCAGATTGCAAAAATAAGGATTGCAAATGCGGTGACGATTGTAAGTGTACCGCTGACAAGTGTGCCGACCAGTGCGGCAAAACTCGTTGTTGCGGAAAGACGGTTGAAATGAAGTGCTGTAAAGACTGTAAGAAGAGTTGTGAAGAGTGTGCCTGTCAGACTTGCAAGTGTTGAATTCAGCACATTCCTGTAACGCCAACTAATTTCTGCTCAATGCCTACTACGTTCTTATTTATCTCAATAAATGTATACCAAATGTGTTGCTTCTACATATTATAAACTACATAACAATTCTAAGCCTGAGACGAGAATTGCGCAATACAAATAGAACGGAATATGCAAATGAAACGAAAAGTGTCAAATTAGAATTGAGCAAACATGAAATGTCAAAAATCGCGAAGCTTCTCAATCCGTAACCACTAAATCTTCCCGATTATGCACGTTTTTCCATTTTTATTTTGTTTTTTCCATTTTACTGTTGCACTGAGCCCGAGTGAGCAGCATCAAGTCAATCAGGTTAGGTTATCATTACATTAAAAAAAAAAAACATATTTCGAATTTTCAAGATCGCACGTCGAGTATCGAACATCGCACATAAGTACAGTAACTGGGCAATGGGAAAATCTCAGAGATTTATAAACAATGGTAATATCTTTAGTGTTGTATCAAAAAATATATTCTTACAGCACCGGTCAAACAATACATTCATACTGTTAAAATTCAGCCTCCTCCCTTGCAGCCCCTCCCATTACACTCTCTTCCATTCCAGCCTTCCCAATTCCAGCCACCATCATTACAGTACTCACCAGCAAGATCAGAAATTCGTCGAGCTCCTTCCCCATTGTTTCCTAGACTTTTAGAGTCGTCCATACCACCACCAGAATCAACACTGTTCCCAGTAAATGGTACAAACTATCCAAGTCATTTTATTGAATCACATATTCACGTTAATCCCAATTTAGTCCAACAGCGATTACCCTACGCTAATAAAGGCAGTATACTAGATACATTATTAGGTCCCCCTACCACCCAGCTTCCACCAATGATCCCCGAAGAGGTTATGAACGCTGTAGGGAAGAAACACAAGTTCGGAATTTCTCATCCAACCCGTAACAATGAGTGCTCGAATGGTTGGTGTGGAGTTGAGTGCTGCCACCAAACGACAATAGAAGCAACGGCACTCCCAGGTTCATTTACACCTCCTCATCCACTGGTACTTGTGGTCCACCCTGCACCGGCTCCACTTACATGCATCCCAGCCTGCCAACCGTTATGTCATCCAGAATGCGTACACAGACTAAAATATCAAGTACAACAACCACATTATCCGATATGCAGACCTGACTGGTAAGTTCGATGATTTGTTACAAGTGTGATCGGGTGATTTCTTGTTAATAAACAATTGAAATAACCCAGCAGTATTCAGTATGCCAGCTTGCCATGTCGACTGTCTAATAATTCCACCCGAACGCGTCAAATGTTACAATTATCATTGTCAGTGCTCGCCAGGATATGTTCCATGTGCTGCATTTACTTGCTGCATGAGATATCCAAACATGGTCGCCAAAATGAAGTCTAATGTTAAAAATGAAATAGAAAATGAGACTCACGAATCCGAGTCTGTGGAAGATGAGGTAAGCATTTTTGTTCCTTTAAAAATGATTGTTTAGGATCAGATTTTCCAGTTTGATTCTGTTTCGTTGCCACATCATCAGCACAGTCCGCGGAAAAATGGTTCGAAAAAATTTAAACATAAAAGAAAAACAAGTTTCAGTTATTGTGAAACTGAAACCGATCTACTACACTGCGACAAACAGCAATCCGTACTCGAGAATGCAAACAAGAAATACTTCAATGATACCCTTCACGGTGCCAAGAAGGAGCACAACTACGATCGCTCCAGTTCTGGCACTACGTCCTGATAAAACAACAACGTCAACCATTCCAATTACAACTACAGAGACTCCTACTAAAACTACGATTAGATCTACACCAACTGCTACATCTGTTACTAGTACGAGAGCAGTATTTCTTACAACAACACACCCTCCCTTAACGGATCCCATTTCTACAACACATCCTCCTTCAACGAGGAACATTAATGTAACACCGGTCTATCCAGATATGATTAGACAGGCACCTGTAATCGCGGCACTTGCTGGAAAACGTCATCCCGTAGGAGATATTCGGGGTCGTCACGTTATCCGATCAGAAAACTTTCTTGATGTTCTCTCTGAATTAGCGCAGGTATGTTGGAATTTTTTAAATTGTCACATTTTTTTAAATTTCAGGTTAAATTAAAAGAAGATATTAACCAAGATCTAACGAATGCGGCCACGATTATCGACTTCATGACCGATAATATTCAATAAACTTTTTTCCGGAAATTGTGCTTGTTCTCCATAGAAAACTTAATTACTTGCACAAAAGTCGCCGCTAATGTAGGCTATAAACTATGAAATAGCACGCAGCTTAGCGTTAAGCATCAGTTGTCGAGTTCGCCTGATCTTTTCCGATTTATAATTTCGTAAGATGAACAAAAAATTAGTGAATGGAGTAAAAAGAAAAGAAAAGAGATGACCAATCGGCAAAAAGCGAAAAGAACAGAACAGGCGTTCAGAGGAAAAATTGCAACATTAGCTCTCGGCTTGAGATAAAAATCCTATTAGTTTACAGCAGTGTTTTACAACAAATTCATACTCTCTTTTCCTGTTGTCGCTTCCAAATTATGGAAAAAAGAAGAGCTCGTCGGTTTTTCTACCTTGTTGGTAAGTGATTAGATACATCAGTTTTAAAATCATGACTATCGATCGGGAATTCATGTTGAGAGACATTTTTCCACCATAACATGCAGAAAAACTCCGCGCTTATCCCGCAACGCGATTTGTTGTTGTTGTTTATGTTGCTGTCTGTTCGTATTTTGATCTATAAGGGACGATTCTATAGTAAAAAAAAGGAAAGAAAATAGAAAGAACTACAGTATCCAATTTTTTTCGACGACAGTGTCCGAATTTTCTTCTCTGCAAAGCGTTAATAGGAACCCGCTGTTTGATATGAATAAGGTGACAACACGGGATTTAAAAAAAAATTTTTTTCCCAATGGTATCGCCCCATAAGTAATTGTAGCTCGTGGTCTCAATAGTACCTTGTCAATTTTGTGCGGTCCGTTTCCTTTCTAAATGCCCAATTAAGTGCTAGCCAGATGGCAGATGGCTTTTTTCTGGCTGTGACTGTGGCTGTCTTCTCTGCGTCCCTAACTCCCACAATCTTTTTTTTTGAGGTTTAACGCGATCCATATTTTACTCCGTTCGTTATTTTTTACTTTCTTTCGTGATAAAGATTTGATTCGTTTTCCTATGCTTAATACCAGGATGATTTTTTTCCGATTCGTCGTCAAGTACTGTCGCACGTTTATTTGGCGAATTTTGCAAACAGCTTTGTTCTATATTAAGCCGATACGGTTTCACCAGAAATTCCGTTTTTGTGTATTTTGTGATCCGTTCTCCAAACGATATATAAGCATTTTCTCTTATAAGTTTTTTTTTTCACATTTCATAAAATTTAAGCATCCTTCGTTTCTCAGCATTCCAAAAGGTCGACTACCGAAAGTGCGTAACATAATTATAACATGCGTAATTAGTATAATAATTGTAATTCCGATTTCCCATGTCCTATAAAATTCAGGTGGTGGCTGACCGGGCAATGTGCCTTTGGTTGCCGTGGGTGCTTGCCGGCGAAGATCACTATAAACAATTGTTGCGCAGTTTACCTCATAGGGAAGGCAGTGTAAACAAATATAAAGAAGTGAGGAGGTCCGAATTCTGCCCAAACATTCGATACACCCATATAATCAATTCTCCTATGTGTCACTTCTCTTTTACACAAAAATTTCTCGCCGATAAAATGATTTTTATTTGCATATTTTTTGTAGTCTAATTGCTGCTCTATGTCATTCGGTTGGATACTCCAGCTCCAAAGGAGGAGAAGGTCAAGTTGCTCAATCTCATCATGTGGTAACAATAAGGATCCGGACGTTGTGCTGCAAGGTACCACATTTTTTTGCATGATATTCGAAGAAATATTCTTCGTTTGTTTAAAAACGCTTCCGATCTTCCACATTCCTCTTAATATATAACTACTTTCCTATTATTATTATTCCATTAGTCATTCGACTTGAACCGCCTCTTTTATGTGTTGCTCAATTCACATCGAGTAACATGAATTTGACCTTGCCGAGAAATCACTGAACCGCAGACCAATGTAATTTGCATTCGGGAGAGGCGTCATTTTATATATACATATATATCTATCCACACGCAGTTAATTCAAATATCAATAGGCTCATTCATCATTTTTTGATGAATCTCGACCATCGAAAATGTTTGTGACAGCTCTTGACACTTCAATTCACAATTTTAAATGCTATTTTTATTTTTATTATTATCAAGTGTGTATGAGCGCTAGCTATATATTCCCTAACAGTTTGTGTTGACACTGGGGAGGGAGGGTGGGGGGGCGAAATCCTTTATCTATCAATTCATTCATTCATCCTTTTTTGTTTGTGCATCTTTATGAATTTATGAATTTTTGAAACATGTGCACCGAGAGTTATTGCGCGTCAAAATCATAAGTTTCACAAATTTACACAGATCTATCGATGTGAATCGATCGATGGAATTTTCTTAAATATGTATGTTTCCTTAAATTGGGTCATGCAAAAAAAAAAACACCCAATACACTGCAATCGCCATGATCAATATCATGTCCAGCATTTTGTGTGTATATTTTCGCATGTGAGTTGTAACAAGATATCATCAGGATAAGATGATTGACAGTTGCGTGATTATCACCGGACCTGGCCGGCGGCGATTCCGTGTGTACTCCTAGCAATGGCTGCGGCGGACATTAGTGCGAAAAACGCTCGTGAGACAAGAAGCCGGACTCTCTCTCTCTCTATCTTTCTTTCTTTTTCTTCCTCTGTGCCGTGTTACCCATCGGAATGATCATGGTCCTCGACTTTTTGTCTCTATTGCAGTTTCTTTACAGCCAATGATAACTGGATCCTGTCTTTGATTTTTTGTTTGTAGAACATTGGTTCACACGAGTAGTAAGACAGATTTTTTTCTGGCTCTCTTCAAGTGGTCTGATCAGATCCAATAGTTTATTCACAGGCGTTGACTTAGGAGCTTGAGCTTTGTACTTAGAATATAACCGATTAATTTTGCTGCGATCCAATGCCAATTTATTCATTTTGTAAACAAATGTGCGTGTATGGATTAGGCGAATTTCTAAATATTGTTTAACGATTTATATTTGTAACGTGGACAGAGATTCTATTTTTATTGTTCTGCATTTATTAATGTATGCGCGAAAAACCGAATGTCCTTGCATCCGATTATCGCATCATCTGTCCGTTAGTGGCTGACTGTCCGGTTATAATACATTTATTATAATTGATGTACATTTATAGAAATTAACATTTTAAGATTCCGAAATTTATTACAATTAGTTTTAAATAAATAAAAATCTAAATCACAATCCCCCAGATCTAAATTCGATCTAACAGATGTCTGACCACCATGTTTTTAATCGGAAACCCCAAAGGACCACCCGATGTATATAAACATACATATAACGTTTCCTGGCGAAATTTGATACTTGGAGGTCAAAATCGGAAAGTTGTCCAATAGACAATAGTTATAAGATATCGATGTTTAAAGGAATTGTCTGTCCCGTACCACAGATGCAAAACTTTTAATTATTCGTAAATTGAAAAAAATTCTGAATGTTTCGATGTTATATGTTCTTTCACAAATGCGCGCGCGTTTCTTGTTCTTCCGTGGTAAGTTCAAAAAATATTTACTGAGTGTGTTCATCTGTCTCTCGTGTTTCGTCTTCTTTATTTTTGTGCGTCTGTGTTTTTTAATGACATTTCTGGATTACATTACGATTATTTGATAGATTATTTTTAGGAAAAAAAATATTTTTGACTCTGATTTATAACAACAGTGTGCTTCATTTGTTCTGCTCAACCACATGTTTCTAGATAACTAATTAAACTAGTAATTTTAAAAATTTAAAGACTACAATCTACTCAATATTTCTCTTCTAATAGAAAATTTTTCGTTTTACAACAACAAGAAGCACGACTATTAAGTGAAGATTCGCGATTTTTCTTCTTACAACCTGTCATTTGAACCTAGTGTTCGATTCGATATGTCGTGAGTCTCTTTGATATTGATGTTTTTTTTTCAACACATTTATTCTTTCTTGTTTATTAGGTTTTTTATAAATTCTTCTCTAAAACCGATAAAAATTTCAAAGAAATTGTGGAAAGAATAAAAAATTAATTAATAGCTCATCATTTTTCGTTTGCCTCTGGCATATAAACAAACAGTTGTTCTCCATAATCCTCTTAGCTCGTTTTTTTAGTGAGAATCGATTTTAATTGGATTAAAATTTTGAAACCCATTTAATGTGTAATACCAACGTGAACTAAACCATTCGAATGTTTGTAATTATTGTCGTCCTCTCGAAGCAAGACGGTTAGCTGATTATGAACTTACCTAATTGAAATTATGCATGACAAGGATATTGTTCAGGTTATCGTCATCGTGAACCAAAATATGAAATAGAGCCAAGGATGAGTCAGAGTTTGATCTGCGAGCGTAGATCGCAGTCTCCTGTAGATGTGAGCTTGGCCTTGAGCGAAGATTCTACTATAACAATAACCGAAATTAATGGAAGGTAGTCCACTCTTCCCAATCGTTACCTTCTTTAATTTTCGAAGATCATTCAACGCTAAAGCTATCAATACAACCCCCGTTATGTTGCGCAGGCGGAGCCAATTGAATCGACCCCGAAATTATCGGTAATTATAAAAATTAGTTTAATTAATCAAGTCGTGTCTAGAATTCTGGATCCACAGGAAACACGCATGGTTTTCCAGCAGCAAAGTCGCGAGCTTGATGACAAAAAGAACCTGATTTTGCGAAGGAGAAGCGCAAAAAAATCAGTGGAATTGTGAGTTCAAACGGTTAAATTAAAAATTGTTTTACTACGCGAAATATCTTTCATATTCGTTTCTGTGCCAATTAAATGGTGTCATTCAAATAATTTATATGTACGTCCATAATTATGTGAAAAAATATAATGGAAATAGATAAAAGTTTTAAAATATTCTATTTTGCCGAAAAAGTCCAATAAAAAAATCAGTGAGTTGCGTTTTGGCTTTACGGGAGTTCCCGAAAGCCAAGTCAAATTTTTTTCTTGCTTTTCGCAGTTGCTTTTTTTGCTATTTTCTTTTTTTTTTTCAATTACATCGTCCCTAAGCAACGCAAATACATTAATAAATCAAGATAGACAATCAACAATATCAAAGAATTTAATTTTAATTTCAATTCGAACACCTTTCTCAATTTCTTTGATATTTTCGAGTTTGTGTGGCATTTTTAAGCTTGGCCAATCTAATTAAATTATCCAAATTAGTGTCTATAAACATTTAATATGTGTGTGTAATTCTTAGGCCGCCGCCAATGATAATCACGCCACCTATTCTCCAGCCGGCACCTACTCTTCAATCCTCAGAATGTTGTTCGGTGTGTCACAAATTGAAAAGGTTTGTTACTCCACCAAAAATTTAATAGAAGGCAAACGAAGAAACAATTTGAAAATGCCAAATTGACAGAAACGACACCCGCACGAGTAATTTGTCCCTTTTTGCTGGCTCCTTTGTGATCTGCATCATGTAGAATTACAAAAAAACAAACAATCGCATGTGTTTTGTGTTTGGGTTTCAACCATGCTGCTCGTAAACGACGACATCGTTCTGTTCTTGTCTAATTGTTTCTAAGTGACCCCAACCCAAACAAGTTCTTTTCCGAATTTAATCATAAGGTGCTCAATTTGCGTCTTCTTGTTTAATTCCTCAATCGCGTTTTTGACTTTATTACACTCCCGGAATATTTGAGCATTGTGGTATTTTGTAACTTTAGAATTCAGCAAAATAAGAAATATTTTGACAGATGAATCGTAAAACTTTTAGCAGGACCATTGCATGTGAATCCCTAAATTTCCCATAAACATTTCTCGCGTTCGTTTTGACGCATTGTTTGACCTTCTCATTCAATACCTCCTCCATTTCGTTTTTCATTTCTTCGAGATGATGTTTTGCATTCTTTCTTGAGCGATTTCGAAGAGATTTCGAAGGTCACTCGCTCGTCTCAAGCAAATTTCGAGCCGTCCCACAGATCAGTAATTTATGCATTTGTCCCCATTTTTGGTTTGACATGTTTGATTCAGGTTCATAGCATCACTTAACGAACATAAAGATACTGCAGACGTGAGCGTGCTCACTGATTTATTCTCACTCTCAGCTTCTAGCTTATATAGTCTTTTTTCTACGTTCACAATTTGAATACTCCCATTATATCAGTCTATGCAATGCAAACACCAGCAAATTAATCGCATAATTTCGGGTGGCAGCGCAAGGCCAAAAATTTGAAACATTCGCAAAATTTTGTGCGCAAATAAAACTCCGGTCGACGGCATGGAAACTAGCGCTTCTACTACAGATGGTGCATCTTAATACTTGCCTCCTCAAGACGTATATAAATTTTCTTTAAAAAATGGAATTTACTTGTTTTGTTTGCATGTGACCCCTTTAAAGTATACTAGGCCACTTGAAACGACACACACAATTTAAGTTGACACAAGGTTAATCCAAGCCACTCAATTTTTTTCTGTTCTAGGCTGTTTCCCCACTCAAGTATTTTCTTTCGTTAAAACTTTGAAAGGTATACTGCATATGCCGCAAAAAAAAAACGCAAATTTATGTGAATTTGTCTTTCGATTTTCTCACGCAATTTCTCACATTATTATTTTCTTATAACTCTCATAGTTACAATTACATAAAACTAGCAAGCAGACAGTAATCATTGTGTAGGAGTAATGTGTCCACCTACATACGAATGGACATCATCAAAACTTTCATATTCATTCAATGTATCCAGCTGCAGTTGAATATCCAATCTGCACCATATAATTCATTGGCGAGACAACACCGTTCTCAATTGTTGATTTGCGGTTTTCACGCCTCGGCGCCATTTTATTACGAATACAGTGTATGAATGGTTGATTGGTGTTTGTATTTGTGTGTGTGTAACAAGATTTGACCTCTCAGAACAACGCAAAAAATCTTAAATATTTCTAGTTTTGCCCTTGTTGGTCTTATTTGTGTGATTGATAGCCCTCATTGTCTTTTCTTTTCTTCTCTTTTGCGAAGCAAGAAAATTTTTCTATTTTTTTGCAAAACCCCGTTTCTATATACATCGGGGTCAAATTTCATATCGCACTTTTCACACCTACTACTATACATTTTCTCTTTTTTTGCTTCATTTGAATACCTTTCAGTACAGTTTGATTTATCAAAAAAAAAATTGAAGTTCGATTAAAAAAAAATTCAAAACGCAAAGGTTTCGTTTTTCCTATTCTTGTTTTGTTTTTTTTTTGTTTGTTTTTACATACAAACGCAATGTTGCACGCATTTCATTTCCCACAAATCGATATCCTTTTAAAATGAACTTTGCTGAAAAAAAAAAACGAAGGAAACACGATTGTATGCAATCCCGAATACTTTCGCATCATTTCGTATTAAGTTTGTTAAATAAAAATTATGGATATTTTTCATTAGTCAAAATGAAAATTCTAGGTAATTCAAACTTTTTAAAAATCCATGTTAAATCTTCAGTGTTGTTTCTGCTTAATTTTTTAAATGAAATGAATCCATCATTCAAAAAACCCGTTCTGCTTTGCAATTCTAAATGGATTTCATTAACATACATTTCAAATATTGGCGTTCTCGTTTAGTTTTCCTATCAATCAAAAAAAGTAAAAAAAGCCCCGCCGTAGAAGATAATTAGCTTTGTGTTTTTCTTGTTGTAGCCGAATTGTGGCATTCTCTCATATTTCAGGGTTTCCAACCGAACACAATCATATCCATTAGAGTTTACAATGACTGCAACCAGCACTAATGATGGGGTAAGAGACTATTTGAAGATTTCGTAGTGTACTCATTGTGTTTTTCTTCATTTTTAATGCTTTTAGGAAACTGCACGTCTCTCATTTGTTTCTTCTTCAACAGGCTACAGTAGTGCCAGATCGTCCCTAAGAAGTTCAGATGGAGGAGATGAAGCTAATAATAACGGGCTGAGCAATAGAGATAGCGCAATCAGCAAGTAATAACCTAATTAATTAATCAATCACTTAAGTGTCTTCAATTTCAGCACATTTTCGCTAGTATCTCAGAGCAGTGCCAGAAGATCAGCCCTATTATCAAAAGGCTCTTTAACACAGCTGGATCGTATTGCCATAGAATTAGTGGATACAGAGAGATCTTATGTTGAAGATCTTAATTCCGTAATAAAAGGATACATGGATTATTTGGTAGAAGAAAGAGAAAAGCTTAAAATGACTCTTGATGCAATTTCCTCTTTATTTGGATGTATCGAACGCATTTTTGCGTTTAATTTGCAATTATTCGTTCAATTGGATTCGATGGATTTAGATTGCATCAAGATTTGCCGGTGTTTTGTCGAAAATTCCAATAAGTTTTCTGATTATATTTCATATTGCACTAATTATCATAAGTAATTAACCAATTAACCGCAAAAAAGACATATGCTTATTTACAGAATGATGTCTACATTATGTACCTTGCAACAACAACCAAATATTTCAAAAGCACTGGCTGATCGTCAGCATTTTCTTGGTCATTCACTTCCATTGTCAGCCTATCTATTAAAACCAGTTCAACGAATTCTTAAATATCATTTGTTTATAGAAGTAAATGTGTGTGAAATTTTTTCAAAATTACTAATTTCATTTAGAATATTCTCAAAAACCTTCCCAGTGACACTAGCAATGATGAAATTTCAATTGTAAAAAAAGCTTATGACGTTATGACGTCACAGGCTGCTAGGATTAACGATGAGAAAAAGAAGGCGGAGCACACAGAACGTGTTGGCCAACTTCAAGCGACTTTGCAGAAATGGAAAGCTGATGAGGTAGGACGTTTCCTATGAAAAGTCCATATTCGTGTTTACAGATCCAAATCACAAATTTATCTGCTTACGGCGACCTTCTTCTTGAGGCAAACTTTCGTCAAGCGGGATCAAAAACCTCGAGACTTCTTTTTCTGTTCGAGGAAATGCTTTTGATTGTAAAACAGAGAGGATCAAATTACGTTTGCAAAGATTATATTATGGTACATTTCACAATTTTTATATTATTTAAAAATATTCGAAATTCCAGTTTTTAATTTTTTGTTTTTACAGTGTTCCAATTTGATGCTAAATGAATGGATTTGTCGCGAGGAACCTCTAGCATTTCAAGTTTTGTCCTTCGACAATCCAAGAGCTCAATATGTGTTTCTGGTAGCTAGCCATTTTAAAACGTTCAAATCCCAGAACTTTGCAGGCTCAATCAATGGATCAAAAGCGTGTTTGGATGCAAGAACTCAAACGAATGATGTTAGATCATTATTCGATTGAGATTCCGGAGAAAACAAAGCAATTAATGTTGAGTATTGATAATACTCGAGTAATTCCATTCGGTCGTCCTGAATTCGCAGAAGTCTCGATGAAAAATCACAAGAAAGTCCCAAAGTACTTGGAGAAACGTCGAAAAAGCATTGATAACAGAGAAGAGAGCACACGAAGAAGAAGCTTATCGGCTTCGCGGCTGCTTGGAGGGAGCAAAATATCAATTTATGACCAAAGTTCACAAATTCACGACAAGAAATGCACGTGCCACGTGAACGGAGGCATTTTCAATGGGCATCCGAGTACTTCTAGATCAGCGGTAAGACTTGAACGGCCGTTGTGGTCTACTAACAATTCCTAACCCAAACATAGATTCATTCAACGCTAACACTTCAATCTCAAACACCAACCGGAGTATTATACTACCGCACTCCAGTTTGCCGCACACAGTCCGCAGCAACTATTAATTTATCCCAGGTTTGTAGGACTAGTCATAAACAATTAATAATTATTTATAAATATATGTATATATGTATACACTTGTCTACCAACATTTACAGGTAAACATAATCGAACCAACAATTTCCGAAGTGCCTTCAAATGCTGCTGTGATGTCATCAAGAAGCAGATATCAGCAGGCGAGGAATAAAAGATTACCTCCAAGACATAACCAAGATGTAACTGTAAACTTTTGACATAAAGATTTAAAAAAAACACTCAGTCACGATCATCATCAGACCGACGGCTTGGGGAAGAGGAAATCGACAAAAAATTCGACCAACTTTATGAAGAGCTTGTTTCATTCGGGGATCAGAAGCCACCTACTCAGCTTCGAATCAAGTCAGAAGCTCCATCGGATACCGTAGTCATAATTGCAGTAGCACCGGAAACGGTTAGCCTTGACGTTCCAGAGAGTGTAAAATATCAAAACTTGGCAATCTACCAGTTTTTGATTGCAGAATCCCAGAGCAAGATCAAAATCTCTAACAAGACTCGATGAATATGAAACCGAGTCGCCATATTTAAAACCGTGAGTTTAGATTGTGCCGAACACGGAATAAATAATGAATATTTAAGGACGATTGAAAGAAGATACTCAAAATTGGACCAATTAAAAAGAAAATCTAGGAAATATTTGCTCAATCATGAGCCAGAGGTAAGTTTCAATTATTTTAAAAGAATAATACCCATTTTTCAGGCAGCTGATGTGCTGCGGCCGTCCGCTGGCCGGTTATCAGTAACCGATCATGAGATGATAATTCACGTAGAGGTATCAATTTGAAGCCTTCTAAACCATGCCCCGGAATGTTTATTTCAGGAGCCATACAGTAGAAATTCGTGCCGTCAACGAACTCCCTTAACTGCTCAACAAGCTGCGGAACTCGATAATTATTTACCAAATGATGCCAATGACGTAAAGTCGATACTAAAACGAAAATGAGGCATAATTCAAAAATCTTGCATAACTTTTATTCATATCATTTGTAAACAACACCGGTGCGTTCTAAGTAACTAGTATTTATAAATACATATTTATATTCGATTCTGTTAGTTTAAACAGTATGACGACGTGTGAGGTTTCTTCGTTGCTCTGTAACCTGCAATCTGACATGCATCAAAATTTATCGAATTTTGAAATTGATATACCTGACGAATGTAATATTGGATTATACGAGTAACCTGATCGAGTACCAATTCACCGTTCGGTGAAGATCTCGTAAAATATTTCAAATTATTTATAACCTCCGAAATCTATATAATTTTTTTTTATTATTTTACAATCTTTGTATTGAATTTTACCTGTCTCACCAAATTTTTTCGCTCTTCATTCTTGTGGTTATTTTTTTTCCATAGGTTTTGAAGCTCCTACAAAAATTAACAATTGGCGTGATTTCAGCTAATTAAGCAATAACTGTTTCTAAATCCCTCATCTGATTCCTAATCCTCTCTTGATACCTTCTGGCAGCCTCTTTATTTTTTTGACGGCGCAAATCGCCAGATTCTGAAACTGGACCCTCCTAAATATAAAAATGAAAAGAAATATATATATATAGACATTTTAAAAATTGCGTTATGTTGGTAAAAATAAGGTATACCAGTATTTTTTCAAGCGGTTCAGGATTATAAAACTACCCCTAATGTCTATTTTTATTTTTTTCCAAAATGAGGGGATCCCAATATGCATAAAACTCGCATATTGCGGGGCAAGGCCTTTCTCTAATTTTTTGGCATTTAGCCAATTTCCCGATGCCAACCATATATGTAATATTTATTACATTAATGCAAATATTTCTCACCTGAAATGCTGTTTGTGAAGCATTGCTATGCTGATAAGGTGATTCAAATGAGCTTATTGTTTCTGAATATTCTGATGGTGAACAATATGATGGAGGGTTCCAGCTGGCGCGGAATTGCTCTACCTAGAACACATAATTTTTCAAAGAAATTTTCAGCCAACCAACCCCCACGTTTGAAGCTTCAATAATACAACTACCTTCATCAAGAATTGCTACAACATCATCTGCAGTAAATATTGGAAGTGAATTTGAAAACGAATAGCTCATTTCTAATCCGAATACATCGAAAATGATTAAAAAAAAACTCAAAATCATCATATATATATACATATTATCATCGTCTTAATGATGATCATCAAATAAGGCGGGCGGGTAATACGTCAATGAAAAGTTGTTATCTGCGTCGCTGACCTGCTGATAACACGCACAGTCATCCTCCCCCTACTTTTCTGATAATTTCTTTGTTGCAGCATTTTTTTGCCTTTGTGGATTTAATTTGATATTTTGTGTTCATAATACCTCAAGCTTCTGAAAATTTCTTATTTTAATTTCAAACTGAATTTTTTTATCAATCTATTATTAAAATCTGCATTAACAGAAGATTCGAATCAATAAATTACATAAGTTGTTATCATATTTAAAAATTAAAAATGGCTCAGAAATTGTTAACGAAAATATTAATAAGTCATTTTTGTCAAAAAGTGAGCAATAGTACAGTGCGTTTCACATTTATAAAGGCACCCCTGTTTTTGGGCGTAACTTTGTCAATTGTGAAAATTTTTTAATTCCTTTTTCAAAATTGAATTCAGGGCTAAAAATGCATATGTGTACATATTTTCATAATGATTTCTAAAAAATTGGCCGAGTGGCATTGAGAACACTGTAAATTTCACTCTCAACCGTTTCACAATTATAAAGCCACCCCCGTGAAAGGTCTGAAAATGTGGAGACCTGAAGAAGAATTAGCAGTGTAGTTATGAATATAGAGTATATATTTTGACAGGGGTATTAAACAGGGGTGGCTTTATAAATGTAAAACGCACTGTAGTATGACTAAAAGAGGCAGACTCCAGGTTTGTTATTTAAAATAATCAAAAAGAAAAAATGTCACAACCGCATATGTTACATTTTTTAGGAAAGAAAAAATGTATATTCAATAAATTACATTTAACCAGAATCCTTCTAGTTTATTCGTATTATTAATTAATTTTTAGGGATAAAAGTGTTTATTGTCTAAATCTAATTAAGCATAATCAAATCAATGAAAAGTTGTTATCTTCTTGCATCATCCCGATCATCGTGAGCCCTCAAATTATCGTTGATGTATTCTCGAATCTGTTCCATTTCCCGATTATTTAATTCATTGGCTGCACGATCCATAACTTTTATCAATCGCTCAGTCTGTAAATATTCGTTTTGAAATTCTTAAATTAATTTTATTCTCAAAAGTGTACCTGTTCTCGTAGTTGGCGTTCAATTTTATCTTGATATTCGACTTGACGTTCTGTTTCTCTATCCATTTGAAATTCCGAAATAATGTGTACTCCTGCATAAATCGAGTTAGTAATAAATCTTAGAATTTTGAGACAATTCGTCCATGGGATCAGGGAAAATTGCACATCTAAGTGAGTCAAAACAAGCTTGATTATTCGTGCAAGCGTACAGCGGCTTGGGGCAAAGGCAGGTCGTGTTGGGGGGCGGGCTGAAACCAGCCAAGATCCGGGCGAATTTCCCACGACCCCTTGGCGAATTGCCCAAAAATTCGCTGAGAAGTCTTGGCAAAAAACGAGTTTATAAGTGTGTTATGTAGGTCATTTCTGGGCCTTTTTATTCAAACTGATAAAATTTTGTTCGTCTTTTATCGTAATGAGTCACCTATGACACATAGATTGCAGAACAATTTTTTACAATAATTCCTACAAAACTTACATAACACGTTTAAAGACAATTATTCAACAATGACACATTTGAAATCAACGAATTTTGGAACAGTTTGCCTGGGGGGTTTGGGATGAGCTGTCGCGCGAAAAATTGAGATTTATTACATTCGCAAAAAAAAACACGAGCACCATGTGCCGATTTACGGCGAATTAGCTTCGCAGGTTACCCGGAATAGCATTCCTCACAAGTTAATGTCAGTTTTATAATCATTTATGTGTACATATGTCAATTTTATAAGTGTACATTTTTCTGATGAAGCGATTCAAGAAATGCAATGGGTGCTGTAATCAAAGAAAACCACGAGAACCATATGACATATTGTTGCCGCACGTCTTTTTTTTTGAAGTTGCGCTATTATTTTTAGACTATAACTTTTATTCTGCTATATTCGAAACGCAAATAACCGAAGTGGTTAGGATCTTAAGAAATACGAATGTAAAATAAATTTACAATCGTATAAGAAATATTATACAACTTTCATAAAATAAACGGAAAAAACTAGAACATTTAAATCAAATAAAAACATAAATATTACCGTAACTTGTGTTTAGTTTTGAAATATTTTTCCATTATCGAGGGATTGCTCGAGAAAATCTATTTTCCCAAAAATTCTTTTTTATTTTGTTAAAAATATCTTTATACTTGTTTAATAATTTATGCGTCATGAGATCTCTTATCAGTATTAACGTAATAAAACATTGTTATCAGTTTTCGTATTCTGCACCGGTATAATTTCCGTTCCTTTTCCATGATTCACTCTTTTAAAGTGCATATAATTCCTGTATTATCTTTATATTTTTGAATTTGCCTATGATAGTGTCGTTATTAACTGAGTGATCAAAATTAAAGGGAGGGGGATAACCGTAAGAATCACTGTTGGTCTTGGAAAGTTGCTTATCGCTGCAATTTTCTCATCAGAGTATGTTGCATGTCTCCTCTCCTGTCACCACCCTATATCATATTCATATCTTATTCTAATAAAGTATTCTATGGCTTTACAAGAAGATAATGGAAGCGGGGATGTGAGTAACTATGTATTAAGAACCATAGTAACCCTCACCCCGACACTATTCTCATATATCAATCTCTGAAATATATCTGAACTTTTAGATTACCCAAACGACACATTGAATTCGGATAATTAATTCATTACTACTTCAAACAATGTGATCTCAACTATCTTTTCGAATGGAACTTGCCGGTGATTCGATAGGAAGTCAAATGTTGTGTTTTTGCCATTCTTTCTAACGATTGCTGTGTCATTTTTTATGGAGTTTAGGTAAAAGTCACAGTCGCAAAAAGCGATGACCCTATTTAGGAGATTTTGATTTGCAGGTTACGCATGTTATTTAAAACGTGATCTGCACCAAAATACAGAGATTAGTTTTTTTTTTATTATTTCGGTTTGCTATCTTGTTTTTTTTATACTTTTATGATTTTTTTTGTATGTTACCCTATTTTAAAAAAATATATGGACTATGTGGTGTCTTAATGCAAAAAGAACCGTTAGTGTCTGCGTACTCTGCATTTTAACATACAAATATTTAATATTTACACAGCACGTAAATCTAAAAAATTCGTGTAGTTGACATCGCCCAAACGAGCAAAAGGTAAAATGCAAAAAAATAGATAAGGAAGATCTAAGCGAATTATTAACACGTTCAGTACAAGGCGGGCCGGCCTCGAACGCGTCCCAAACCATGAGCGCCTTGGCGAACGCGCTAAAAAGATATCTTGGTGCGCATTGTACGTCTTAAAACCTAGAATCAATGAAATTATCCTAACTTTGAATGGTACTACAGTTTGCCAATTTGCGCCTTAAACGTTATTTTCCAACGTTCAACTTCCGTAGTGAAATTACCTCTCCATTCGCCGTACAGGTCACTTTCACTAGTATCAACCACACATGTATGCATATAAAAATCTTGTTTTAGTTGACTAATCCGACGCCGTTTTTTGTAAATTTTTTGTCTCTTTGTCATTTCATTGATTGGTTTGATCGTTTCGTGAACTTTTTCTACAAATTTCTGAGTCAATATTGATACAAAAGTTTTTTTGCTGATCATGTCGTATGTATAAAATTCGTATATTCGTTTGTTTAAAATAAACATGCATTATTGTTTTGCCAACACGTATAAACACATACAGCATTATAAAAAGGCGCTAAAAATTTCAGTGAACAATCACTAAAATTCGACAAAATGAAGATAATGGTGTGTTTTTTTCTAGTTTTCTAGTAAAATTCAAAACGTTTTCAGATAATAATAGCTGTTTTTCTGTCAACAACAGCTGCCCAACTTTCTGTTCAAGCTAGTAATTAAAATAAGTTGATTTTTCTATAAATTTAAAGCAATCTTGTAGACCAGGAATGCAAGATGAATGAGGAGTTCAAAACATGCGGAACTGCCTGCGAACCGACTTGTGAAGCTCAACCTGTCAGATTATCTCTCATCCATTTTCAATGGTTTGAAAATTTACAGGCTTTCTGCACATTGCAATGTGTTATCGGTTGCCAGTGCAAGAATGGATTTGTGAGAAATTCAAACAACGAGTGCGTTAAAAAGGAGGATTGTAATAAGGCAGATCCAACAGGTAATGCGATAACATTCCACTAAAAGCTTTTGATTATAGTAGCGCCAGTACAATCATGCCCAGCTAATGAAACGTTCTCCGATTGTCATAATGCTTGTTCCGAACCTAAATGCCCAACGGGCGTGGAAGTGGTAATAGCAACATTAGTTTTAAATTGTTCATATTTACAAGATGGTCCACTGCCTAATGATGTGTTCCCAGGGTTGCTCTTGCAACCAGGGTTTTCGCAGAAATTCTGAAGGACGATGTGTTCTAGAGTCCGAATGCCCACCAGTTACAAATGAGAATCCCTGCAACTTGACCGACTGTCCACCAGGAACGGCGTGCCAAGTACAAAACCAAAAAGCTATCTGCAGAAATGGTAAGTTTTATTATTATATAACAATCACTAAAAATGAGCATCATGCGTGGTAATGACTTTTCGTGAAATTTTTCAGAAAAAACTTGCGTCCAATAGTGCAATTATTTCGAAAAATCCGTTTTCATTTGATTTTATGTAGTTTCAGTTAATATTTCGCAATAAATATAACAAATTATAGCGGATTAACCAACAATAACCGAAGGTAGAACAGAAAATCGAAAGTTGAACGAAATCCTGTTCTGAAATTAAAATTTTAAAATTTAATTTCGCAAAAAGTACACGAGACTGCGTACATTCTAGCTTAGACGCATTGAATATTTTTAGTCAATACTAAATGTACACATACGCAAATCTTTACTGATTTCGAGAAATCTTGCCTTGCCACGATCAGTCGATTGAAACCGACAATAATATTTTTTAAATCTCACTTTTACTATATAATAGAGCTTTAATTAGAAAATTTTTAGTTTTGCTTTTTATTTTCCTCATTGATTATATATGTACGTATATGTATTTCTATGTTTTATTTATTATCTAGCTAGTCATTCATTATCATGCGCTAGCATGCTGTGTCAAGTCGGACACTCCTGTCAGCAGATTGACGGCCGTGCGACGTGTGTATCAATTGAAACGCCGATTGATCCAGTCCCATCAGTTCGCCCACGGTTAACTTGCGCCAACATCCGATGTGGTTCAAAAGCTGGCTGCGCCATGGTGATGCCTTCGAATTGTCAAGGAACTTCTTGCGAAGGACACCCAATGTGTATTGATGAAAATCGTAAGCAAAGTTTCGTTTTAAATTATATTATGATGTTTATAATTTACAGCCTGTCACTACACTAAGTGCGCAGCTGGCCAAACATGCCGTCTTCAAGAGATTCAGTGCATCAGAGCTCCATGGTAAGAAAATTGAAATTGATAAAATTGCAAAGCTTAATTTCAGCAATCCAATTGCTATGTGTACACCCGAAACAACGAGTATTGTTTATTGATTTTGCTGTTTGGGAGCCATAAACTATTCTTTTGTTCTTTTATAACATCGAAATTTGTTAGCTCTTTCCAGCTTAGCGCGCCACAGTAATTTCATGTCACATCCTTGTTTTACCTATCTCTCAGTTTATTATTATTATTATTCAATTTTGCCTACTATAATTAATTTATAGACTCTTCAACTCCTGCATTCTGTCCAGAGAATGAAATATATTCGGAATGTTTTAACTCTTGCAGTGAGCCTAACTGCAATACTCTGCCAGTAAAATGTATACTCGAATCATGAATATTCCAAGGACGATTTTTAGAATCAAGTTTGTACTAAAATGTGCTCGCAAGGATGTACATGTGCTGACGGGTTCATGAGGAATTCAGATGGCGCTTGTGTCGATGATTGTTTTCGTAACTCAACGAATTTTAATGAAGATGACAGTCAAAGAGAGAATTGTGATCTAACTCCATCTGCACCAGCTTGCTCCTGCGGACATAATGAGACATTTTCAAGTTGCTATAATGCTTGCTCAGAGCCCAAATGTGGAGATGACAGTCTTAAAATGTGCAATAGAATGTGCACACAAGGATGCGCATGCAATGAAGGATTCTACCGTAATTTTGATGGGATTTGTGTTCTTCAGGAAGACTGCGAAAAGCCCACAGAGACGGATAGTATTTGCGCTTCGAATGAAATATTCTCGAAATGTTTCAATTCGTGCTTGGAAAAGAAATGCCAAGAGAACCGGGTACTTATTTAGAAAACATTTGTTCTGGAAAGTAATAGTTTTTAGGATGAAATATGTTTGGAAATGTGTTCGGAAGGATGCACCTGCATTGATGGGTTCTACCGTAATTCAAAAGGAATCTGTGTGTCAAGAGAGGAATGCGATACTTTCCTTGAAACACATTCAAATATCACTTGTGGAAAAAATGAGGTGTTGTCAACGTGTCACAATCCATGCTCCGAACCCAATTGTGTGTCGAATCCTTCTCAGATGTGCACACTAATGTGCTTTCAAGGATGTTCGTGCATCGAAGGATTCTATCGTAACCTTGATGGAGAATGTGTGCAACACTCCGAATGTCCCCAGGATGATGCCATTCGGACATGTGGAACCAATGAAACATTTTCAAATTGTTACAACACTTGTGAGGAACCCAAATGTCAGAAGTCAAATGAAAATGCAATGTGTGAAATGTGCGCACAAGGTTGCACGTGTAATGATGGATTCCACCGTAGTCCAGAAGGCACTTGTGTAGCTCATGAAGACTGTCCGCCGGTAATGAAATGCCCAAAAGACAACGTGTTCACCGAATGCTATAATTCGTGCAGTGAAGCCAAATGCAAATCTGCAGATAAGGTAAACTAAATATAAATTTTTTCACCAATCGCATCAATTTTTCGAATGGGGTCGCATGTTCTTCTTACTGTCGTCCTGGATGCACGTGTAGAAATGGGCTGGTCCGCGGTGCTGATGGAAAATGCTATGAAGAAGATAATTGTCCTGATGTTCACGATTGTGGTCAAAATGAGGAATATGGTTGTTCTGGTTGTGATCCGACATGCGATCAACCAAAGCCGGTATCTGTTACAGCAATGAATTTTTCGAAATGTATGTATTGAGAAGTGCAACCGTCGTGCATGCAAGAAAGGTTGCCGGTGTGCTGAAGGCTTTGTCAGGAAGAATGGAAAATGTGTGAGTTTTTCAAAATGTCCTGATCATCAGAATGAGAGAGGAATTATCTGCAAAGGAACTGAAGAACACAGCAACTGTGCCCCACAATGCGAATACTATTGTACTGGCAGACTTGCATGTAGTCAGACAAACAACACCTGTACACCAGGCTGCATATGTCGACCAAAGTACAAGAAGGACTCAAATGGGATCTGTGTTCATAATCGGCATTGTTTTAAGAGTAATCAACGTTTGTCTGGAATTCTTAAATTGAAATATTTTAGCTACAACCTGTATAGAAAATGAAGAATGGTCGAAGTGCATAGAAAATGACATTTCGTGCAAAAAAATACTAACTGGTACAACTAATGAACCAGCACATCATCATCGTGACGAGTGTTTTTCGGGATGTGTGTGTTCTCCAGGATTTGCAAGAAATTCTAATGGCACATGTGTACCTGAGGCAATATGTAGTTAATGAAAATTATGAAAATGTTATTCATGAATAAATTTTTTCTGGTCTTGTTTGATTCTAAGCCGTTCAACTTTAATTTATTATTATAAATATTATGGAAAATCATTACCAAAATATGTGCAAAATTATAAGTTATCTCTAATCCATTAATAATCAGGCTTGATGACCGGCCAGGCCGTATTCTCCTTCAATCCCTTGTCTGAAAAAAATTCACCTGCACAATTAGAGTTAAGTTTGAGCCCGATCCGTAGGGCGGGGGGGGGGGTGTGAAATGGCAGCGAGCACAACATACAGCCTAAACGCAAAACGAACAGTAACATATTGGAAAATTTTAAAATCGATATAAATTATGTTTAATACATAAAAGTAAAACTATGATATCACATGGATTACTCGATAAGACAAAAGTAAATTTAAAGCTTAAAATGAACTCTGTATGCTTTTATTTGGTCCAAAATACTTCCGTATTAGACTCTTGATCTGATTGAATTAATGTTCTGTGTTTTCTAGATTGGCAACATTTAGCTGCGCTAATGTCCGTTGCAGCGGTGGGACGAGATGCGTTATGGTCGAAACTTGTCCTGGCGTTTCGAAACCAATTTGTCTTAAAGAGAATGGTAATTATTTCAAACTAACCCAATTTAAAATTTTCTTCAGCATGGGGCACCATAGATTGTCCAAACGAGCAAACGTGTAAACAGCAGGAGGTGAAGTGCCTTCGAGCTCCATGGTAACTTTTGTAGTGCCTTTGAAAAATTCACAAGAGCATATTTTACAGCCATCCTGTCACAGTTTGTCAATAATTTAAATGTAAAGCGCGGATACTAGTTTATTAAAATATAAAGCTGAATAATTAATATCCTGGAGCGACACGTGGTGGAGGGCAATGATCGCATGATCCATGGCCGCCGGATCCACCATCTTGTCCTGGTTGTCCTGGTGCTCCCGGATGTCCTGGTTGTCCTGGGAGTCCATTGTCTCCAGGTGGTCCAGCAGGTCCTGGCTGGCCTCCTCCTCCGTGTCCTGGCTGTCCGTCTGGTCCAGGCAGTCCTGGTGGTCCTGGGGGTCCTGGTGGTCCAACCTGCGCAGGTCCTTGAACAACAGTTCCAGTGGCTCCTGGATGTCCAGGCTGTCCTGGAGCTCCATCGTCTCCTGGTGGTCCAGCAGGACCTGGCGGGCCTGGCGGTCCACGGCTGGAAGCACCGCCTCCCATTCCTGGAGCTCCTGGCTGTCCTGGTTGCCCACGTGGTCCTGGTGGTCCTGGTGGTCCCTGGCGTGCCGGGGCACAAGTCTGACAATCGTGGGACACAGGTTGTCCGTAGTTTCCTCCGGCATCGCTTCCTGGTTGACCTGGAGCTCCTGGTTCTCCGTCACGTCCGGGCTGCCCATCTGCTCCTGGGAATCCTGGTGGTCCCGGTGGTCCGAAGACACAGATAGATCTCTGTGACTGCTGTGGAACAAATGTTGCTGGAGCTGGTCTATAGACTGGTTGTGGCTGAACAGGTCTGGGAGCATATCCGCCACCACCTACTCCTCCGAAGCTTCCTCCCTGATAACCTCCTGCTCTAGCTCCTCCATAGCCACCGCCTTGAGCGTAGCCGCCGCCACCGCCGTATCCTCCTTGAGCTGGTCCTGTCACGTATTGTCTCTTAATACGACTTTGGAGTCCAGTGATAAGCTCGACCTTGCGAAGTTCATCCCAGAGATCGTGCGATCTCAACGAACAGAATTGCAGCTCGTGCTCCAAAACGGATTGAATGTTTTGAGCATGACTGAAAAGAAGTGGAAGAGCGATAACAGAAGCGGCGAGTGCAAAAGCGGTAACCGCGACAGCTGAGAATGCGATACTTCGCAGCTTGTCGATTTCGGATTCCTTGCGGAGTAGTTCCTGCTTCTCCATTCTACAAAAATTTTTATTTTCGATATATTGCATTTTAGGTAAAATTTTTTAATTATTTGCATTAGCAAAAAAAACTTGTTGACAGTTTTAACCGGAAAAAGTAACAAATTTCGAAAAAACAATTGCTTACCTTGTCGAGTAGAGTAGCCGAGGCGAACTGATTTCACTTCCAATTTGCCGACTTTTATACTAAATTTGGCGAAGGCCATTCGTTTATCGAGTTCGCATACTATCTCATGTTACTCTCTTCGAAATTCAGTATATTTTTATGGTCAAGATCGGGCAACCTTGAATTTAGTTTCCAAGAATTTGTAGGCTGCGACTGGGGAATTGCGAAAATCGGTACAGGTAAACAGTTTTTCACATTTTGCCGAAAAGAAGGAAGTGACCAAAAATTAGGAATCGAGTTTATGATTCTGCAAATTCATTTTTTTGACATTGGTCAGGACAAAAAACAAATTTTTACTGGGCATTCCTTGGTGTGCTGTACTACAGATAAGCTGCAAATAAAACTCACTTTAAACCAAGGTGGCCGTTTTTGAGGTTGCAATATGTAAAATATAGAAAATTTAATAGCTACGCAGGTGTATTGTATGTAAAATTCCTCTGTTAACTTCAATTATGACAATATTTTCCATTTATTTCACCATTTTTAAAAGCCCTTTGTTCACTCCAAGCTAAAAAATGCAAAATTTAAAAATTCCCAAAAGCGGCACTTGAGCGTTTAAAAGGTGGCATTTCTCCGTTTTTCCTTAGCGACATGCTACTTTTTCTTCTGATTTTCTTCCATATTTTCTGGTATAATGATTCTCAAACTGTTACCTATCGTGCGGCCAGTCCCAATCCACCCCATGGTTGCCCCAATTACGGACTTTGTGCGAATGTCGTGAAGAAGTTGATTTCTAAAACCAACGAATCCATAATTTATAGATACAGTAGGGAAAGAGATCCTTTCGATTTATATGAATTTCAATTTTAGGTTGCAATCCAGAGGATTGTGTTTGTTTAGACGGAACCACCAATGGCACAAAACCCTGCGACACAAGTACTATATATACATATATGTACATACATATACAGGGTGGCTGAAAATTACCTGGACTAAAATTTCGAGCCTTCGTGAGGCGCACTGGTGCTTTTTCAGCGCAATGTTTTTTAATTTTTTTAATTAGCAACGTTTTTTTTACTATCTCTCAAATTTTCATGATAATTGGTTCGGTTTTAGCAAAATGGCGAAGCAAAATGCAAATCGACCCGCAATTATCGCATTGCACAAGTCCGGAATAGGCACGTATGCAATTTGGAAGCATCTGGGAATTCCGAAAAGCACCGTCTACGATGCGATTTCTCGTTTCAAGGATCTTGGCACAACCCAGGACCGTGCAGGCAGAGGAAGAAAAACTACGGTGACGACTTCTTCGAACGTTAAGATCGTCCGAGACAGAATCAGACGAAATGCTCATCAGAGCATCAGAAAAATGGCTTCCGCCCTGAATATGTCACGAGCTTCAATGACAACCATTGTCAAAAAGAAGCTTAAGTTGACTTCTTATTGTGTCAGAAAAGCGGCCATCCTTTCTCAATCCAACAAGCTCAAACGGCACCAAAAGGCAAAACTCCTTTTGGCGGGCGCGCGGGTTGGGGAACATCTGTCGATGGTCTTTTCGGACGGGAAGCTGTTCACCGTGGAGGCCGAATTCAATTCGCAAAACCATCGAGTGCTTGCCCGAACGTCCGAGGAAGCTTCAGAACTCGGCCGGACTATTCATCGTAAGTCGCACCCCGTCAGCATCATGGTCTTCGGTGCCATCTGCTCCAATGGCAAATGTCCTCTGATTTTCGTGAAAAATGGTGTAAAATCGACAAAGACTTCTATGCCAATGAGATCATAAAGAAGAACTTGCTTCGTTGGGCCCAAAAACACTTTGGTGGACAACGATGGGTGTTCCAGAAGGACGGGACGCCAGCTCATACTGCAAAGTTTACGCAGGAGTGGTGCGCCAACAATTTCCCCTCCTTCATCAAGTCAACAGAATGGACCGCCTCGTCTCCTGACCTTAATCTGTTGGACTATTCCGAATGGGGGTCTTACAGAGTAAGGTCCGTGCTATGCCCCACCCGAATTTGGACTCTCTAAAGAAAGCGCTGGTTGAGGAATGGGACAAATTGTCGGTGGAATACCTGCGCGCCACGGTCGACGCATATCCGAAGCGTCTTCACGCCGTTATCAGAAACCGCGGAGATCGAATCGAACAACGATAATCTATTTTGTTTGTTATTGTAAAAATAAACTAAATATGAAATTTGAGTGTGTTTGAACAATTATTCACTGAAATACATTGGTTTTCATATAGTCCGGGTAATTTTCAGCCACCCTGTACATACACACAAACACAGTGCTCCACATAACTATATACCCATCCCAATTTTGTCGAAATTTAACAAAAATAACAATTTAACAAATTTCGTCATTTTCACGAAAAAGTGGAAAAATTTTTTCCACAAAACTATATACCCACTTGATAAAAACCCAGAAAAATGCATCGAGAGTTAAAATTTGAAAGCAAATGAACGTTTAATGATTAAGGGGTCTTCCATTGACTTGTGTTACGTCAAAAATTTGGCAGTCCATTGATTAATAAAGGTTGCTGTTGATCGATAAGCTTCCAGGCTTCCACGATTGCCTTTTTGAGATCCGAAATCGAATGAAAAGACTTGTTGCCATCGTAAATCTTCTTCACCATAAATCCCCAGACATTTTCGATGGGGATTATGTCTGGAAAACTGGCTGGCCAATTGAGAACTGGGATTCTACGGTTGCGTATCCCCTGGATGGTGCGGAGAGCACGATGACAAAGAGCTCAATCTTGCATGAAAGAGTAATATTTGTGCCCATTTCGACTCCAAAATGGCAACAGATCACGTATTATGACGTATCGGTAGTCAGAACCATTAATCTTCGGCGAAACGAGGCACAACTTGACTCTCCCATGCGAGCTGATTGCCACCCATACCTTGACGCCTCCTCCTTTGAAGTTTTTCCGCAAAAAACCGCAGCTTCTCCATTCTCAAATCGTGCCAATAGCCATGATAACCATCTAGCCTGTCACAATTGAACTGTTTTTCATCAGAAAAGACTACCCGAAGTAAAAACGAGTTCAATGAACATTGCAGTTATTCTTACTCGTCTCCAGTTAGTTCGTTTATTTTTTTTTGCAAACTCCTGTCGTTTTTCACGATGTATTCGAGTAAACATTGGTACATTTCTCATTTTCCTGTGCTTGATGAAGTTGCTCTTAGATAAAATACGCAGGAAGGTTTCATTTGACACCGTGAAATTGAATTCCCTTCAAATCGTTGAGCACGACACGACTGAATTTGATTCTGTCCGCAAAAATTTTTGCACGTATCACGGTTCGAAAACAGTGAAGGACGACCTGTCGACGTTTTTTTGACTATAAGCGGCTGAATTCTTAGCATATCGGCGAGTAACATTATGATTGCATCCCAGTTCGTTCCCAATTAGTCGATAAGAGAGAATTTGAGCCAGCTTTGCTTCAATTTTACCTTTTTCAAAGTCGGTGAGCGGCTTTTCACGAGCCATGTTTTAAAGACTAGTAAAATTGCATAAAAATTTGAAAATACGAAAAAAATCGAAAAAATGCCAAAAAAATGGAGTGGGTATATAGTTTTGTGGAAAAATGTTTTCCACTTTTTCGTGAAAATGACGAAATTTGTTAAATTGTTATATTTGTTGAATTTTGTGAATGTAACATGAAACTAATAATAAATGCGCATATTTTTCTAATTGAAATCATTTCTGGAGGTTTTCGCGTTTTCGAGATATTCGACAAAATTGGGGTGGGTATATAGTTATGTGGATGATCCATCCAGCGAGCATGATGATCCTAACTTTTTAACATTATATTATCGCCCAAAATTGAGAGTATGTAACTTGAAAATCAACAGTCAGAAATTGATTAGATTTAACAAATATCTCATTTATTACCTAAATTTTCAAAGGCTTGAAAGACTGTCCAACGCGGTTATGGATTGTGCCAATATGTCCAAAACGTATGTTAGCATCAAAAGCAGTTTTCAAACAATACGCGATTTCTGAAATAGATAGATAAGGTTCAATAAATTATAATGGTTAAAAAATGTTTTAAAAGATTAATTAATTCTTGGATACATTTGTATATAAACAAGATTACGAATATTTTTTAACAATAATATTTAGGTTAGAATATTTCGGATAGAAACAGTTGGAATATATTAATTGGCATATAATTTAAATGATATTTCTTACCTCAGTAACGGACAAATGCGAGAACAACCCTTGCATCGGAGAAAACGTTGTCTGCAAAAGCGAAATTTCCGGATACCAGTGTACATGTAAGCCAGGTTTCACTGGAAACAACTGCGAAAATAAGATTGGAACGATTTGTGAAAAATCTCCATGCCAGAATGGTGGTGTTTGCCAAGAAAATTCCGACAGCTATAATTGTACCTGCCCTGACCAATTTACCGGCGAGAATTGTGAATGTTCGCATTGATTTACTCACATATTTCTTTACGTTGTTTGTTTTTCAGACGAAAATCTTTGCCAATCTAGCCCGTGTGTTCATGGAACCTGCGAAATGGTTTTACAATATTCACATTTTTATTGTAATTGCGAGGAAAACTACATGGGAACACGTTGTGAAAGATCGACGGTCATCCCCGGCACGTTTTTTTAAATTAAAAAATTAATTCGATTTCAAGCATTCTACTTTAGATTATTTATATATTTCCAAAATTTATGTTTCCGAAATTGCATTAATCGGTTTTCAAAACTTTTTTTTCAGGCAAACCAACAATGGACCCTAATTGCTATTTATACTATCAACCGACTATAGGACCAGAATATTATAAATTCAGTGACTACAAAATGACCGTGGAAAAGTGTAACGATTATGCAATATCATCTAGTCCAGATTTAAAATATTTAAGTACGAAACACATAATTCTTGAGTTATTTTCAAAATTTCAGCGATTTGTGGAGTTTGGTGTGTTACATCAACCGGTCCACTTCTTAATGATACTGTACCATATTGGACTTCAAATTGTAACAAAGAATGTGGAGGAGATTATAATCAAATTTGTGGACAACACAGAGATAAGTGTCGAGTTTACGAAGTTGCAGCGCCGAGTAAGTTTTCTTTTTAGAACGTGAAAAAAAATCAATCATTTATTGAATAAGATTATGCAAGAAAAAGCGTAAGCGTTGCTTCTAATTGAAATGTTAGCGAAATGGGCTTATAATCATTTTCAATCTGTTAATTTCAATTAAAACAATAAATAAAATTTTAAAGAATGATGAAAAAAAAAAGAAAAAAACGCATTTAAAAAATACTTCGGCATAAAAAAGAAAAGTTTCAAAGAGAAAAAAATATAGTCTGAATGGAGTAGTCAAAAACTGTGGAGACCTATTGATGTTAGACCTAATCAGAATGATTGAATGTCGGAAAATGGCAGTTTCTTAATTCGTAACTTTTTTCCAGCTTATGATCCCAACCCATGCAACGATACAAATCTATGCAATGCCACATTTGGTCACGGAATATGTTTGGATTATTCACAAAACTACGGACTCGGTTACGGTTGTATTTGTGCACCCGGATGGACGGGAAAGGATTGCAATTCACGTAAAATCCGTTGATGTTCATTGAAATGTGCGATTTTTAGCTGTTGATCTACCATGTGACAGTAATCCTTGCGAAAATAATGGAACTTGTATTAACAATTTCAAAGATAGTAATTTTATATGTGAATGCAATGAGGGATTCACGGGAGATAAGTGCCAGTGTAAGTTTTTTTTGGAAAAGTAATCAGAAAAATTGAAAATTTGCATTCATAAACGTTCTTGCGAAAATCTAGAAGACATCAGGTTTCAAAATGTTTGTAGATGAGGACCCCTGTATTCCAAATCCATGCCGATATGGTGGAACGTGTGAACCTGACAACGGAAAAGCAAAATGCACCTGTTTGGAATTCTACTCTGGCTCGATATGCTCGCAAGTTGATCGTTGCGCGTATCATAATCCTTGTGCACACGGATCATGCCAATCAATAGTTAAAGGAATTCAGCCAAATTATGAATGCACCTGCGAACCGGGATGGAATGGAACCAATTGTGATACTAGTAAGCAATTGTTGAACTAGTTATCAGCATTAAAATATCAAGCAAAGTATTTCGGGATTTTAGTGATAAACTACTGTGACCCGGAACCATGCGCACATGGAAGTGTCTGTAATCCGTTCTTTCAAGGATACGAATGTGAATGTGTGCCAGGAACGACAGGAAAAAACTGCGATACAGGTGAAAAGCGAAAAGTAGAACATTGCATTTATTCCTGTTGTAGTTATTGATCAATGCCAGCCGTACTGGGACAATGGGTGGATTAAATCACCGTGTAATACTAAAGACGAAGGAGCAATTTGCACTACAGGAATTAATACATTCACTTGCAACTGTACGGAACAATGGACAGATCGTCTTTGTGATATGAGTGGGACAGTCAAACATTGAGAAAAATATCATGTTCTTCTTACAGATGTTCTTATTAGAGATGTACTAATAGCTATATATGGCTATGTTGATGAGAATATGATCCCCCTGCTAAATGATTTGATTCAGAATCCTTCACAAATTAAGGATATGGTACCCTTCATAACTGGACTCCTTTCAGAAGAACAACGATCCGATTTAAGCTGGGACACTTCAGATATTTTTGAATGGATTGCTTATGAAGATAAGCGTCTCAACTTGGATACCGACGTGGTTCGCTGGAATGATATAGTGCTCGGAAATTGTTTTACTTTTAATCACCATGATGCAAACTTTACTTATTTAATGCGAAACTCCGGTCGACATGGAGGATTAAAAGCTTTTATGAGAGCTCGACAAGACGAATATGCTCCTTGGTATGATACTGCAGGAATAAATGTCTTTATTCACAATAGTGACGAATATGTATTTTCGGAATCGGTGAGATATAATGCACAACCCAATGCAGACGCTACTATTAACATATTCAATGTAAGATGCAATCGCTCATAGTTAGAAAATTTCGAAAGTATTATAGACAAAATACACTAGACTTGGCGGAAGATATGGAAAATGTATTAAAAAACCATCGGAGGTGAAAGCGTATTATTATCCATACTCATATAGCTCCGATGGTTGCTTGAGAACTTGCTATCAAGATATGAGCATGGAAAAATGTGGATGTATGGATCCAAGATATCCAAGGGCACCCAACGCCACTTCGTGCCAGCTCTCTGATAGTAGGTTTTTATTAGATTTAATCATTTATTATTACAAATTTAAAGGAACCTGCGTCACAGACGCCTCTGAGGAAGCCGGAGATCCATCAACATGGCCATCTTGTGTTTGCCCTCTTCCTTGCTCCAATGCTCAATACTCCGTGACATGGAGCAAAACAGACTTTGCTCTAAAAAACTTGGAATGTGACGCAGAATCCGATCCTGACAAATGCTATGAGATATTTGCTGACAAATTATTGATAACTGTAGTTTTGCCACAGCTCGATTATAAAATTTATTCGGAATCTCCTACGATGGATGTAAGTATTTGAAACTTGATGCACTTCGAAATCATAAATAATGATATTCATTGCAGTTCAACAAATTCTTGTCCCAACTTGGTGGCCAATTGGGCGTTTTAATGGGAATTAACCTCGTATCATTTATTGAAATCGCATTCCTGATGTTTGGACTAATAATGGTGTGTTGCCGAAAGTATGAGAACTGAATTATAATAAACTATTTTGTTGTCTGCGTCATTTATCTTATCTCTTCCTTTCTTTCTTTCACCCTCTCTCCTTCGTTATCTGCCTACCTCCAAACGGGCCTCTTATTATTTGTTTTCATGTTTTGTGACATTGTTTGTGCGCAAAATGATGACAATTTGGCCTGACGAAACCGGCCTCGTTTCTTGTTGAGTGTCTGCGTCGCATACTCTCTAATCATTGATTTTTCGAACTGAAAGTATACAATGTGTCGTCAACCTTTGATTTTAGTGAAAAAAAAAAACGTGAAAGAGAGCGTGAGGTAAATTTGCCAGCTGAGCTTCGATAGTTTTAACTTTTCCGTTTTTTTTTCTATATATCGTGCAGGTCGTAACGCGGAAGTCTATTATTGAATAGAAAAAAATTTGTTTATTTGCAGAATCCATAAATCAAAATGAAGATCGAAAAACTATCATGTAGTATTTGTGGAGAAGTTGGCAACGGTGTTCATTTTGGCGCAGAAGCATGCAGGTAGGATATTTTTGAAAAAATCATAGGTTTTTCGGCCGATCTCTGGAAGAAAACTATTAAAATTTAATAAATTAATAAAGTTTAATAAAGAGTTCAATACTTTAATAAAGAAACAAATTTAAAAATTTAATTATTTCGTTAGAAAAAGATAATAAAAATGAAAAAGAAATTCCAAACAAGAAGAAAACATTTGAAAAAATTTTCCTCTTTTTTCTTTTTTTTTTATTCGTTTTAATTTTCATTTTTTCTATTTTTCAGAGCATGTGCTGCATTTTTTCGACGATCAGTTGCTCTTAACAAACAATATAAATGTCGAGGAAACGGGAAATGTGAAGTAGTTTCTAGTAATAATTTTTATAATTCCGCAATATATTAAATTGTATTCAGCAATTCGATGTATCTGCAGATCTTGCCGATTTGCGAAATGCCTTCTGAAAGGAATGAAAAAAGAAGCTGTTCAAAAGTATAGAGATTCCTATGGAAAAAGAGGATCCGATTTAGAGTCGCCGAGTTCCAGTATTGATGTAAGGGTCGTCGAATTAAAAACCGTTTAGGCATGCGATTAAAGAAAATATCTTTCTAGGTAAAATTTTAGAAATCGATAACTTTTGAAAATAAAATTGAAAATTGACGTGCACTTCAACAGAATTGCTCGAATATTCTATTTTTTAAAGATACCACGCAAGCGAAATGTTTTTTTTTCATTTTCTGTCTCTTAACAGGCAAAAAAACAGTGATTTTTCTCGGACTTTGCTGAAACTCCTAGGTAAAACTCTTTCGCCGTTTTAAATAAAACAACCAAAATATAACTGCTCCGCCCGATGACTTTGTTGAACTCACGAATAGCTTTCAGTTTTAGAGCTTTAAACATAATTTGTTAACACACGATTCTTTGTGAATGCTTGAAAACATTGTGGCAATAATGTCAAAGAAAAAAAACTCCGTCTCATTTGAATTCTTTTCGGTTGGTTTTTTCGTCGCAAAGTCGAAATTTTTTGTCCTCTTATCTAGTTCCATAACATCCATAAAAACTTAAGCAGTTTCAACGACACATCGTGTTTACGGTTGCTTCTTTAAATGTGTAAATTTTTTCCATAGCAAACCGATTATTCAACTTTGTTCAACCTATTGAAAAAATGATTAATATTTAAGAGTTCGTGTCCTTCTTCATCTTCAATTTTCTCAAGTGTCGAACAGCCTCCAGGAATGCCAATTTTAAATAAATTGAGTCAAAACTATGTGCACCTTGAAAATGTGCGAAAAGTAATTCATTGCAATAAAGGGAATGTCTTTGAGGTATCAATGTTTACATATGTGAATTTCTCACGGAGAGACTTTTTTCTTCAGGCGAAACAGCCCAAAGCGGTTTCTTATAAAGAAGGCAATCAAATCGGGATTAAGGAATGTGAAATAGTCGCCGATTGGGTAGTTAGCTCATTTCCAGGATTCTCAAATTTACCAACTGACCAAAAGGTTGGAAAACATGTTCAAAACCTCTCAATTTTTCCTGTTTTAGACAATCCTTTTCCGCAATTGTTTCCTGGCTTTTTTTATGCTCCAATCGGGCTATTATGGTTACCTACATAGTGAGAGATGTAAATTAAATTAATTTTTGGCATATTTATTTCAGATAGAAGTGATATCATTATTCTTCCTTCGGGTGATTTCATTGATTGCGAACATCCCGAAACCTTCTATTTCGACCCAGAAGGAAAACAATTGATGACTTCTGAAGATGCTGTCAGGTGTTTTTATTTTTTCACCAAACTTTAGCTGTTTATTCACTTCAATTATTTATTTTATTCTTGTAGAATGTTTGCATCGTCATTCAGTAACTACCGGAGAAACGTGATAGAACCTATGATTCGGGATAAAGTTGACAACATCGAATTTTTTGCCTTATGCGCATTGGTCTTATTTGATACCGGATTAGATGGGCAGAGTGACGAATGTATAGCTCTTAGTCGAAAAACGAGAGAAGATGTTCAAAGAGAATTATTGTATTATTATCGAAATTATCGAGTTGTCGATGATCCATCGATGAGAATTGCGAATTTGTTATCGTTACTACCTGCAGTTCAGGTATGTGAGTCTTAGTTGAGCCGCCAAATTTTTGATCACAGACATCCTTTTCACTTCCGTCTGCCTTTTTTGTACATTAACTTTTCAACAAGGAAAATAACAAAAAATGGTTTAAAGCAAATGAAAAATGATTCAGACTACAGTAAAAGTACAAATAAAAAACTTTATCTGCGATAAAATATTACATTCGCAAAAAACTGCATTGCTTTTGATTTGGAAGTTTTCCGTAGTACGGTACCTGAATTTCTTCTGTTTAAATTAAAATTTGAATTAAAGCCTCGAAAAAAGACGATGATCCACAAGCAGCTTGCCTGTGTTTTTGCGATAGTAATATGTAGAAAAAACACACATAGCTCAAATTGGTAGTGGGGGTGAAACAAAACCAGATATTTCTACGGAAACATCAGGTTTCGTTTCACCAAACTAAGGTTTAACTCAAAAATTGCATTAAAATATCTTATATTCAATAACAAAGTCAATAAAAATCAAGATAGAGCTATTGGATTCATTTTAGCGAGCCGTGCGTCGCTTCCAAGAAGACGTCGAAATCAGTCATGTGTTCAACGTCTATCGTGTCGATGAAAAATTCTATGAAATATGTAATGGAAGATTCTAAATCCTAGTCTATTCTTATTGCTCAACGTTCACATTTTCGATCTCTCTTGTGATATACTTTTGTGATTATTGCTTATTTTGTAAATACAATTGGGCAAAGTTTATTTCATTCATAAATAATTATATAAGTTGTTATGGGTGATAATGTATGACCTATTTTCGCCAGTTCTTGAAATTTGGCAAATACCGATTACCGCGTGAAATCACCGTCTGTTTGCCTAGCGTCTCCGTTACTTCTCTAATTTCTACCCTTAGTTCAATTGTAGGCTACACTCGAATTATTGACATTCCTTCAAGTTTCATTCTTCAATTTTGTATATTCTTTGATTTTATTTAAAGCAAAAAAAGAAATGACGATTGAGAAAAATCTGTGTAGTGTATGCGGAGAAGATGGTAATGGAGTTCATTTTGGAGCAGAAACCTGCAGGTAAAACGTTGTTACTTTTGACCAGTGTTAAGTTGTCAAGCTATTTTAGGGGTAAGTTTGAACTATCCCTTGTAAAAATGAAAAAAAAGTTTCAAACAAGAAAAAAAGACGTTTGAAAAAGTTTTCCATTTTATTTTTTAATTCATTTTAATCTTTTTTTTTCAATTTTTCAGAGCATGTGCTGCATTTTTTCGACGATCAGTTGCTCTTAACAAACAATATAAATGTCGAGGAAGCGGAAATTGTGAAGTATTATCTAGTAATTGTTTTTAAAATATTTTTAAAGATTAGGCATTTGTTTAAGCTGTTCGATGCGTGTGTCGTTCGTGCCGGCTTGCCAAGTGCTTTGCTGTTGGAATGAAAAGGGAGGGAGTTCAAAGACATCGAGATGTTTACGGAAAAAGAAACACTGATTTGGAATCGCCGAATACTTCCAGTGCTGAGGTAGGATTTTCTGAAAATTAGTAAAAGGTCAATAAAAAGTGTGAACCTTGAAAAAAAAAGTTTTTTTTTGTTTAGAGCACATTTCCTGCAAGAAGAGATGATAGTTGTGGGATGCCAATTTTGTTAACACTTAGCAAAAATTATACACATTTGGAGAGTGTACGAAAAGTGGTACATAAAAAAGGACTTAATCTTTTTGAGGTACTTATTTTTTTGGTCTTTAATTTTATGCTTTATCTATATGAAAATGCTTTATCTCTCCAGACTAATCATCCGAAAATAGTTTCCTATAGGGAAGCGAGTCATGCGGGAATAAAAGAATGTGAAATTGTTGCTGATTGGGTTGTCACCTCGTTTCCCGTATTTGCAAAATTACCAACTGATCAAAAGGTGAATTTTTTCTTGAAAATAAATTTTGTACACTCTATCTATATTTCTCACAGACAATTCTCTTTCGCAATAGTTTTTCTTCTTTTCTTATTCTTCAGGGTGGCTATAACGGAGTAGTGCATAGTAAGATTTGCTATTAATGCTTTTTTTTAAATAACTCATTTTTAGATAGAAGTGACGTTGTCATTATGCCTTCTGGAGATTTTATTGATATTGAGCACTTGGAAACATTTTATTGCGATATTCGAAGTAAACGACTAATGACAACCGAAGATGCCGTGAGGTAAATTACGTTTGCTCTTGGAACTATTTCTAAATACAGTGCTCCACATAATTATATACCCACCCCATGTCGAATAACGAAAATGCGGATACCAAAAATGATTTAAATTAGAGATTTCGTATTAGTTTCATGTTAAATTTCGTGATTTTCACGAACAAGTTTTCCTCATATATACAGGGTGTGGCAAAATTTCGGGTGCATCGATAAAATCTGGCGATCACTCTGTGGTTTTGGTGATTGAAAGCAGCTTCTACCGTAAACAGCTTCTCATCCTTGAAGAGTGTCGTTAGGTGTTTTCCTTGCCGCGTACCAGCTAGGAGCGATTTGTACTTTTCTTTGAAGTTTCTACGCGAAAACCGCAGCTTCTCCTTTCTCAAATTGTGCCAATAGCCACGATAGCCATCTGGCCTATCACATTTGAATTTTTCTTATCAGAAAAGACTACCTGAAGGAAGAAAACGAGTTCAATTAACGTTTCAGTTATTCTTACTTGTCTCCAGTCAGTTCGTAGATTCTTTTTTTTGAAAACTCCAGTCGTTTTTCACGATGTATTCAAGTCAACATTGGTGATTTTCTCATTTTCTACCTTTTATCATACGCGGCTGGATTCTTAGCATAGCGTTTAATAATTTTATGGGTACGTCCTAGATCATTCCCAATTTTTTCGATAAGAGGGACCTTGAGCCAGCTTTGCTTCAATTTCACCTTTTTCAAAGTCGGTGAACGGCTTTCCACGGGGCATGTCTTAAAGAACAATAAAATTGCAAAAAAAAAATCGAAAATTCGAAAATATACGAAAAAAAAATCGAAAAACGCAAAAGTAGGTACATAATTATGTGAAAAAAATTTCCACTTTTTCGTGAAAATGACGAAATTTTTTAAATGTTATTTTTTGTTGAATTTTGTGAATGTAACATGAAGATTTTTTGACAGAACTAATTTTCAGACTATTTTCTCATTCATTTATTCATTTTCGAAAGAATGTAATTGACACAATGATTAGAGATCAAGTGGACAGTTACGAATTCTTCTTCCTTTTTACGCTGATTCTTTTTGATACTGGAATAGATAAGCAAACCGATGAATGCACTGCGAGTTGTCGCCAAATGAGGGACCTTATCCAGCGAGAATTACTATATTACTACCGAAATATTAAAATGATCGATGATCCGGCATTGAGAGTTGCCAATTTGCTCTCACTACTACCCGCTGTTCAGGTATTGATTTATTCAGTATTGAAAATCTGTTCAATTTGTTATTCAGAATGTATTAAATTTTTGCAGAGGGTGGTACGCCGATTTCAAGAAGACCTCGAAATCAATCAGATTTTTAATTTGTGCGCTGTGGATGAAAAATTCTATGCTATTTGTAATGGAAGATTTTAAATTTTATAGATTTCTGGTTGTGATAATTTTTCTATTTCACCATTCAGTTTTCCCTTTTTCAGTGTTAAGTGTGTCAAATAGATTAAATTGTTAAGTAACATACTGATAATGAAAACCATTTAAACGACTCTTGCAAATATTATTTATGACTTATCGAAAATTGAGGCAAAGTTCTATAAAAAAGGATAGTCGGAAGTTTTGTTTTAAAAAAATTCGAAAGAAATTTTGGAGCTCATAATTCCTGCATTACACTGTAATATTTTGTAAAAGGGAAAAATTTTGTAAAACAGATCCTTCTGTTAGCTACTGATCGGTAGTTTAAATTTTTTTGATATAACAATGCATTGTAAAATGTCCATACGAGATATTGGATTGGAAATTTTGGATTGGGTTCGTGGATCTCCAAAGAACAAGAACATACACTATTGGAGTAGTATTCAAAAAACCGAAAGAATTGTAAACATCGAGAAATTGTGTTAGTCAGGCTTGTAAAAAACACACGCCAGGAGGCCGAAAAGCCGGCCTCAGGTGGCAAACTGAGTTTTGGCTGCAATTCAAACTTCAAATTCATTTTAATCCAATATGTACAAAGAAACATTTATTTAATTTATTTTATTAATTTATTTCATTTTATTTAACATTTATTTCATTTATTTAATAAAGCTTGCTAAATATTAAACGAATTTATATACAGTATTGTATTTTTCTCATACATGCGTCCAATAGTATAATGAAACTAGATTTAAAGAAAAATCAAGTATATATACAAGGAAATGGAAGTCCGCAAAGATCGTTGTTTTGGAGGCAATTCAAATGTCTTCCTCATTTCATCTAAATTTTCGTATTTCGGTGGCATCTTTGATGAATAAAATTCCGGTCGACATATGTTCCGTTGCAAGCAAAAATGCCTAAAAATTAGTTTGCGCAACAGATTTTTCGCCGTTCCCACTCGTCGTGATCGTCACACGTGTTACTAACCCCGCCGCCGTGGCTTGCATTCGCATTTTAACAAAAGTAACAGTAATTAGCCTTGAGTTCTACTATTCGCATACCATGCTCTATAAATCTTTTCATTCCGTATTATAAAAGCAACAAAGTTCGGAAGGAAAACAAATTTCAATTATTTTCTTTTGGCCATATGTTTTTATGCCAAAGCCACATAAATTTTTACGGCCGCCCGTTTCTCATCTTCTTCCGGTCTTGTCAAATTTCTGTGTGAAATTCAATCAAACGCAAACAAAAATAATATAGATTAAGCAGAACAAAACCTTTTCAAAACGTTTATTTAATGGGAATTTCCTCAGGCAGTAAGAAAAACCCCGTCACAAGAATGAAAACCGATATTTAATATTTGCTCCAAACTTTTCGCGAGACGAAGCCCATATTTGTCATTTGCTTTTATGTATGTGATTGGTCGACGCATGTTTTTTTTTAACCATACTTCTCAATTTTTGGATATTACAAAAATTATAAGTCAGGTCATTCAATTGAATTATTGTCTAATACCAGCTATGCCAGTCATAACATAATTAATGTGGAAGACACAAATTTAATTTTTAGATGGTACTTGATGTGCAATTGTGAACACAATATAAAATTATTGGATTGGGTTTTCTTGTGCACAATTGTTTCATTTAATGGCTGAAATTGATCCGTACAATTTTCCGCAAAAAAATGTTCTTATGATTAAAATAATTACACGGATATCGTGAAAATGAAGGTTCCGCCCCGATTTGTCGTTTTAAACCGACTTAAAATTAAAACAGCGATCGAATCTTGTTGTAGGGTTTTTCAGGAGCAAACTATACCTAGTTCTTAATGCATAAAAATTCTAAAAATTCTGTTGACATTTGAACCTTCTTTGTCAATCTTCCGTTTTAGTTTAGCAATGCCCCATAAAAATAGAATTCATGCCGAAAATTTGCATTTTCCGTTTCAATTTCTTCCTTCCAAATTTCTTGCCAAGGTCGACCGGCGGAATTCTGGTGGGAAATGTCAATATTGTAGGAACACATAGAGTAGGAAAAAAATGAACGCTGACTAATTCATAGATTTGGATCAAGCAGCTAGTTTTTTACGTAAGGTATTAAATAAACATGGGTGGAAAAATATTTGGCGTAAAGTTGTTAGGAAATGACACACCCAATCGGGTAAAAGTTCGGCCACACCTTTGTTGGATGTTCAAACAATAAATTTCTCATCATAATGAACATATACATAAAAGAAATAGGTTTGTTGCACCTGTCGTAGTCCCGCTCCAGCTCCACCACCTCAATTATCTCATCTTGTCGCTGCACTTATAATATACTTCTGTCTCCTCTCAGCCGGCACGACACGTCTTACCTTCACCCATCCCGTTGTTTTTTTTTGGTTTTCTTATTTTATTGTTGACCATATATTGCAGTTGTTTTTGTATTAAATATATTCATATGTATGTATATATAAACGCTAATCTGAGGTTAATTGGGTTAATGCTTCTGCTATTTCCAATTGGATTGTATTTGAATATAAATTTTTTAGAAAAAAAAAACAAATCGACAAATTTGCAAACATGAATGGACAACGGTTCTTTAAATGGTCAGTTTTGCTCGTACAAAATTCATATGGGTTTGAGCTTCTTCTTTTCGTTTCTGATCAAAATATTCAAAGATGTTGTAATAAATTTGCCATATGTCAAGTTCCCCCACATCTTGTTCAATTTATCATTCAGTTTTTATCACATTTTCCACTTCAATTTTGATTAATTAGCTACTACCTGATGAACGTCCATATAAAACGTTAACTGAAATTATCTTCCCATTAGGTCGATTCGGCCCGTTCCACATTCATCTTTTCTTCGAGTTTTTTCCCATAATTAGACGATTCGCGACGAATGAATTGGGTACCTTTTCTCATTGTTTCGTACTATTCTTCCTCTTTCTCGTCCCCCATCAAATCATTTCGACTTGCGTACATATCACAATCGCAAAGAAAGAGCCCCTTAAAGATTTGATCAATTCTCAGTGTTTTTGAGTGTTTCTTATAAATCTATTCAGCGCTTGCAAAATTGCTGGGTAAAATACTTTCTTGTTTCATACTAAATCATTTAAATAATATTATTATAAGTAAAATTGCTTGTACAGTACGTGATGCATAAAAGCTATACAATTTTTCCAATATATTGGGGTATTTTCAATGACAATTGACGTGAAATATTTCACTCGAACAGCCTCGGTGAGATTCATTTGCAACTCCTTGCCTTGCCAAAATAATCGTGGGTCTTTAAAGTCATATTTAGCTTTGCCTTAGTTTCGGGCTTGATTGAACAAACGAATGAATGAAAAGCAATTGAAAGTTGTGTTCCCGTCCCGTTTGGATGATGGTAACCTTTCTGCCTTGCGACGCTTTCACGGCCAAACCCATTCTATTTGCTTATGTGCGTCGGCTGTTTTTTGTTGTTTTTTAATGTATTTTGAGGACGGTGGTTGCGCAAATGAATAGCACATTCGGCTGTGATTGGATTCTCATTAATCAGTCTTTTGAAACCTGTATTTCCCACGACCAAACTAGCGGGATTAATTTCTCTCTACCGCTTGATATTATTATTACATATGTAATTAGAATGGGCACGCCCAATCCTTTTTGTTTGTCCGTAACCGCTTGTCGGCCTTGAATTCGGGTCATTTTTGAACCTCAAAAAGGTCAAACTCATTTTCGACAATTTCATCTCTCACAAAGCGATGCTTGGCCGGATTATCAGAATCTAGCTCACGTTTTCAGATGTCAAAATGAGCGACGACCTGTTTTGGCGATACCCGTTACCGTTTTGGCTGAGGTATTTACTTTATTAAACATAATTTTGAGTTTTTTGTTTAACGTAAAAAAAGCAACTTTGCGTTCGAAGCATATGAATCTAATTTATAGGGATTGTGCCCTAGGCGATCCACCGCTAATTGAGGAAACTGAATGGCGAATTGCTACCCAACGCCAAGTTCCATTTAAATTTCAAGAATTGTGCGATGGCGTTCTGATGAGCGTGTTGCTCAGATTCATGTGAGTATTTTTTCGCGCACATTCTTTGATGATACCGATAGATTTGAAGGCTGGATTTGAATTCTAATCCTTTAAATTATGCGCCCATTAATTACGACGTACCCTCGATGGAACATTTCCCTGAAATTTTTCTTTCAGCGATCCCAGTACGGAAATTTTCATTGATCAAAATGTTGATAATGAACGAGATTCTGCTTTCAAGCAGAAGCAACTTCGCGTATTCTTTAACGCAATTTCCAGGTTTTATAAGGTAAACATTTTTCAAATGTTTCCAACTGTAATCCCCCATACTACTTGTAGGTTCGAATGCAACAGATTATAGTGCTTTCAACGCCCGATTTTTCACTTATTGCCAGGAGCGTGAGTCCAGGTCAGCCAGTCTTTTAACAGCAATGTAACATATCAAGGTTTACTGACATATTTAGCCATCATGACGGCCATCGTTTTATGATACGTCATAATATAATAATAATATTCTTCCGATATCATACCGTTTTATTATGCACGAAACATTCATCGGATGTTTCATTTAAACGGTAATCTGACGGTTACCTATTTGAGGGTTTTAAAAGTGCACGATATGAGATCTTGGAATGTAAAGCATGCTTCCTTATACATAGAATAATATAATAAATAGTATAACAAAAACCACCCTATTTCTAGGCGTCTAGACATTGTTCCTTTGTATGTTTACTGATGATAATGATCGCTGACCCATAAAAATGCCGTCATCATAAATTCAAACGCTTTATATTATTGACTTTAGTTTTGAACATTCATTAACAGACAGATCAGATTCAATGCAATCAAATATACACTTGCTCAGCGCATGAGTTGTTGCACAATGGTGTTCGAGGTCATCACACGCTCATCGATCACTTTAGGAGTAAAAGGGGAGAGGGGTCCAAGCGAACGCACATACATATAAATCGGGATGTGTGTTTGCGAAGGATGAATGCACCTGCCTCACGCAAACCCTACTCATCTCATCATTGCCACTCGATGTTCTTTCATGTCCTTTTCTATTCGATTCTTTTTCGACCTACCTTCGCCAATATTCACCACAACAACAACAACAACACTTTCATACTGCGTTTTCCGTCACACATTCCACCCATGTATTATGTATATTTTATGGTTTCGGATGAACGCTACCACCTATTTGGAATGTATATATATATATAGAAATATAATTTTTTCATACAGATTGGTATGAATCCCAGGAGAAGTTTTGAATGGCACTCTGCTCATAAACAGAAATATGTATTAAGGCACTTTGCAGATTGCTCAAGAAACGAGGTTGTTGAGATTTTTCCTAAAATCAGCATGGTGCCATTAATTTTTACTTCTTCTTCTTCTTCTTGCAAGTAAATTCAATAATGCTGCATTTAAAAGGTTTCATGAAAAATGTATTACATTTTCAATTTAGTTTCGTTCCGGGCCCACTTGGAAGAAATATTATCCGGTTAATTAAACATATGTTGCTTTTTGCTGTATCGTGTTCTCTTTTTCGTCTTCTTCTTTCAATTTTTCCGGCACTCGTTTACTATTACTACTTTGGTATTTTATTGATTTTAGACACTTGATAGGTAAACTACAACAATTCAGCCAACAATTGAGTAAATCATTTCTCTAAAATGTTGAGTCTGAAACGCTTATCTTCTGCTTTCAGTAAACTTATCTTCAATAATATTTTAGAAATTTCAGAAAATATTGTTTCAGTTTTTTATGCCCCATTTTATCAGCATCTTATCGACAAACGAGTGACTGGTTCTCAGAAAGCAGCGGGAACAAAAAACTAAAGTGGCGCGGGGCGCAATTTAATCGTTTTTGTCGGTAGACATGAGTCGAATGCAAATTTCGAATTCCCTCCGGGAATTCCATTCCTTGTTCAGCTAGAAGCAACCAACTGCTTTTCGGAATGTCTTCGTGTTCTGACCTTGAACTTGATTACCGCCCCGCACCGGCGATTTGTTTATTCAAATTCTAACTGATCGACAGCTGTTACCATCCTTTACTCTTTACATTTTGCTTCTGATCACACCATGGCTTTATCTCAAATTATTAATTTATCCTTCTCAGTTTTCGCTTCTGCTATCCTTTTTCTCCCATTTTTCAAATTTATTCGACTCCCAATCGGTTTCCAAATATTGCCGATTAAACTAATGAAATGACTAGTAGTAGTTTTAGCGCAACCAATTTTTTCGCAGCGCAATTTGCATTATTACACTGGTTCCGTTGCCCTGTTGCATATTGTTGAGTGATTGGTTCTCGATCCCAATCCCCGGCCGGGATCCCTCTGCAAGTGAAATCGAAACAGGGATAGAAGCTTTAAACTCTCATTCTATCTCTCGAATTCGATTCTTCAACTTTTTGTTCGCTCTTGTTCGTTTCTGAACTGAACACCTTTATTCCATACTCTTAGTTTCTGTTGGGCGTCTCCCACCTACTTTATTTGTACAATGCAAACATCAATAATATAAATAAAAGAATAAAACGACAAGGAGTCTCCTTCCTCTTTGATTCTTGATTTAACCTTATTAATGCGCTGCTGCTCGAGCTCATCTTATTTGACTTTCATGGCGCGAACGTTTCCGTACACAGTTAAAATTTACACATATGTTACGTCGTATTTAAATTTCAAGAAACATTTTTTAAACATTCAAAAGTTATGTATTTCATTATTATCACATTTGCGCATGAGATCCTCTTTCTTTTCGCGAACCGGTTTGCAGTAAATTTTTGTTGAATAAATAAACAAACAAACAAACATTTGCCATCTTTATTAAACACAACTCCTTTACAAAATTGTTGTACTATCCGAATAAGAATAGAACCATGAATAATAATAGTTGGCAATTGTGTCGTACGTTTCGCAAATGCACCCCCAATTGCTTTTTTGTGTTTGGTTTATGTCAATATCACAAGAATATGAATTTTTGATAACGGTTTAAAGATAAAGAGCTTTCATTATTAAAAAAAACTTCACTGAGGTTTACCATGAACCTTTGACTGTTGTTGACAGCTACCGTAGGCTTACAGATCTATAGCGAAACCAGTTTGACCTTGAATTTTCCATAAATTGAGTATTGTTTGGCAATCACTCCGTCTCGCTCGCACATTTCAACTTTTTGAAGCTGCGCAGTTTTCCGGAAATTCCACCCTTCCATTCAACTTTCTCATTCCTCCTCCGGAAAGAGATTTTTGTTTCGTCAAGTTTTTCACCTGAATTATATTTGCATTGCGCGTGCGCGCGGCAACTCCTCGATTTCTGCAGCTTTTATCGAACAATGTTTGGCGCGAGAGCGCTTTACGAGAAATTGAGATTTATTATTGATTTCGTTGTTTCAGATGAATCTATTGAAGAAGTCAACAAATTGATATTGTTACTTCTTGGTTGCGCAATTCAAAGTGACAAGAAACGTGATTTTGTAGATCGAATCACTAAATTTGATCGGAATATTCAAATTGGTCTTGCTTCCTATATTCAACAGGTATCTTTTTTTCTGAAAAAATAAAGAATTTAATAGAAACCTCTCAATATTTACTTGAACTTATGTTTAAAAAAATATTTTTAGTCAGTGCTACTGTTTGTTTAAAATTAGTTCTAACTGAGTACGTTCTTAAAAAGCCAGATTTCTCTTTTGTTAATTTTATATTTATATTTTTTTATATTTAGTTTTTTTCGTCTTTTAGCATTATGGAGATTTCGCGAAAGAAAAGTACCATGTTCGGGGTTGTTTGATAACTTTTTATTCGAATAAAGTTAGAAACTTAGGGATATAAAAGCTTATCACGAAACAATTGAATAGTTCAAATCAAAATCCCAAACAAACATTTTTAGCTGACTGAAGGGGATTCCGTAGTCATCAGTTCAATTCGTAGTGAAATAGTATTCCGACACTTGGACCAAGTAATGAAGGATCGCGACATGCAAGTCGAAATTTCTTCAATTGATCATGTAAGTGCTTGAATGAATTTTGCTTCAACAAGAGATTGCAATTTTCAGGATAGTGACGAGGGAAGTAGTATCACAACGAGTTCTAGTTTGAATGGAGAAATTAAACATTATGGTATATATATATATATATATTCACATATATTATTGGCGTCAATCGACTATACAAATTAAAAAAAAAATATTTGTTACGCTGCGCAGCGAGAAATACGCAAGGCTGCGTACATTGCATTATAGCGTATTTCATTTAGTCAACGATACATTAAAAAAAAATTTAGCAGTGTGGCGAGACCATAGCGGAAAACAAAATCTACAGAGCATCAGTTTCCGTACTCTAACTATGTTGTTTTTAATGAAAATTTTAAGATCGATCGACGTCTCCAAACTCCTTTCAAAGACAGTCTGCCATTGAGCTTGCTCACGTTAAACAAGAGATGAGAAGATTAAGAAAAGCTGCTGAAGATAGGGATGAAGAAAATCAGAATTTGATGAAGGATCTTGAATCGAAAATGTCGAAGATCACACACCTTGAAAATGAACGCTTAGAACTGCTAAAGAAAGCGAGGCAAGTGCGAAACCTGCAGGATGACATTCAGGTGGCTCAGCATGAAATAGAAAGGCTCAAATCTCTAGAAGGGGTTGACAAACAGCTGAGAGAGACCAAAGATCAGAATGAGCTTCTACAAATGAAGTATGAGGTAAGTAATCAATGAAACCTTAAAAACCGCTTCCTCGTTTCCATAGTAAAAATTTTTGGCCCTTCCTTTATACATAGCTAACGCTGTTGAATGATGCGGCGGTTTTTAGAACAATGGTATCTCCATTTTTTATAATTTTTTTTTCATTAATTCATTACATATAGCAAGTCGAATCGAAGTGTAAAACTCTGGAAGATACCATTGAGGAGCTCGATCGCAAAATTGAAAATCTTCAAATAGAAAATATGCGATTAAACGATGTAGTCAAAGAATTCGAACGATCGAAAACTTGCTTCAGGGATTTGGAAAGTGAAATTGAGAAAGTACTTTTTCGTTGCACTATTGTCTGAATATCTTTTTATTTTTAGAAAAATTCTGAAATAAATGAGCTCAATGAAGAGAAATACCGAATGGAGAGAGAACTGAAGGAACGAGAGGAAAGAATATCGCAGCTAGAATCGAACTCGCCGTCATTTACCCCTCGGCATATTGGATCTTTAGCTGATCAGCTTGATGATGCTGAGAAAGAGGAGATGGATCGACTTCGAGCTGAGAACCGCAAGCTTCGTGCACAAACCGAAGGCGCAGTTCCAGAGAATTTTGAACTTGATAAGCTTAGATCTAAACTTGCCGCTCAAGAGGTTCTGCTGGCTGAGACTCGCCTAGAATCTCAGAAGATGAAGGTAGAACGAGAACAGATTGATGGAACATTAGATCGTGTCAGCATTGAGCTTGAACAGGCCACTATAAAAGTCGAAGATATGCGGGCCGAAAGAGATGAAGCTATTCGAGGTCTTCACGAAGCCCGCAGAAAGTTTGCTCAATTCCAAACGGAATTTGGCAAGAAGATTGAAGAAAAGACGGAGTTCAAGATTCGCGACCTTGAATTCGAACTTAAAGAATCTCGAAGGAAGTTAAATCAAGCTGAAGAGGATCGATTGGAGTCGGACCATCACTTGGAGCGTCTTAGAGATGAACAGAGGAAGCTAAGGTTCGAAGTCGATGAGATGAGTGAAGAGAAGTCGCAGATGGTGTCCGCTCTTGCACATGCGGAGCGAGCCAGGAAGAACGCTGAAACAGAGCGGAACGCCCTGCGAGAGAAAAACGAAAAGATTGAAGATGAGCTAGAGGAGCTGAGGCTCAGGCTTCTTAATGTCGATAATTCCGCCAAACGGCTTGAGGACCGTGAGAAGCTGATTGTCGAACAGCAGAATCGGCTAGGTGATTTGGAATCCGAAAACAAAACGGTTCAGCGGCAATTAGAATTTGAGTTGAAAAAAACGCAACGACTTCGTGAAGACCTTGTTATGGAGAAATCAAAGGGTGCCGAACTGATTGGAAGATTGAGATCACTGTGTGCAGCTGTGGCAATGAATGGCGGAAAAATGGATACTAGCGAAATGGGCGACACTGAACTCGTTAGCACCATTGATGATATTATTATGAATGCTTTGTCTAATGCAAAACGAGAATCGGATGCGTTGAGGCTTCAACAACACCAGCAGATTGCAGAATTAGCAGATTTGAAGACAGATATCGAGAAATTGAGGTAAAACATTTAATATATAAAATCTTTGTTATTTGAATTAGTATTATTAATCCCATTTCTCAAAATACTTATAAATTTTTCAAGCGCATTTTTCAAAAAGCAGCCTTGGGGAAAACGTTGTATAATAAAGAATTTCGATAATTGTAAAGAATTTTCAAATCGTCATTTTTACAAATTCAAATCGCTTTTACAACCTCATGAATAGACAACAAAAAAGCCTTACATATCAATATAAATCATGCTCGCCCGCGCGCCGGCTTAACTTGCCAGATGCCAAGAAACCGCAATATGTCTCCTCTACTGGCATGTGTCAAGTTTCCATCACACAGCACTTTTACAATAAATCATGAGTTCATGTAGCTGATTACTTGTTGATCCATCCATATTCATATTTTAAATTTCAGAAGAACCGAGAGAGTTTCACTATTGGAGAGTGACGATCGTGTCCGCGAGTTGAATCAGGAAAATGTGAACATGAAAGAGCAGGTGTTCATACTACAGGAGAAAATTCGTGAACTTAACGTCGAAATATCGGCGAAGCAAAATGAGATCCAGCTGGCGCGTTCCAATATTGAAGAGCTCAACCGGAATGCTGTGAGTTTTAATGAGCTTGTAATATTGGCTTCGAGCCTATGCTTATGCCTCGGTCGTGTTGAAATCTTGAATGTGTAATAATTTTGTGCTGTGCCGACTGGCCAGATTTTGCTCATTTTCTCGAGCGATTTTTCGACATTGCAGACAGCAACAAGCGTCAATAACACTGAGGTTGCACGCCTTCAAGTTTCTTTAAGGAACGCTCAGCTACAAGTATCCCATTTTTTTTTCAATTCCTAATTTTGAAATTTAGGAAGAACTCGTCAAACAAGAAAACACGGAACTTCGTAAACAACTTGACTTTGCGGAAAAAAACGCAGCAAAAACCAAGACGGACTTGGTAAATGTTCTTTTCCTCTTTTTCTTTTTCGAAACAAAAAAAATCATAGGAAATTCATACAAGTCAATGTTAAAATAGATTTTTCCTAGCAGTCATTTTGAACTGCTAAGTAACGCTGGCAATTGAAATTTTATAGCTCTATTTAATACTATTTAAAATATATCTTTCTAGAATGTGCTTGAATCGATGCACAAAGCACTTCTATCGGACCACAGCCGCCTACAGCAATTGCACAACCTTCTGAGTCGCGATTACGAAGATACAAAGAACGAGTCGAGCGAAATGCGTGCAAAATTGCGTGCTCATCAACATGTAAGTGATCGGTTTGTCATGCTCTCTTGAAATTCGACACTTTCGCTAGTGTGCTGAACATTTTTGATTATTGTTTCCTTACGCTCCTTCACCTAACAGAGATTGTATCACTTTTTTTAGAAACACTTCCTTATTGAGCATTAGCTATCACAACAATCCACTTACATTAGTTCTTTTCCCTCCCTATATACATACATTATGTCTAAAATAACGTTTATTTTTTTTAAATAACGTTTATTTACTGATTTCAATATTTATAGAAAAAAAACCATGTTTTTATTTTCTTCTGCTCATAAAAACTATTTTTTCAGTCTTCGCCGGTTACTTCTCATCATTCACGTGAACTCGAAGAGCTTCGCACTCAGTTAGCGCTGGAGAAATCTGCCAGGGACAAACAACTTCGCGCGTATGCAGATTTGCAGAATGAGCATGGTCTGGTACGACGACAAGTGGACCACTTACGAACTGAAAATGAGAATTTGGCAAGAAATCGCGATACTCTCAGCCAGGAATTAAGAAAAAATCGCAATAACGATATTACGAAAAGATATAACGGATTGTTAGAGGATTTGAATCGACAACTTCAATCGAAGGAATTAGAAATAGCTAAGATGAATCATAAAATTGATGTAATTCTTTAAAGATTTCATTTTTTTTACATATAAGTATATTTTAGGCACTCACTCAGTTAAATCAAACGTATAATGAAGAGAACAGGAACCTCTCTAGACAGTTGGAAATTCTTCTTGCTCAAAATAAAGAACTACTTAATAGAGCTTTGAATGATAAGGATCAATATCATTCGGAGATGAAAGACTTCCAGGAACAGCTCACAGCATTAAGAAGGCACAAAGAAAAACTCGAAGATAAGATAATGGATCAGTATCGCACTATGGAGAATAAAAAGACGCAAGAGAGAAAGCAACCTCTGGTCAAAAGAGCAGCAAAAGCTTTGATCAGTCGGGTGAGGAATAAAAATTACAGCAAAACATAACTATGAGGGATTTTTTTCAGCGGCGAGCATCGTCCCAAGGCGGCTCAACGACAGAAGATTCAAGTGCATACTCCGCCGATGAAGGAGCCTCACCACCCCTAGGTAATAATAAATTAAAACCCGAAATCTCCGCTCCAATTGCCTTGTTGTCGTCCATTCCGGAAAGTTGTCCGCTTCACGGCAAACTACGTGATATTACTCCACAGTTCGCTGAAGAAGCGCGCATGAAATCATTGTCGCTTCGTCTTCCTACGATGCGTCGTCGCGCGCCTCTATTTCGCGATGATACAAATCGCGGAGCGTACAATAATCCGAATGTTCGTAAGATGATTGATATGAATGGGAGCTACTGTGATCAATCTGATTAGTTTGAAAAGCTTCGTTGTCCTTGTCCCTGTGTCTTTTCAATTTCATACGCATGCTATGGGTAAATGTGTCAGTTATTATTATTGTTGTTTCTTTAATTGCTTGTTTATTTGTTTGCTATGTAGTTGCTTACCGGGTCTATGCTTTGTTATACATATATGGACCAAATCGGTGAATAAATGTGTTGTCCAATGTCCGTTGCGTTTTTTTGCTTCATCAGTATGCATATGTATGTATTGCCTAGACTGACAATATTATAAGAACGCAAATTATAGGAGAAGTTCATGATAATTTGCTGGCGACATGCTCGTCTTCGGAAGATCATGATTGCAACTCACTGAGATATGAGTCAATCAATGTTCCTAGAGAGATTTTACAAACATTTTCGTCGCCATTAAGACAGCGTGGAGATCCGATTGGTGGATCGGTTCGGTTACCCTCAACTCATATTCCACGGATTTTACATTCGCAAACTTATGATAATTTTAAAGGTATTCTTAACAGAAAGACAGTCTAACGTCTGTTCGAGACAATTCGCTGTTTAATAAAATAACAAAATTGGTTCAGATCTTCCGGAGAAGCAGCTAAAATCCCTACCTCCTCGAGCCCCAATTAGAAATTCCTCAGCGACGTCTTCACTCCGCCTCCGACCCCCTCCACCCCCGTATCCATCCAAAAATCATAATCAATCGTTGCCAGTATATTCAATCCATAATTGCGACACCTCAACATCACCGCCGCTGTTCCAGCCAAGATCCGCATCTACTCCTAAGCCTGATGATTCACTGACGTTAATGAATGATTCCATCCTGGATCGTTCAGTTGTTCCTGAAGGCGAAAAACGTAGTTTTGTTAGAGAAAAAGTAAAAATTTCCCATTTAGATGAGAAGCGGAGACTTACAATTTCATTTACAGGACGAACGAACGGACAAGGCGTTGAGCTACTATGAAAATGTGCAGGGGCCATCAACCTCGAACTCCGAAGGAAAAGTAAACGAATCAACAGTGTGGTACGAATATGGATGTGTGTAAAGTTTTTGACAGTTTTATAAACCCCGGTATTTGTTTCAATTTATTCAACAATTTATACGGTTTTTTATTTATATAAATTCTTCTACAGATATCATATGCAATTAAATTAAATTAATTTTACACGTGTTATTTTCTCATTGATCAGTGATGTTGCTAATCGTTCATAATACACACAATTTATGTAATATGTCATTTTCTCTTCTTTCGCGGCGGCTGTTCCTTATGTTCACTGCAAAATTTTCCAATTTTTTGTGGGAAACTTTATGAAAATTACGATTTTTTGGATAATTTCCGCAGATAGAAGAGAAGAGAAGCTGATGATGCTGCAGAAATTGGCACGATTTCCTTGAAATTCAGCATTTCCAGAAATTTGCAGATTTCGATTCGCGATGAGTGTTCAGAATATGGGATGTTCACTAACTGTTTGCTCATTTCATAGTCTCGCCTGAAAACGTTAAAAGATTTTTAAAAATTTCAAAAGATATTATCACTTATTAAAAAGAATTACGCGATCATCGCTAGAAGAATTTACACTGAAATTAAGAAAAAATACTTTTTTTTTTTTCTTAAAATTAAGCAAATACGACCTCATTTTCCAGTTTTTCATGCAAACTACTTTAATTTTCGGTTTCGACTGTAAATTTTGGGTAGTTTGAAGTACTCCGAGCTGATTTCCAAGAATTTTGGCGATCATGCGTCGAGCAATTGGCAGTTCGAATAATAACTGAAGTTATATTTTTTTTAATGAAACCCACATTTGTTTTTGCGGAACCCACATTTGATTTTGTAAAAACTTGTTCAAGAACATTTTCAAATCCCAAATCGAATAATGGAATTGTGACGGTTCCTTTACAGTTCTTAACGACGTCTAAAACATGTTCAACCACTTCAGATTGCTTTAGAATTTTCAATTTCTTCCCAAGGTAAGTATTGTCAAGATAAATTTTTGAAATTCGTGTCTAAAATTTTGTATTTTTTAACATTTTATCGTAGAAACTAACATTTTCGAGCGATTCCGGTAAATTATCAGAGCTAAATCTTTGTAGAAACATTGAGTCCGCACGGAAATCGCCTGTATACAATACAGCGCCGTCCGGAAACAAATCCCCTTCAAAAAGGAACATAACAGCTCCTGGGCAATTATTTGCATCGTATAAGGTGACGGAAAACTCTGGGAAATCGTATTTCTTACTAATATCCAGAGGTTGAAAAAATTCCTCAAGCGATGTCGGCAGATTTTCAATATATTCTTCCCTGAAAAAATAAAACAATAGTTTTAGATAGAACATTAAATTCCTACGAGAGAACATATGGAAGAATTTGAGCAGTAAGGCGACTGCAGAAAATTTTTCCAACGGCTGAATTCTCCATATTTAATCGATGATTTTCTTTAGCATCAGTTAGGAAATAATACTTATGCCGTATATCGGACCTAAAATTTTTATCAAAATGAATTTTTGAACACAATTAAACTTGAAATGATTAATGGCGATCGTGTTGGCTCCAAGAGACACGCTTTTTGCGGGTTTAATGGTCTACAATTTAAAAATTTATTTTTTTCTGATTCTGATAGAATATCTAACTTTCACATAACTTTAATCTCATATATTGCTTAGTAAATCACGATTATTCTGCAAATAATAAAAAATCTTTACCTCGAAAAACATATCGTAATCATCTACGACATTTATTTGTTCGTCAATATTCCTGAAATTCACGATCTCTACTCTTTTCAGAAAATTTATAAGACCTTTTGAAGTTTTCAAAATAATCTGTTGAAAATTGCAATGGGATTTTAAAAATCCCTCGTTCAAACGTTTGTTTTTCGTGTATCACCAATATTTGAACACCCGAGTTTAGTTGCGAATAGTGTAGATTAGTAATGACGACATAGTCACCAGACTGTAAAAACCGAATATTTATATCCCAAAAAAAAACAAGCACCCTGCACAGATTTACGATTAGTTGGATTTGCAGGTTATGGCACGTTACTCGCTTTCCCAATATTTAAATCAAAATTTGAATTATTTCTATGGAAAAAATGATCGTAACAATTTGTCAAGGTGCTCGTTTTACGGTAATACATAGATTTTATATAAAATAATTATTTTCTACCGATAATGATTTGACGGTTTCAACATGTTCTCCGTAAACATCGATGTCAAGAAGATGTTCGTATCCCAATTCAGAAACTGCTTGGTCGATTTTTGAATCTGGAGCTATTATTTCCTATAATTTATTGGATTCAGTGTTAACTAATGATTGTTGTAGTTTTTGATTTAAAAAAAAAAACCTCTCCAATTCCATTTTCCGGAAGTCGAAATAATTTTCGGCTCAGTGGGCTAAAATGTTTATATGTGTATATTGAATTCTAAATCGTATTACTGATTCTTAGGTCCAAGTGTCTTTCCTGTCCAAACTCGAAGGAAAACATTCCCTTTTTCGCTCATAATTACTGAATGGACCTGAAATAATTATGGGAACAATTAATTTCTTTAAGTGTCGTACCTGAGCTAATAAATCAAAATAGGTAAGTACTTGATGATAAAATTTTGTTGAATCAAACCTCGAAGCATTTTCTACTCGATTTATTAGGTCTAACTGCTGCATTATTCTCACAGGTATAGTTCTAAAAAACAAATAATTGTTATAAAAAAAGTATATATACATATAACATTCGAAAAAATGGGCACCTTGCGCCGATTTATGGTGAGTTAGCTCCGCAGGTTATCCAGAGTACGGTACCCCAATTCCCACTGTTTACATTCGAAAAAAGTGCGATGGTCCACAATTTGTCAAAGTGCTCATTTTTTCCGATTTTATTATTTGCACCGCAAAAATTGACACCAACGTTGAGCAAAATCATGATTATTCTGTTCAATGTGGCTCAGCTCTGACGTAACACGGCTGGACTTCACAACAAATGCCTTTTTTCAAAATCGATTTACAAAAATATTGAAATAATGTAAATTTATTTCTTTACAAAGAAAGGTAAAAATTACATAAAATTGCATTTCTTACAACATTGAATTGCAAAAATGTGTAATTTTTTACATGTTTTATTGCATGAATAGGGATATAATTGAATGGTTTCCGAAACGTTTCAAAATTATATTTTTTGCCCCTTTTCCAATCACATTAGTTTTGAATTTCGCTCGTGTTACGATAAGTGGTCGGTGTTTGCACATAATACAACACAGATGGTGAGCAAATTGCGGAGTTGGGCGGGTTACCAGTGGGTTCAATTTTCTTTTTCAATTTCTCAGTTTTTAAGAGCTTTGTTCTATGGATTTATTCTGCGAATTGAAAAATATATGTTTTCCTTATTCAGCGACGTGGAATCATGTTTTTTTTCAATTTGCAGAACAGAAAATACTTAGATTTTCACACTAATAGCATTTTTAGAAATTTTTCTAGGTATAAATTCCTGAATTTTGCATTCGAAGAATCTCTGAAAAATGCCATGTGGAGGTTTTCAGTAGTTTCTAAATATCCTTCTCAGTAAGTCGACCGGTTTTAAAAAGTTAATTAAGTTTTATTTTCAGATATGTGACAGCTATAAAACTGAAACAATCATTAGAGCAGAAGCTGACTAGATGGTGAGGTGATACATATTGTCGAAGGCACCAATACATATTGCCGATTGGTGCCATGGTTTTATAATCATTTTCGATTTGGTCTAATATGAAATGCATTGAAAATTTCAGTAGAAATGTAAGGCGCATGCGAAATTTTGTTGATTTCGCGCTAAGATAAAAAATGGTTAACGCGTTTGATCATTCAAATTTGTTCTATTCGTCCGCCTTCGACAATATATGTATATGTATATATATATAAAGTAAAAATTATGTGTTTTTTTTAGTATTAACAATCAAGCAACTTTAAATAATTCTACGGTTGCATCTAATACAGGTAATGATCAAAGGATTCAAGAACTGTGGGTTTACAAAAATTTATTTAAAAAAAAACACCTTTACTAGGTTTTCCATGGACGACTTTGGGCTACTATCAACTCCACGCTTATTTTCCGTCGAAACTATTAAGACATGTGAAAAAGAGTCTTCTTTTTTAGAGGAAATACTGAGAAATGAAGCATTTCCGTCGGTACAAATCCCAACGACAGTGAATACTGACAAACTTGGAGGCGTAAATGAGCTGTTGGATTATGATCATTCTATTGAGATTCTTTCGGAGATTTTGGAAGAAGCTGAATACTCGTATCATAACGATCAACAGCCAAGCACGTCGAATGTTAATATGGGATTTGTTAAAATTCCAGAGAACTTTGCAAGTAATGGAAAAAGGCCCTTAGTTCCTGAAGAAATACCAAGAGAACTCCAATTGAACCTGTCCACCATGCCTCGAGGTATTTGATAGACATTTTCAAAAGTAAGCAATGCTATTTTAGAATCTAGCAAATCAAATTGCGAAAATATTGGAGAAATTATGTTCCCTGAGAGTATACCACAAGAAGCCTATACCAGTGTTTGGAATGCATGCGAAATACCAATATTTAATGCTCTGCCCGAAGATATTGGATCTGAAGAAGAGATTTTGTTTGATGTACTTAATGATATGTTAGAAAATGGGGTACTATATATATATATATATATATATATTGTAATTTGTAAATTACATATTTTTTAAAGAATGTCGACGAGGTTTTTGCGGAATTGAAGACGAAAAAATGGCCTGATGAGGTGTTCCACTCGGAAAACAGTGAAATGCTATTTCAAGTTCACAGAATTTTGAGATTTGCTGTCAAAAACGCGAGACATTTTCAAGAAACTGAATTCGTTCTCCGGAAATTGTAAGACCAAATTTAGAATTCCTCTCTCAATAGAAAATTTTAGCGCTTCTCAGAACTTGATGGGAGTTGTTCCTGATGATATTCTTTTGAGTTTTGCATACCATTTTCCGGACGAAATTGCTTCATGGAATTTCAAAAATATCTCAAATATTTGTCTGTCTAGAGAATGTAAATTAATGTGTACCGCTTTTTTTATATATGAATTTACAGTGCGACCTCGACGAAGTCTTGTGAAGTATGCCCTCATATCTCTTTATTCGTCAGTTTTAGAAAGAAACGATCTAAAAATCGCGATAAAATTGTTCAAAGACTGTAAGAAATTCGGTTTCGACAAGTCACCTGAGATATTCATGCGATGCCTTACAAGCCATTTTGCCCACAATGAAGAAAATTTCGAAGATAGCTTCAGATTTTGGGCAAAATTATCGATTAGCTATGGAACAACGGCCGGAATTGAACATTTATGGGCAATGGCCATTTCTGGAGAATCTGGGAAAGATATAGCAAATAGAGTTCGTAAGTTTTTGAAAGTTTAAAATAAGTTTCGCTAAAATCGAAATGTTAGCATGAAAGTTATTTTATGATATTAAAAAGGGGAAATAAGAAATCAAAGGAACGAATATTCAACGTTAATTCGTCGAAGAGAAAATAGACATTTTGGCAAATCTAATGCACAAACCAGCAATGTTGTTTTCCGCTCCAATTCGAAATTCAACTTCTTTATTTGTCATTCAATACCTAACAGACTACATGTTCTTAAACGTGTAATTTTCACGTGATTGAATATATTGAATGCCGCATTTTTTGTGTTTCACTGTCTCAAAGATGATTATGAATAAAAAATTGACCAAGAACCCTATATGCGGAATTTAAATTATTGCGGATTATGATTGGCGATAATTTTTCTTCTTTTAAAGGTTATCCCCCCGAGTTTTTTTTCTGAAATCTTTTAAGCGATTTTTGGTGTTTTTACCGAGTTTTTGAGTTGGCTGTGAAATCTGCCTGTTACTATTTTTTCCCCGTCGCGCGACCTTGGTGCAAAACTAGAAGTTTATATTTACGACCTAAGCATAAGGATAAGTTAAAGGCGCGCACACACAAAGATATTTTCTTTTTTTTTAATCATTTAGCCATGTTCCCGCTGTTGCACGACTTCGATAATAATAAATTTAGAATTCCTAATAAGTTATTGGAAATTTAAAAATATTTCATACCATTTTCTTGAGTGAGCAATATTCATCAAATGTTAAAATTAGCTACTTTCGCGGCAAGAAATCTAACTGAATTAGATCAAAATTCGCAAGAATTGTATCTCATCGACAATAATTGTTTATTGTATGGATTGGTTTATCTATGCTAGAAATTTTTATTTTCAGAAGTTCTTTTCACGCACAGTAATAAAATCGATCATCCATTCACGACAATTGCGCATCTTATATGTGCATTTTTGAGGAAAAACCGCCTTTCAGAAGCCGTTAGGATATTCAATACAGTCTCTGTTTCTGGAAAACACTTCAAAATTCCCCTAAGATGTCTGGAGGTTGGTAAAATGTTCCAAAGTTTGTTAAAGATTTAAAATTTGAAGAATGATTTGGAGAGTATCGAACGATTGGCGTCGCTTATTGAATTGGGAATGATCGCGGAAAAACGCAAAAGAGGCGCAGGCATAAAAACACCATCTATACCGGAGGTCAGACACTGTGCTAAGGCCTAGTGGAGTAGTAGCGCAGCCATGGGCTGGCGGGCATAGACTCTGTCCCTGCAGTGATTCAGTAGTGCGAATGGGCTTTTCAATACATTTGTGCTTAATCAGTACTGCGATATTGATGGATATTGTTGGAGTCAAGCAGTTTGCCTGTTTCAGTATAGCAAGTTGTTCAAGATCTAACCGACATTTTTTCAGAATTCTTTGGACGACAGATTTTTCGCCACGGTTTCAAAATATTGCGGAATTGAAGAAAACAAAGGAAATTCAGGAGCCGATAAGAAAATAAAGAGAAAAATTTATCGAGTTGACTCTCAGCAGCTTCGGGAATTAAGTTTCTCATTGCAAGACGCTTGGCTTTCTTGTGAGAATGTTCACGAAGAATCAATTAAGCGACTTGTCGATTGGTGCATGCGGAATGATTTGGAAATGACTAAGAATTTGAAAAGACAGGCTAGAAGCTTAATTAAGGAATAGGTGCAACTATTTATAAATATATTAGGTTAGAAAGTTATGACTGTTTTCTTTTTTTGTTATTTCACGTTTTGTAAATATTATCTTCTCTTGTTCTGTTACGCCTCATTTTTGTCCATTATTTCTTCGTTCTCATAAAGGTAATGATAATGTTTCTAGTAGTTTTAAATTTTAGCGTTGCAAGTATCGCGCATTTCTATTTAATCTTGTGTTAACAGCAGTATCATTCAAAGTTTAGATGTTGGGAATCGGAAGAAATGGATTGAAAAAGATTGGAAGCAGGCGAATGTTTTCAACTGTTGTTGTCAAGGTAATTTTCATCGCTTAACTTGCCTCATTAGAACTTGCCAGTTAGCTTTTGTGCTAGAGGAATTGCGAAATTAGTGTAAATTTCGAGAAAAAAAAAGACGCATGACCTTTAATTTTCTCGTGGATCTCGCCTACTTCATAATTTAATTACAGTATATGTTGCATTTTTTTACATTGCTGCATTGGAAAAATGTGTAATTTTTAACAATTTTTTGCGTGAAGGGGTCTATAACTTGCACGACTTTTACAATATAAAATAAAAATAGTCCAGACTGTGCCACATTTGTTTTATTTCGAGGCTTCTTCTCCGACAGCTCCAGTTAGCGCACCGCCTGCAAATGAATCCAAGAAAGGGATTAGTAAAAATAAGAGCGTTCAGTCGACGTCTATCGAACAGATTCGATTACAGAAGAAATATGAAGAGGATTTGCAAAATAATAAAACTAATACTCTCCACGAAGTGATTGAAACGTAAGTAATTGTCTTTATTCGGATGAAGAAAAATGGAGTGTTCTAGAATTGAATGGAGAGGTGCCGTTTATTCTCAGACTTTGGAAAAAATTGTTGGTTTACTAGAAAATTCAAATGATTTATCGGATTTTTCTGATCGGTATTTAAAAAGACCTGCAATTATTATGTTCTTATGTTTTCATTTTAGTCAATTATCTGTTATCCTTTCCGCGTTTGGTTCTAAGTGTGAAACGGTGTCGAAACAAATAAAATTGAGATATTTCGAGAAAGCATTTGAGTCTCTTCAAGCAAAATCGCCCAATATGGGATTGCTTTCACACAATGCAATTCTCGAAGTAATGTTGGCAAACAATTCGCAAACTAACGCTATAGAAGAACTAAACAAGTTCGAAGAAATTGGATTAGAACCGGACTCAACGAGTTTTGCATTGATTTGTGAAATTTATGCGAAACAAGGGAATTCTAAAGCGATTACTGATATTATTCAACATATGAAAGAAAATGGAGTCGCGGTTGAAGAGGATCATATTGTTCAATTGGTATACTCTTTGGCGAAGGGTGGAAATGATGGTCAAGCTGAAAGAGTCGCTGATGTAAAAAATTTTGGGTGAATAAGTAATGTAATTAAATTTTTAGTCATTCGCTTCCAAAATGAATATAGTCCGCCTGCGATGTGCTGCAGCTCAAGCTATAATTCAAAGGGAAAAATATAAACCCGGACATGGTGGATTCGAAGTCTCAGAAATTCTTCGAGGAATCCCAGCTACTGCAAAACTTTTGAAAAATGAGAATAATGTGTTTGTGATCGATTTGCTGATTGAGTTAATTGAAGCGGGACAATTAGAAGCATTCAAATTGGTGACTTTCCAAAATATCTTTCATTTTTCAATTTTATGAATTCAGTTATCGCCATATTTATCGCTTTCCGAGGATGGCCAGCATCTTGGAGAGCATCACAAGAATTCGAGCGTTGTAGCACGAGCTAGGTGTATTATGAGCGAAGGCAAGCTTAATGAAGCAATTGCATTGTATTCTGTGGCCAATAAAGCATTTGCTAATGAGTAAATAATTTATCTTAATTATATCTTCTTTAAAGTTTTTTTTTCAGATATTTTTGCCGAGAATTGCGTCAAAAAATGGAGGAAAATCTAAAAAATGTAAACAATGATAATTTTGATCCGTATCTGAAGACATTAGTCCTTGCCGAGAATCGCGGAATTATTAAGTATTTTTTATTTCGAGTTCTCTAAAATTGTTTTGATTTAAGATGTGCCAATCAATTTTTGCTAACCACGATTTCCAATATTGAAACGCCTGCATTTTTGAAGATTTTCAGTTATATTAAAAATTCTGGACAACTTCGCGAAATTTTAACACATAATGGTCATGTTAAGCGGCCATTGGCTAGGAAATTAAGCCATAAAGTTGAATTACCAAATAATGTTGAACAAATTGAAAACTTCAGATGATTTCTTCGTATTCGTCGCTGGAGCAAGCGGAGATTCTAGGAGATATTGCGTCCGTTTGCTTTACATCATCGAATGAAGAAACGGTTCAGGATATTATCTCCTATTATCCAATTATATTTAAACTTTGCGGAAAAGGTACGTTGTTGTTTATGTTATAATGGACCAATTCATGCGATGGAAAAAAATTATAGCCTCTGGTTTCGAGGTTCCGACGGATAGATCATCCTGGTTAGTATGCCTTATCATCCCCCTGCTTCTGCCGTTTGTAGGTCCCTGCGCAAACTTCTAAATAGTTATCGATATATGGACCTTCGAAGTTTTAGCCCATCTCCACGTGATTTTTGCATACAAATGTTCGGAAACTCGAAATGAAATAATGTGATGGGTTATATCGCGCTTATATCCTAATTTGGCAAGCAGTTGTGGTTCAGTGGTGTGTCGGTTATACTAGTATATCTTCAGTGGTGTGTAGGTTATACTAGTATATGGATAATAGGAGATAATATCCTGAACCGTTATACTAGTATAACCGACAGCTGTCATAAATAGAGTTGATTCGGTCCCGCTATTTGCAAACTTTTTTTGCGTATTATTTTACTAGGTGATACAGTAATTATGAAACTGCCATTTTGCGTTTTTCTCTTCGAAATTGTTCGCGTCGCCCATAAAACGTGGCTCCGCTCCGGAATAGCCTGGGAAAAACTTCGTCCATCTCGGCCACGGCCATCTTTATTCCTCGTCCATTTTGCATTCCGCGACAGGAGCCATCCTTGAATCTTCTCTCATAAAAATTTTTTAAATTTTTTAAAATTATTTTTTTCCTATACATGATCTTTCAATACGATTAAAGTGACCATTTTGAAGAGAAAATAATTTTAAGACGGACAGCAAAAAGACCTCTCTTGTAAGTAAGTTATTTCTATCCAATTTTTATGAGATTTTAACTGTAGTCTCTTTAGACTTTCTCTTAAGTGGAACATTTTTTTCAAGGATAACATGCTGAAACTTTATTCGGCAAAAATCCTGCCAGAATTGAATGTCGAGAATTAATCACACTCGAAAAAACTAGAATAGGTTTAGAAAGTTAGCGTTAACGTTCTGAAAATAGACGAAAGAGCGGAAAATGTAAGTTCAATTTCATTTTTTTTAAATTATGTGACTATTTGCGAAAAAAATGATATTCTGAGAAGATTCCTTGGATCCGATTACATATAGAGGCATATAATATATATATATTTTTTTCAAACTTAACCATTGCATGATAAACGCCTGAGCTGCAAGCTCCGGTTTCGTCACTTGTCACACGTTTTCTCCGGAGTGCCCCCTCATTGTGGTCCCTATATATTTTTTTCCGCAATAGTCTGTTTCAGACGTGAAACTTGCCATAAATGCTCTGAAAAGCATTTCCGATTATTATGTGAAACGAGAATTTGCGACTGCAATTGTTCATCAGATTCTCAAAACATTTAACGAGGATCACGTTGCTTTGGACAAGATTTCATCGTTTTTAGAATCGTATTTTCTCACGTTCTGGTAAATAAAAAAAAATGAACATATTATAGAGATAATGTTGAAAACCTCAACGCTATTCGTCTTCAACCGTTGCTCACGAAGTTTCTACTGAAAAATGAAAATGTTGATGAGAAATTGAGAATACAGATTGTCGCAAGGATTCTAGCCTACGATTTTCCTAGTTTTTTTTCTAAAGGTTTCTAAAAATTATTTTTTTCATTTTTAGAGGAGAATATTCGCGTCTCGAAGCGATTTTGTGGACGGAACGTTGCTCGATTCTTGGCGAATGAGATGATTTCAGAAGAACGAGCGTACAGAATTGTCGCAATATTGGAAAATGAGAGTCGAGTTTCCCTTACTTCTGAAGAAATCAAGGAAGCTAAAGAAATTCTCAATGCGAATCCGAAAAAGGCCGAATTAATTGAAAAATTGAAAAAGAGCCAGACGATGACAAGGTGGAGAGCAAGCTCAGTTGAAGAGCTGCTGAAAGAAATCGAGAATTTTAAGCAGGATACGAAATTAGAGGTTCTGAACGCCTTGAGGAATGTGATTGTCGAAAAAGCAATGGCTGAAAGGGTATGTAAACTTTCTCCTTTTTGTGACTATTTCTGAATTTTTTTATATGGCGAACTCTCAACGTCCTTAGCCATCAACCCCAACCCAATTTTTCACTCCACATTTTTTATAATCAAATTTTGTTCCCTTCAATTTTCAATCCATTTTTTTGGGCAGTACACTAGTAAATCACTAGGGTTAACTTATAGATCATCTTATTGTAATTTACTCGTAGATTATTCAAATGGTAAAACCAATAGTTTGAAACTTACAGATTGATGACTGTAATTTCCTTGTGGAAATTCTGGAAAAAAGCAAAGAATGGAAAGAGCATGGGAAAATGAGCTCACAGCTAGCATTTTCTCTACGAAAATTAGAGAATTTGACTCTTTTGAGAGCTTTATCCTCTAATAATGATGTACTCGCTGACCGTATTTGGGTCATGAGGTGAATATTTACCATGAAGTGTGGATTTCCAATTGTATGTTTTGAAGAAGTGGTCATTTGCTAGCTGATGTCACCTTGGCCTACGCATCTCGATTGTTTTTGAATGGTCAGATTGAAAGAGCTGACGAGGTTTGTGAGGATTTGCGATTGTCATCACAGCCAATTCGACCGAACACACTGGAGAAAATGGGAAGAAGATTGAAGGATGTCGACAGCTCGAAAATGGGAAATTTAGCTGATTATTTGAAGAAACAATTCAATTTAAGTGCAAAGAATTCTAGAAGAATTGTTGCACAAGTGAAATTAGAGATATTAAACAAAATGATTCAGAGGTTTTTAAAGATATAAATTATATTAATTTATGAAATTAATGTTATTTCTAGTGGAGATCTCGCCTCTGCTTTGAAAATGGCAGTGGGAGAAACTAAGGAAAGTGGAAGAGCTTTTGGGCAAGTGCCACTGATGATCGCTGCCATTCAACAGTATAACCTTAATCCATTCTTTACTGATGTTTTAATCTAATTTAATAGGAACGATCGTAAACTGTTGGAGGACGTGCATGTTATGGTCCGAACTGCGCACAATCAAGAAATGGCGAACATCAACTTGGCATATTCACTCCTTGTGGCTGATCATGTCGAACAAGCGAAACAGCTCGTCGAACGGCAAAATCTTGCAGCCGAGGATAATGTCTTACAATATTTTGTGACGTTGTCATCGGCTCATCATAATGCAAACGTGCTCAAAAACTTGTTTCTAGTGTTTAATGGACGGGCGTCGACATTGCAGCTCAATAACTTGTTGGAGATTTTAACGAGAATGATGTGTTAGTTTTCATGCTTAACTTTTAAGTATAAAAAAATATTCTTTAGGGAAAAATGGAGATTTGGACGGACTGCGAGAAATTGAAGCAGAAATTGAACAAAGTTCATTCCCATTGCAGCATAAACTTCGGAAATTCTTCGAAGATTTAACCACGGTATATAAAAAATGATCTGTAAATATAAACGTGGCTTTAAGAAATTCACTGTTGGAACTGCAACGTTTTAAAATTTGTGTCAACAAACGGGATTAATCATTTGTGTATTGTTGAAAGTCGCGCGGCTGTGGATGGCGTGGTCAATTCTAGAGGAACTCGGGATGTGAATGTCGATTTACACTCGGGGTTATTTATGTCAAATTGTTAAATGAAGTGTTATCCGTAATGAGTATTGCCGCCTCATTGAAGTCGAAGTCAGCGCGCGTTTCGTATTCCCGAGAACATTTCTGACATTCAGCCAATCTGTCGCAGTTGCACGATTTCGGCAATACTGAAAAATTTATTATTATTTTTTTCTTACTTTTTTCTTTAATAAATGTATTGTTCCCAATGATCAGCGTTCTTGCTTTTTTTTCACTCGGAACATCCGTTTTCTACATATTTTTACATATCGTCAATGCCTAATGCTTGTATTTTCAGATAATTTGATGAGTGCTTTGAAGTTTTCCACACTAGCCAAGGATGAAATTCGTGAAATTTTACGAATTTCAAATACTGATTTTATGCACGGATTTACCAGATATAAGCAGTTAAGGTTGGTTGATTTATATAGGGATCGTGATGTCATTTTTCAGACGCGCAAAAATTTTTGTATTTAATTTAATTTAGGAATTTTATGTAAATCACCACAACATCTGAACAAAAAATATCGCTACTCCTTATAGACGACCTGAAATTCCAAATTTTGACTTCAAGAAAATCTTTATGTTGCTCAATTTTGTGGGCAGACGAAGCAGCTGCTAGGATTGAAATGCAAAATTGACCCCCCCCCCCTCCATCTACCTTGTCGATTCGACTATTTTTCTTTTATGGACCTATTCATGCAATGAGAAAAATTTTTTAAAAATCAATTTTTTCATTTGAATTCCCTATGCACGCACGTCAAAAATTACAAAAAATTGATGCGATATATCGTAATTCTCCGCTTTCTTTATTTTCAAAGGCGCAAGCGTAAAGTTGCGCGGGTCACGTCGCGAAATCGGTACTGCAATTTTTTATTTTTCATTCTGTGTGCTATTTTTTAGTATTTTTCGAAAACTTTGAAGAGGAAATGTGTAACGGATGGAAGAACGAGGTAAAAACTAATTATTGGTATAATTACACCTAATTCCACATAATAAGTCTTTTCGTCATTTAGATACCAATTATTATGTGAAAAAAGATTTTTGTGCTGATTTGATGCAGACTTCGCTCGATGACGCTTCTGTTGAATTTTTAATGTTGATTAAGCAAAATACTTTTACAGATTTCCAAAAAAAAACGTTTAGAATAAAAAAATCGAAAGAATAAAAAAATCGAAAAAAAAAAAACAGCAATAAAAAATACAGTACCGACTTCGCGACGTGACCCACGCAGCTTTTCGCGTGCGCCTTTGAAAATAAATAGCGGAGAATTACGATATATCGCGTCAATTTTTTGTAATTTTCGACGTGCGCGCCAGGGCTGTGCGGCAATGGAATTGCCGATTGCCGAAATTGCCGAAATTGCCGATTTTTCAAATTGCCGAATTGCCGAATTGCCGAAGAGAACGTTCGATCGGCAAATTGCCGAATTGCCGGATTGCCGAAATTTTGATTTTCGGCAATTTGCCGAATTGCCGATTTGCCGAAATTTTGATTTTCGGCAATTTGCCGAATTGCCGATTTGCCGAAATTTTGATTTTCGGCAATTTGATATCAAAAAAAAATCGGCGAAACAAAAATCAATGTCCATTGAATAATTTGGGATACCGTGAAAATTCGGTATTTATATTTCGAATTATCGTTGAAAACATTTAATAGCCGAAATTTTTATTTTCGGCATTTTGCCGAATTGCCGAATTGCCGAAATTTTGATTTTCGGCAAATTGCCGAATTCCCGGATTGCCGAAATTTTGATTTTCGGCAATTTGCCGAATTGCCGGATTGCCGAAATTTTGAATTTCGGCAATTTGCCGAATTGCCGAATTGCCGAAATTTCCGATTGCCGCCCCTGGTGCGCGCATAGGGAATTCAAATGAAAAAATTGATTTTTTTTTATTATTTTTTTCATTGCATGAATAGGTCCATTTCGTCGCATTTTTTACAACACTGCAGTGGAAGAATGTGTAAGGGGCAAATTAATTCAGTATATTAGCATTAATTTTTATTCAAAAGAAAACCTAATTTCGAAAATAGACAGAAAAGTCCGCAGATTGTTAGTTGTCACCTATTCAAAGGGGAAATAAGAAATCAAAGGAACGAATATTCAACGTTAATTCGTCGAAGAGAAAATCGACATTTTTGGCAAATCTAATGCACAAACCAGCAATGTTGTTTTCAGCTCCAATTCGAAATTCAACTTCTTTGTTTGTCATTCGATACCTAATAGACCTGAACTACTATTTGAGACAAAATGTTAGTAAATTGAACCTCATGCATTCACTAGACGACTTTCTTAAAACTTTCTTAAAACACGTAATTTTCACGTGATTGAATTTTTTGAATTCCCAATTTTTGGTGATTTAATTTATCAAGACGAGTATAAATGAAAAAATGTCCAGGAATATATGCGAAATTTAAATTATTGTGGACAATGCATTTTTTCGAGAATACACATGTTATCTACTTCGTGATCGGTTTTCTACGCGACGAATTAACGTTGAATGTTCGTTCTTTTTGATTTTTTTTTCGATTTCTTATTTAGTTACAGTGATTTTTTATTTTTTTTTTATGATTCTCTTTCCTTTTAATTAATAGATTCTTGGACGCAACAATAAATTTTTTTTCAGTTTTATATCCTAAATATTCTAAAGCAACGAATTTTAAGGGAATTTAATGATACTCCGGATTGGGGTGTTGTGCGAATGAGCAGTATTGCATATTCAAATGGGTATCGAAAGACAGCTGAAGAAATATTGAAGCAACAGTTTGAAGAAGTTGGAGGAGCTCAGATACAAGGTTGGCATTATGTTTGACACGAATAAAAAATAGACATTCAACCAAAGATATTCAAAGGTTTTTCAGTTCGTCACAAAAATATTACTGAAGAACAAATCTCTTCGGCCATTGAACGAGTTTGTCGAAATTCTACAATCTCCGAAGCTTTCAATTTCTTTGAAACGCTGAAGAAATACAAATATTGTACAAATCGCGATGTTTATCTCAACCTTCTTGTCAAAAAGTCTCTGGAATCGGCAAATTCGTGGAACGACACCGTGAAGTTGCTGCAATCAACGATTCGTGATGACAAACGAGGCAAAAACATGAAAATGTGTGTTCTTCAGTTGCTAAAAGCTGCGCGGGAACGTGAAGAAACTGTAGAAGGTATGTATTCATCGTAATCGAACAGTAGTTCGCAAAAAAAACTAGTTTTATAACACTCAGTTAAATCAAACAAAATATTCCCCCGGCGAACAGCGAACATCCCGCATCTTACTTCAACTGCTCTAAAATTTGCTGACGAGTTGCAATAAATTTTATTAAATATCAAGAAAAAACTGTACTCTTGCCAAAAAGATATTATACAATTCAAGCTGTGTGTTGGAAAATGGATGAAAAATGAATATAAATCGGATCTGTGGCAGATTACTTTTTATACACTTTAATCTATGTTTTATCAATTTTCATCGTTTTTTTTGCTGGTTTCAAAATAGGACCATACATTGTATTTAAAACACATATCAAAAATTATGAACATGGATAAAAAGTGAATAAAATAATCTTCCACAGATCTCCTTCTTATCCATTTTCCAACGATCGGTGTATAAGAAAAAAGTTGAAAAAAAAATGCATGAGGAACCATAGCGAAAGACGATCTCGTAAATCTATCCACGCGTATCAGTCGCCGAATGCCGATTATATTTACATCTCAAAATATTTTATTTGATTTTCCTGAGTTGTTTTATTGATTTTTCTCCGAAACCTACATAGTATCTAACATATACACAGACAAGTGATTTTCAGCAGAAGCAGAAAAAATCGTCAGAAATCTTGTTAAACCATCGACTTTGAATAATATTCAGAATTTCATTGTTCTCGAAACAAAATCGGCCAACGAAGCTGCGAGTGTCTTCAAGGTTCGAAGAAATTATTTTTAGACCAAGTCATGAAATGTATTTTTTACAAAAAATTACATTTGTTAGAGTATTCCAACGGAATTCAAATTTTAATTCAATTTTATGCGTATTGCCGAAGTCGCACCACTGCGGATGGCGCGGTCCACTGTAGAGTTGGGTCTCAATACATGAGTGTACATTTACGTGCGGTTATACATAATGCTATTTAATGCTATATTAATTGGCATATTTTCCGTGTGGTGTAACCAACGCTTGTCACGTCTTCTCGAAAACAGTTCTAACCTTTAGCCTATCTGTCGCAGTACCGTGATTTCGACAATACAATCGCTTAGGATTTTTTTCAATCATATATATTGTTTCCAGAGCAATAAGGTGAATTCAAACTTTGAAAGCATCAAATTTTTAATTGAAATGTCAGCAACTGTAAAAAATTCGCACGTATTGCTCAAACTTTTGAAGGTTGATGAAATTATCGGTTTTCCCAACAAAGCCACATTTTTGATATACGAAGAAATCATTAAAATTCAAGGTTGATTTTAAATTTCGCGTGCGTCGTTAAAATATGCTTTGCAGGAAAACTAAAATTGATCAGAACGACCGATACGCTTGCGAAACAAATTCAGGATTCCGAAAAACTAAACATACAAGAAAAGCTGCGACTTTTTCAGAAGATTCAGCATTTCTTCAAATGCGTTAATATCCAAACACCCGAATATCTGGAAAAACTAATTGCGAAGTTCAAAAAAGAAAATAATAAATAAATTGATTTAACACGATTATCCTCAAAATTAATCGAAAATAAAGGAACTTTGCTAGAAGCTTTCTACGGGTCTGAAAACCCTGAAAACAATTAATGGTATTTAGGGCTGTTGATGATATTGATGGAATTTAGGGTTATTGGACATGTAGAAACACATTCTGATAGTTTTAGATTGGCCAGACCAAAACTCGCTGATTTTTGTGACCACGCCAAGCACATCTCAACCGTATATTCTCTGATCGAGCTGAAACTTGCCTAGAATTTTTCAGCGGGTCTGAAAACCCTAAAACCATTGAAATTTCCCTTATTAAAGCCACTAGCATCCTTAATTGGGGAATTTTAACCCTAAATTTATTGATTTTTTTGTGACCACGCCAAGCATATCTCAGCCGTATGTTCTCCGATCGAGCTGAAACTTGGCTATAAGTTTTTAGCGGGTCTGAAAACCCTAAAGCCATTGAAATTTCCCTTATTAAAGCCGTAGCATCCTTAATTGGGGAATTTTTATCCCTAAATTTTCTTGATTTTTTGTGACCACGCCAAGCATATCTCAGCCGTATGTTCTCCGATCGAGCTGAAACTTGGCTATAAGTTTTCAGCGGGTCTGAAAACCCTAAAACCATTGAAATTTCCCTTATTAAAGCCCTAGCATCCTTAATTGGGGAATTTTTAACCCTAAATTTATTGATTTTTTGTGACCACGCCAAGCATATCTCAGCCGTATGTTCTCCGATCGAGCTGAAACTTGGCTATAAGTTTTTAGCGGGTCTGAAAACCCTAAAGCCATTGAAATTTCCCTTATTAAAGCCGTAGCGTCCTTAATTGGGGAATTTTTAACCCTAAATTTATTGATTTTTTGTGACCACGCCAAGCATATCTCAGCCGTATGTTCTCCGATCGAGCTGAAACTTGGCTATAAGTTTTCAGCGGGTCTGAAAACCCTAAAACCATTGAAATTTCCCTTATTAAAGCCCTAGCATCCTTAATTGGGGAATTTTTAACCCTAAATTTATTGATTTTTTGTGACCACGCCAAGCATATCTCAGCCGTATGTTCTCCGATCGAGCTGAAACTTGGCTATAAGTTTTCAGCGGGTCTGAAAACCCTAAAACCATTGAAATTTCCCTTATTAAAGCCCTAGCATCCTTAATTGGGGAATTTTTAACCCTAAATTTATTGATTTTTTGTGACCACGCCAAGCATATCTCAGCCGTATGTTCTCCGATCGAGCTGAAACTTGGCTATAAGTTTTCAGCGGGTCTGAAAACCCTAAAACCATTGAAATTTCCCTTATTAAAGCCCTAGCATCCTTAATTGGGGAATTTTTAACCCTAAATTTATTGATTTTTTGTGACCACGCCAAGCATATCTCAGCCGTATGTTCTCCGATCGAGCTGAAACTTGGCTATAAGTTTTCAGCGGGTCTGAAAACCCTAAAACCATTGAAATTTCCCTTATTAAAGCCCTAGCATCCTTAATTGGGGAATTTTTAACCCTAAATTTATTGATTTTTTGTGACCACGCCAAGCATATCTCAGCCGTATATTTTCCGATCGAGCTAAAACTTGTCTAGAATTTTTCAGCTAATCTGAAAACCCTAAAACCATTGAAATTTCCCTTATTAAAGCAATAGCGTCCTTAATTGGGGAATTTTTAACCCTAAATTTATTGATTTTTTGTGACCACGCCAAGCATATCTCAGCCGTATGTTCTCCGATCGAGCTGAAACTTGGCTATAAGTTTTCAGCGGGTCTGAAAACCCTAAAACCATTGAAATTTCCCTTATTAAAGCCCTAGCATCCTTAATTGGGGAATTTTTAACCCTAAATTTATTGATTTTTTGTGACCACGCCAAGCATATCTCAGCCGTATGTTCTCCGATCGAGCTGAAACTTGGCTATAAGTTTTCAGCGGGTCTGAAAACCCTAAAACCATTGAAATTTCCCTTATTAAAGCACTAGCATCCTTAACTGGGGAATTTTTAACCCTAAATTTATTGATTTTTTGTGACCACGCCAAGCATATCTCAGCCGTATGTTCTCCGATCGAGCTGAAACTTGGCTATAAGTTTTCAGCGGGTCTGAAAACCCTAAAACCATTGAAATTTCCCTTATAAAAGCACTAGCATCCTTAACTGGGGAATTTTTAACCCTAAATTTATTGATTTTTTGTGACCACGCCAAGCATATCTCAGCCGTATGTTCTCCGATCGAGCTGAAACTTGGCTATAAGTTTTCAGCGGGTCTGAAAACCCTAAAACCATTGAAATTTCCCTTATTAAAGCACTAGCATCTGTAATTGGGGAATTTTTATCCCTAAATTTTTTTGATATTTTGTGACCACGCCAAGCATATCTCAGCCGTATGTTCTCCGATCGAGCTGACACTTGGCTATAAGTTTTCAGCGGGTCTGAAAACCCTAAAACCATTGAAATTTCCCTTATTAAAGCACTAGCATCCTTAATTGGGGAATTTTTAACCCTAAATTTATTGATTTTTTGTGACCACGCCAAGCATATCTCAGCCGTATGTTCTCCGATCGAGCTGAAACTTGGCTATAAGTTTTCAGCGGGTCTGAAAACCCTAAAACCATTGAAATTTCCCTTATTAAAGCACTAGCATCCTTAATTGGGGAATTTTTAACCCTAAATTTATTGATTTTTTGTGACCACGCCAAGCATATCTCAGCCGTATGTTCTCCGATCGAGCTGAAACTTGGCTATAAGTTTTCAGCGGGTCTGAAAACCCTAAAACCATTGAAATTTCCCTTATTAAAGCACTAGCATCCTTAACTGGGGAATTTTTAACCCTAAATTTATTGATTTTTTGTGACCACGCCAAGCATATCTCAGCCGTATGTTCTCCGATCGAGCTGAAACTTGGCTATAAGTTTTCAGCGGGTCTGAAAACCCTAAAACCATTGAAATTTCCCTTATTAAAGCACTAGCATCCTTAATTGGGGAATTTTTAACCCTAAATTTATTGATTTTTTGTGACCACGCCAAGCATATCTCAGCCGTATGTTCTCCGATCGAGCTGAAACTTGGCTATAAGTTTTCAGCGGGTCTGAAAACCCTAAAACCATTGAAATTTCCCTTATTAAAGCACTAGCATCCTTAATTGGGGAATTTTTAACCCTAAATTTATTGATTTTTTGTGACCACGCCAAGCATATCTCAGCCGTATGTTCTCCGATCGAGCTGAAACTTGGCTATAAGTTTTCAGCGGGTCTGAAAACCCTAAAACCATTGAAATTTCCCTTATTAAAGCACTAGCATCCTTAATTGGGGAATTTTTAACCCTAAATTTATTGATTTTTTGTGACCACGCCAAGCATATCTCAGCCGTATGTTCTCCGATCGAGCTGAAACTTGGCTATAAGTTTTCAGCGGGTCTGAAAACCCTAAAACCATTGAAATTTCCCTTATTAAAGCACTAGCATCCTTAATTGGGGAATTTTTAACCCTAAATTTATTGATTTTTTGTGACCACGCCAAGCATATCTC